AATTTCAGGGAGTATCTAGTTGACTTGGTAGGAAAGCCAGGTCTTTTATGTGAGCCTGATTCATCGCTCAATGGTCCTTCTTCCATCTCAATATCTTCACCATTGCGCTTTCCCCAGACCAAATCAGCTGAACATGCCATTGATTTTAGGTCACTGGCCAAACAGTACTTCACAGACTGTCAGTCACTGAATATTGTGTTTGATGATACTTCAGCAGGTAATACTTGGAGAAAGTTTTGTGGAACACAGCTGTACTTTTTGCTGTAAGTTGGCTCTTAATGTTGCTATCTGCTTTTATTAGGAGGTGGATTCCCCTCCCCTCCCCCCATCCAAATCTAGTCTTCTAGTCAGAGGGTTATTCATGGGATTCTTGTCGCTTGTTTGTAGTAATGTGTCAACAGTTTATCAAAGGACTTTGTTTATGGCCCAAACTTTATGAGCCATGAGATCTCAGATATAGCAATAGGCATTTGCGTGACGTAGTTTTGGTAACTAATCTTTCTGGTTTTGTTAAAGTCTAGTGACAACCTAGAATTTGTAAATGCTATATCTCAAATGATGATACCATATTAGTTTCTAAAAGTAGCAGATGATTACTCGTGTTGATAATTTGAATTGCACAGATATTTGTGTTCTTTAAATTATAATCTGTTGTTGCTTAATGCTATACAGCAGGAATTATTACCACTGCTGAAGAAGACCATAAGTTCCCTAACAACAATGAAGCTTCTCAACCACTTCTGCCCCCTCGAGTTACTCGAACGGGTGGCCAGGATAGGAGTCTGCAACCACCAATAGTCTATAACCCAGCCCAAAGCAAACAACCATCAATCATGCTCAAAGACACCTCAATTAAGCATGCACTTGCGACTGGGCAAAATCTTTTGTCTGTAGCCAGTTCCGATGCAAGGTTTTCTGAAGGTAGTCAATTAATTTCTGGTAGACCAAGTAAAGATCTATCCCTTGAGGTGGAGGAGTTCGACATCCCATGGACTGATCTTGTTTTGAAAGAGAGAATTGGAGCAGGTATTGCTTTCTGCTCTATATATGTATACTTAAGAACTTAAAGAACAGCACCTGTGGCTTGTAGGCCTTACAGATTATGCTTCTCTTATTAGCTAATGTTTTGGTTCATTGATATCCTGCTTCTCCAGGTTCTTTTGGTACTGTCCATCGTGCCGACTGGCATGGCTCAGTAAGTTCTTATGAGCTACTTATGGTCTTGATATCTCATATATTTTCCCGATCTATTCTGATAAGCTGTATGGTGTAAAAGTTATATTGAGGTAGAAAGAGATATTTATGTTCGAAAGAAGTTATTATGAACGCAAGTAGTGTTGCTGACCTGCATGCATTTACCATGCTGACTTTTTATTCATCATGCCCTAGTTATGTGATCTTCCATGAATTCAATTTGGATTGCGGAAGCTTATAAATTTACAGTGGAGGGACTGATTTATCTGATCAAATATAAGCTGCATTCACTTTGACGGGGGTGTTGACCACACTTCGATTTGAAGTAGCTTAGATACATTAGGAACATATTTTAGTGGGCTCCTTTGGTGAATGCTTTCTTACAGTCTTTTCCTTTCCACCTTGTGCTTCTGATCTTTCTTCTCATCCAAAGCCTTTTATTGGTCGTAGGATGTTGCCGTGAAAATTCTCATGGAACAAGAATTTCATGCGGAACGCTTCAAAGAATTCTTGAGAGAGGTTTGCATTATGTTATCTGGATAATAGTCCACTACATTACAACTATTAGTGAACCAGTTTAATGTGTCGCCACACCTTCCCTGTTGTCCAGGTTGCAATAATGAAACGCCTAAGACATCCAAATATAGTTCTATTCATGGGTGCTGTTACTAAGCCACCAAACCTATCCATTGTGACAGAATACTTATCAAGGTCTGGTGATAATCCCTTTCAAATTGTGTGCTGCCTTCTATAGTTCTCTTACAATATGGAATGAAATTGTGCCCAAAATTGTTCTTGTTTGGGGAGTTGGATTAATTGGTATCTTGGTTTGCACTGCAGAGGTAGCCTGTACAGGTTGCTGCACAAGTCTGGTGCAAGGGAGGCCTTGGATGAAAGGCGTCGGTGGAATATGGCATATGATGTGGTATGAGTTCGCTATTCCACACATATTTCTCCATTCAGTGCTCTCTGTATTTGTTTCCAATCTATGCCTTTTCTCTCTGTGGTATTTCATCTTGAAATGATGTGTAGTGTCTCTGTTGTCTTTCTACAGGCAAAGGGAATGAATTACCTTCATAAACGCAATCCTCCTATTGTTCACAGAGATTTGAAATCTCCAAATTTATTGGTCGATAAGAAGTACACAGTGAAGGTAATGTGAACATTATGATAGATCTGTATCAATCCACGCTTTCCTTGGATTTGTGTGGTCCTGATCTTATTATCCGACTGCAGCATCAGAGTAATAGCTAAATCTAGGTTTACTTTAGAAGTCATTGTCCTCTTATGCTCTCTGTTCAGCTGATTTTTGACCGATTGAGTTTCCCGATTGGATACTCTCTAATTCCTTTTTATTCTCCCAGGTTTGTGATTTTGGCCTCTCTCGCTTGAAAGCAAATACATTTCTTTCATCAAAGTCGGCTGCAGGGACGGTATGTGTAACAACGACACGTAACTGGATCCATGTCTCAGTTGTCAGAAGTTTATTTGACGTAGCTTGGTGAATGTTTTTCTCTCTCTGTATTTGTCAGCCTGAGTGGATGGCCCCTGAAGTCCTGCGTGATGAACCATCAAACGAGAAGTCAGACGTGTACAGCTTTGGCATAATTCTATGGGAGCTGGCAACAATGCAACAACCCTGGGGCAATTTGAATCCCGCACAGGTAGTCTTAATAAACAATTTTCTATAGAATTCAATATCCTTGATCGTAATTACCGGGGGAAAATCCTTGATCGTATCAAACCCGTTTAATGATGATCATATCTTGCAGGTTGTGGCAGCAGTTGGTTTCAAATGCAAAAGGCTTGAGATTCCCCGCGAAGTAAATCCTCAAGTAGCAAACATCATTGAGGCTTGCTGGGCCAAGTGAGTATTCGCTTGCTCCTCTCTTCTGAATGTATTACCTCTTCGTTTTACCAAGTTGTTCTATGTATTACTTGGAAGGGGCGACAAAATGGATTTTCCGTTATATATCAGAACCAAACTTTTAGTTAACCTTGAGAATAAAAAATCAATGCAAGCATTGGTATCACAAATCCTTGTAATTTGGTTCCTGTTAGTCCAGCAGTTTGTAGTTAACGGAATTGGTCCTCCTTGTAGTGAGCCATGGAAACGCCCTTCCTTTGCCAACATCATGGAATCATTAAGGCCATTGATCAAACCTCCAACGAATCCTCAAGCCGGTCGTCCAGACATGGCCTTACTTCCTTGAGGTGCCGGCAACAGTTGGTATCTATGCACATAATACAGAGCATTCTTTTCCGGAAATTTTGATGACTGGCAGAGGAAAGCACTCAGTAGATAGTGCTCTCTCAGGTACACTATTGAATTTCGTTGAGTTCTGCTATTCAAGTCCCGATTCCCTCTTTTGATTTTGGGTTCTCACGAATATTCTCGTATTGAGCTGCAGGGACTATTGTTGTAAATGTCTTGTGTCGTCTGGAGATTCCGAGTTTCAACTGATTGCGCCTGCTTTGCTTTTGCCCCATGCTTCTGTGACGCAGATTTTGCTCGAAAATTTGTATCCTTCCCGATTGTTGATGTTGGTAAAAATAGTTGTCGTGTAAAGTCGTCCTCTCATAATTTTGTACCTAGAGCGATGAAAATGGAAACCCAAACCATAACTTTAAAATGTTAGTCGTAACTCGTAATGAGAAGCAGCTTTTTCGGTCCGTGGTAGTTTATCGTTCTTCTGTTTTCTTACTACCGGAGAAACCCAGAATTGGCGTTTATGATAGGAAGTAAGCACAAGCACAATGTCAATCTTGTTTACTGAAGCATTTCTTTTCACTCAGAAATATTCTGATGGAATTATACCGTAGACTCTAATAAGTTAATCTTAGTGTTAGTGTACAAATCCCAATTAAATGAGGGTGGTCATACTTAAGTATCCTTTTCAACGAGGACGGTGACAACTGGTTAGAAACTGCCGGACAGCACCTCCCCTGAAATCTGATTGGCCGGCGACTTAGCTTTGCCACCAAGTATTGCGACCACCTGTATTTTATTGGACACCGACACTTTTTAGCTGTGAAATCTGAGCGAATCGAATTGTGAAAAAAGTTTTGATGCACAAATGACCTACGTGAGCTTGTGAGTTGGTCGTTTTCAGCAGTGGTTCACGCCATTGATATAAGCTAGTGACAAAATATAGATGTAACACTGATTCATGCGTCTCCGATCAAGGAATCGTTTACTTTGTGTTGCGGAGAGGAATTGATGCAAAATATGATTACTGTGATCTTCGCACATGTTGATAAGGAAAAACTGAATTGTAAAACTAAGAATGATGCAAGGGATCTAGAAAGTTTATGAAAGTTGTAGTGTCTCAAATTTAGAAACCAAGTTGCATAATTATAATTATTTATTATTATAATCCATCTTCCATCCACTCAATCACTCACATACCCTCAAAACTTCTGGAAGTTTCGGTTCAACTACCAATCCCCAACCAAAATATCTTCAACCCGCGCGCACACAAGGCTACCCGCCAAAACAGCGGGAGGGAAGAAAATATCCGAGGCCAGCCAAAACCGCGGGAACCCCGACTGCCAGAGGAAGAACCGTTAATCTGCCGTCACGTGCGCCGGTGCTTCAACTGTGCAGCAGCGCCACCGCCTTACTGCTCCAGATTTCCCCTATCAAACAGTTTGTCGGCGATATCTTATAAATCCATTTCGCAGTTCTCTCCAACCAATTTCCTCCCCCTTCCTTATCGCATTTCCCCCCCCTCATTTACTCTCTCCGTTACATTTCATCAGCTTTATCTATTTGTTTTTTTTTTGTTTCCAGTTGCGGATCCGAAATGAAGCGTGAAGACGTACCGAAATCTCCCCAAGGCGATTCGATTCCGGCTTCTCCGCTGATGGAATTCTGCGAGGAGTTCTCGCAGTCGTTCGAATTCAAGGCGGAGACAGTCTCCGATGAGTCATCGCCGGCGGCGGCGGTCGGTGGAGTTCGTCCTCCTTCTCTTCCTCAGCCGCTGGCGATTCTTCACGAGACGCCCATCCCGCCGTTTCTGTCGAAGACGTTCGACCTGGTGGACGACCGAGCTCTGGACGCCGTGATCTCGTGGGGAGCCGACGGGGTGAGCTTCGTGGTTTGGGATCCGATCGAATTCTCCAGAACCGTGCTTCCTCGCAACTTCAAGCACAACAATTTCTCCAGTTTTGTTCGCCAGCTCAATACTTATGTGGGTATCTTGCTGTTGCCACAAAACAGCTTTCTCTGGGTTTCGTTTTTTCTATACTTTACTGGGTTTGATTCTTTTCTAACTTTCCTGATGTTGTTTTGGTTAAAGATTGCAACTTCCGTGTGTGTAAACTGGAGGGTTCTTTGTAAATTTGAGCAGATTTATTGACATGTAAAAGGGTTTTAATTATCTGATGTAATAGTATAGTGGGTAGATTTAGGGAAGTAGTATAGTAATAGTTTCTGCAAATTCAGATGAAGATGATAAGTTATAGGTGAAGTTTTGATCATGCTAGCGCCGACCTCTGAATTTGTAGTGGAGCGGGGAGCTATCTACCTAATCCGAATCCAGGTAGGATTTCAGGTTCCAGTACACCATTAATAATGATATTTACAGCTTTTCTCAAATGCTTGCTGTTCTCTTTTGTGTGTTGTTGTTATGGAAGAACTTAACAAATTTGAAGCATCCTGTTGTTTCCAAGGCAGCTTAAACTGTTTGTTTGGTTCGGTGCTTGTGTTTCGGAGAGTAATTCCACTAGCCTTTTGTTCTGTTTACTTCCCCTCACTTACTCTGAGTTCTGTTTTCTGCATTTTACTCTAACCAGGGATTCCGCAAGATAGATGCTGACAAATGGGAGTTCGCAAACGAAGGCTTTCAACAAGGTCAAAGGCACCTTCTTCGAAACATCCAGCGGCGGAAGTCACCACAATCGTCATCATCTCAGCAAAGCAGTGGCCATGTTGTTGGGTCCTCTGGGGAAGCAGCTGGGAAGTCTGGGCTGGAGAGTGAGGTGGAGATGCTGAGGAAGGAGAGAGGAGCAATGATGCAGGAAGTTGTAGAACTTCAGCAGCAGCAAAGAGGATCTATTCAGCATATGGAGACCGTCAACAAGAGGATTAATGTAGCTGAGCAGAGACAAAAACAGATGCTTTCCTTCCTGGCAAAGCTGTTCAGAAATCCAGGATTCCTCGACAGACTGAAGGAAAGCAAGGAGGAACGACAACGAGGCATCATAGGAGAAGGATCAAAGAGGAAGAAGAAGTTCCTTAGACAAAGTCAAGGTGAAGCGAGTGGAAGTTCTACACCTATTCAAGGGAAGATGATAAAGCACAAGTCTGAGTTGTTTCCTATGGAGGATGAGCTATCACCCGACATAATCTTGCAAAACATGGCAGAAGGAGGTGCAGACAGAGAAGGTTTTCCATTTGAACTCAGCTCTTTCGTATCAACAGATGATTTGGCTGCTGCAGGGCAAGATTTCATAAGCCCCACAGAGGAGATTGAGGATCCATGTTATAAAGGGAAGAATGTGGTGATGGATCCACAGCAAGAACTAGGTCCTGAATATTTTGTCTCCTACCCTGACGATTTGGAATTGGGAGTGCAGCAGGAGGACTTGACACTTCCTGCAGTCTCAAGTCCAGGTTTCGAAAGCATGGTCAAACAAGAGGTTGATGTATGGAGCATGGGATTCGACACTCATCCGATCATGGCTAACAGTACAGGGAACGAGCTGTGGGAGTTTGGAGTTACAGGTGGGTTCTCTGACATCTGGGATTTAGGATCTACACAAGCAGCAGAAGGAAGTTCAAGTGTCGACAAGCAGCTGCAGGCTGATGGGAGCTTATTACTCGATGAGCCTGAATCTGATATTCGTGCTGCCCAGCCGGAGGATGCTGGTAGTTAAAAAGAAGTTAGATACTGGCGTCGTTACTTGTTGATGCCAACTTTAGTATTATATAGTATGCAAGACTGGATATCTCTACTGAACTTACGTTTCTTTCATTGAATGGGTACCACTATTTTGATTTTTATGTTCAATCTTGAGATTACTTTTTTCACTTTTCAGCTTTATTTTGCTGAACTTTCTTTATTATTCATGTTTTAACTCTCTATTATGCAACAGATGAGCCGGAAGTTGGCGTGCTAGTTATCTTGGATTCTTGTTAACGGATGACTTGAAGAGTTTTTGAGCACTTGCAGGTGAAATCAGCTAGAGCAGGTTGGTGTCATGTTGAGCTTAGCAGAGTTTTCAGCTTATGGTTCCTTCAGCTGTTATGAAGTCTGGAAATCTCTCATCTTCGACATTTTGGGACTCCTCTGAAAAGAATACTATGACAGTGACTTTGTTCAATCGGTTTGCTTGTATTTAGCCGACTGTTCTCAATGGCCTCTTATCTGTTCATACATGATACATAGGCAGGGCCTAATTCACTATGGTGTTTGCTAGGATAGTTCTGCACTTAAAAGAAAGTTCCTGCTTATGTTGAACTCAGTTCTGTACCTTGCTTGTTTCCTCTTTCCTTGAAGGATAATCTGTAATGAGTCCTCTGCTCCTGCTTTTGTAGATAGTTGATCTTGCTTCAAAATCGACGTCAAAGATGTTATAAACTTAGAACGACCAAGCAAATCACACACTATACATTGACGATGCTCTGACAAAGTTAAAAAATGGCATTGATACCTAGCTCTATTAGAACACTCGTTGTACTGGGCATTGTGGAGAAAATTACATATGCAGTTTAATGCAATGATATCGTTTCGATTACGGCTACAAAAAACTCGATCAATTGTGTTGACATATTGACCGAGAAACACAAGTGATGTCTTGGCGACTGGATATTAACAACCCAGTTTTCTTCCCTCTGATCTTTCATCCAGAAGTTCGACAACGCAAGCCCTCAAAAGAAGTATACATATCCGAGTGCCAAAGGAGCGTCAGCAATAACCCAAATGGCATTATTAATCAGTCAGCAGCATCTTCCTTCTTCTTCTTTGCTGCGTGCTCACTGTGCTTTATCTTGGCTTCACGGCGTTCTCTCTTTACCCCTTTGGCTTTGTTAGGTAGTGCCATTTCTCCAATCTAAAACCAACAAACGATAACAAGTAAAGAGTAGTCTCTATTACCAAAAGAGTTTTGTGTTAAGGATTTGACAATAAGTGACTACCCTATCTAGAATTCCACTACTACTTACCTTCTGATCAGGCATATAAATCTTCCCGACCTTTCCCTGTATGGAATCTCCAACAACATTTTTAATCTGCAATAAGCAGAAGAAAGAAAAAAAGATCAGCATCAACCAATACACCTATTCACATTCGGAGAAAGAGAAAAACTTTGACAGAAAGCAAACCTTCTTCTTAAGACCATCTGTGGAAATTCTCATAGCTTCCTTCCTCAAACTTTCGTTAGGAAGGCGATGACGGCGAACCACAAGATCCATAGAAGGGCCAACTTCAACCAATTCGATCCTTGGGACTACAGACCCAGACTTTTTTAGCCTCACTGCGCAATGAGTAAGGAAGACTCGATCCGAGGATACAGCTGTGATTACATAGACACGGTCTAGCCCAACTAGGCTCAAACTTTCCACAACCTGTTCAATCACACATACGATTCAGTTACTAGTCAGTATGTGTGCATGGATTGGTCCAGTGTGAATCGAATCCCTGAAGACTCCTAACGCAGTATGCATAACTTATGAAACAAGGGAAAAGTAGAAAATATAGGGGGGCACACCTCTCCTCGGAAAAGATCAAGCAAAACCTCTTTTAAATGTTTCAATTCATCAATGCTCTCGAATCCTTCTCCAGCGAAAGTGATGAATGGTTTAGACCCGACCTGTGGAGCTAGCTTCTTGTCGTATTTGAATGACTCCATAGGTTTGAAGTTTTCAACACCGACTTCTACAAGGTCATATATTTGGTGATTGTAGGTACGTCCAATGATAATGTTGTCAGGCCTCTTCTTTGAAGTGTTACCATACTGCAAAACAAGCATTTAGTAAATAGAGATATAAAAAATCCGAGCATAACTGAAGTATCGGAAAGGAGAATTGAAGGACCAATCCACAAAAGAAGCCATTAGTTCAGCTTATTACCAATGATCAAACTCCTACAAACAGAAAAGCTACATATCTAACATTAAGGTTTTGATAAATTGCATATCTAGAAGCATATGCCCCAATATAAATCATATCTAAGATTTAAAAAAAGCCATTTATATTGGCCATATGAACGCATTATTAGCTCTCTAATCAAACAACCTCACTCATCTCCTCAACGTTAAGCTGCTACAGCTCGCAAAATGGCGGCCAAGTAGTCCTACCATTCACAAATCTCCATAAATGAAGCCCATCTACAAGCAGAAAGCTATCTGTATCATCAACGGATCGGTAAAAATGGATACTACAGAGCCATATTCGCCTTATAAAATTTCATTCATATATCTAGACTAAAAGGCACCTCCTTTAGCATTGGCAGCCGCAAATCCAATCAGCCAAACAAAACGAATGCATTAGTTCTCTAATTCAAACAGCTAAAACCCGTTCCCTTTAGCACTAAAGGGCGAACCAAGATGAACACTAGAGCTACTACCTACCATGAAAAAAGAAGCTGCAACTCACCACAAATATGCTGCAGTCAGTCTTCTGAGAGAAGAACTCGAGGGAAGTCTCGCCGCCACTCTCGAACGGCCTGATGTTATCGTTCTTCCGCGTGTACCTCACCGCGCTATCCCTCTTCAGGTGATATATCTCCTTCAGAACCGAATTCAACACGTTGCTAGTCTTCAAGCCTTGAAGTATCAGCGTCTTCTTCCCCGTCTCAACCTTTCCAAATACCAAAACGAAACAAGCTCAGTAATCTGCAAGACTTTCACAGAAATCAAACATGCATGACACTAAGAACTAGATGAAAACAAATTTGCGAAAGTTACCAGCTTTGGCGCTCGCTTTTCCAGTTCCCGCAGAACCCTTTTCTTCTTCGGAGTATTTATCTTCATCATGATCACGAGACAATAGAAGAACGAACTTGCAGAGAATTTTTTGCGCTACGTTCGCGGGAAGCTCAGTTGCTTGCAGGGCAAAGATTGGGACTTTGGGAGACTGACGAGAGAAGAACAGAGAGCTGCTACTAGGGTTTTGAATTTTGTTAGAAACTTTGCGGGGTTTAAGGCCCAAAATTTCCTGGGCCTTGAGAAAAGCCGGACTACGGCTCATGGGCCTGTAATATGGAGTTGGAGCGAAAGGTTTCCCCAAAATCTTGAAGTTCTCCGAAAAAACGCCAGAGAAAAAACTGAGAAGGAGAGGAGGAAGAAGAAGAAAGTGGAGATGGTTCTATGGCGCATCCTCAGAACTTCGGCGACGAGATCGCAAGCTGGGGCTCTTCTCCCATGGGATCACCGTTGCAACTCGATCACCATGAGGTATTACTCCGCGAAAGCCGGAGCGAAATCGAGCCAGAAGCCACAGAAGAAATCCGGCGCCAAGAAGCCCGGCGATGAATCTGGCCCCGGCGCCGCCGCCGAGCTAGACCGAGGGGTAATTGATGAAAAAGCTTTGAGGTCCCGTCTCCTAGCAGAGGACGAGAAGAACCCGTCTCTTAATGTGGGTCCTAATGGTCGCCCACTCTTCACTTCGACTCCCACCCTGTCTCAGCTCACTCGCAGAGACGCCTGCTCCTACTTCAAATTCAGGTACCTATCTGTCCACCAGCTTCATTTGGTGTGTGGGAATTCTGGTAATTGTGTCTTTTGAGTGGTGTTTCTAAACTGTGGATTCCTCATTCCTTGTCTCAAGTAAGAAGGGTCTGAATGCGGTGTTGCCTGAAGGATTACCGAAGGGGATGGTGGCCGAGTTTGAGGATTCAATGCGAGAATCGTTGATTGTTCGGAAGAGTTTCTTGGACCTTCGTGATAACTTCCGGCGTATTGTTGATCCTCCTTTGGATGGTAAAGGTGCGAGTTTCTTTGCTAATTCTTCTTCAGCTGTACATTCCATTTCTGTCTTCACCTGTGTTGTGTATGAAATTATGAATGGTATTATATATACCTTGTTGGTAGTAAAATACATATAGCCACTTGATGAATGGTAAAATATCTTCTGGTAAACGATGATCTGAGAGAACTAGTTCTTTGGACGTGTTTTTTACTCCAGGTATCAAAGCTAGAAAACAAATTGTATTAGATGGTCCTTTAAGCTGTGGTAAGAGTATTACATTGGCAATGCTTGTCCATTGGGCTCGTGATGAAGGTTGGCTAGTGTTTTATGCTCCTCGAGGATGGGAATGGACTCATGGTGGGTATTTCTACAAGAACCCACACACTGGACTTTGGGACACTCCGCTTCAGGCAGAAAACATTCTGAAGGTAAGAGTGTAAAACCAGTAGCCCCATTGTTGGGATTTCCTTAAACTATTGCATGTTACCAGGTGAGTTTAGTCTCGTAATATCTGCTCTGGAACCATGTTTTCAGTTGCTTGATGTCTTAGACAGACTTATGAATTTGTGGTTTTTGTTTAGGACTTTTTGAAATACAACGAATCACAGCTGAAGCAGCTGCATTGCCACATCTTTGATCCTATTCTACTTGGAGAAGGTGCTGGTGTTGGATGGATGAAAGGAATAGACTCCATGCCAGTTCCTGAAGGCTCAAGTCTTTTTGACCTGGCACAAATAGGAATCCAGCATTCTCATGCAGCAGTTGGAGTAGTTGTTCGTTTGAGAAAAGAGCTATCATTAGTGAAAGATGTTCCTGTGCTCTTTGCAATTGATCAAGTAGGTTTGGATTCTTTTGCTTGCTTTCAGAATCTTGTTACTCCTGAGTACAAAATGGGCTCACATGCTTGTTGCTCTTGCTTTTCTTTCAGTATAATAGTTGGTTTACCTTCAGCGAGTATGAAGAACCAATGACTTTACACTCAACCAGACCGGTGCATGCCAAAGAGGTTGCAACGGTCAGTATATACTCCAAACTTGCTCTTTAATTTTGAGCAGCGGGATACCAAGATATTCTAAGGTTCCTTTTGAAAGTTTTGTTGTGACATTATGTACACTTGTTGAGAGTTTATAGTGTTTGTGCAGGTAAATGCTTTTAGGTCGATGATGCATAATGATATGATGGTGGGAGCTTTTTCTCATTCGACAGCAGTAGGAAAGCTACGTCAAGACTTGCCAGATGTTCCTGTTGATGCTCGCGTCAATCTGCCCCGCTATAATGTAGATGAAGCAGCCACTGTTTGCCATTACTACCTTAGGTAAGCAGTTAGTAATGTGTCACGTGTACGCCATTCTGAATCCTTTCCCCATGTGATCTCAAGTTCTAATTTTCTCTCTCGATGTTCATGGCAGGCAAAGATTAATAAACCCAGAAGCCTTTTCCGAAGTTATGTGGAAGACAGTATATTGTGTCTGCAATGGAAATGGATCAGAAATGAGATCCTTACTCCCTTTGATTCAGTGAGTCAGCCGGTCTCTCCGGAACAAGCTTCTATTCTCTCCAAACTCCAGGCCTGCCTCTGATTCTGAGTTCACCTACATAGAAGCCCTTTTGAGTAGCTTTTACCAGAACTCTCACCTCTCGGGAATACAGAGAAATCAGATAGGAGAGTATTTCCATCACTTGTCTCTACAACGCAAGTCTTCTGTACTAGACTGGATGTTGATAATGTTGGAAAGAATTCTGCTGTTGTAATGGTGTAGCATTTGATTCCTTGACAACGATAAGTGTTACCTTCTTTTGAAGTGGTAATGGTTCCATTTTGGAGAAAGAAGGTTAAGCAGGAGATTGTTTTTAATAGTACGACTCGCAGAGAGTGTAGAAGAGTTGATTATACTTCGACGCTTAAGTTAGTAAAGAGAGAGATCGGATTTAGCTATTTAAGGTATCAGGAACAAACACCCCAAAATTTGAGTACTAAATTGTAAATTATTCCCACCGATTTTTGTTTTTTGGCGGCCCTATCGGGCCAATCACCATCTACCATCGGCCCTCCCCTTTTTATTCCGTTCTGCGTCCTCTCTCGATTCAATTTAACGCCGCAGCTCGTCTCCCTCGAGACTAGAGCGAGCTTCCATCACTACCCCCTTATTTTCTCTCTCGTTTCCCCTGTAATAAATTCGATTCAGTCCCTGTAACGGAATTCTGCAGTTGTTCAGAGAAATTCATCTCTTTCATAGGCTTTTTCTTCAGTTTTCTCGCGTTTTATGTACACCAAGCAGCTCTGTAAATTTATGCTACAGGGCTTGTTTTCCTTTTCCGATTCGTTCAGAGCTTTCTTTGTGGTTCTTCTTTTGGTTGTATGCATTATTGGTTTTGATTAGCTTCGATGGCGATTAGGGATTGCGATGTAACAATAAAGAAAGAGTCGGAATGAGGAAAAACAGTTAGGAATTTTATTTTTTAATTTTGGCGGGGGATAGTTTTTTTTTTTTTTGGTTATGTTAATGGAAATGGAGAGTATGCGTAGATCGCTCGACAGATCAAGAGAACCGGGACTGAAGAAGCCCCGATTAGCTGAGGACCAATCGAACCCTAGCGGTGGCCGGCCTTTCGTTCAGAGGCAGCCACCTGCGCCCGCGAGGTACAGGTCTGCTGCCGGCGGCGATAGAGACTCGGAGGGTAACGACAGGGGAGGCGGTGCGTACCATCCTCAGCCGGTGCAGCAGTGCTCGGAGCTGGTCAATCAGTACAAGACTGCTATAGCAGAGCTGACTTTCAACTCCAAGCCGATTATTACTAATTTGACTATAATTGCTGGGGAGAATGTCCTCACCGCGAAGGCCATTTCTGCAACTGTCTGCAATAACATTATTGAGGTGAACCCAGTTTTTTATACTTTATTTTGGTTATTGGCGCCAACTTGAACTGTTGTTGGTTATTTTGGAAGGGAAGTGATAGAGACTACAGATATGATGTTCCAGTATCCATGGGTGGTGTAACTTCTGATTAATGAGAAACGATTTTGAGATAAAACTCCCTGGGCATACATTTGATGTGTTGTAGATGTTAGAAATCTAGCTTGGTTGTGTTCAAATTCGTGATCAAGCAAAATACGATTCTCCTGAGCCATCTGATGCTAGTAGTTTATGCATTATGCCTCTCTTTCGATGATTTTGGGGGTGGATATGGAGTGTTTCCTATGTGCTTTATCCACCCACTTCCGCCTTCGATTGTATTATTCAAAGAGTGTTGATTATGGAACTGGGAATGTTGGTGTTGTTTGGGGAACTGAGTGCAAAGATGAGCCTTCTGTATGCCTTTGAGCTCGCTCCTTGGATTCCTTATTTTGAACATAAATAAAATTAGTGAAGATTTCTTGTTTCTTTGAGATAGCTCTGTCAGGACAATCTTTGAAATGAAGGCACTTGATTGAGGCTGAAAACTTTTGAATCAAGGAGCATGGAACAAGAACATGGCAGAAAGAGAAGCGACTTCAATGCAATTGTACTATATTAATTAGAATCTGAGCGGTTCCATTTTAATCATCTCTTGTTTGTAGTATATCATCTTTATGTGCACAGTCAGTTATGTTCTTTTGGTATGAAGGTGTATTGGCAGAAGGTATCAGTTACTTTGTTTTTTGGAGTGTATCCTTGTTGTAACCATTGGTATTTTATTACTTCGGCTTCATGTCCTTCACTCATACTTTGGAGATACTACATCAGACTTTGCTTATTTGGTGGCATGTCACATCTGATCCCATGACTAATTGCAGGTCCCCAGTGACCAGAAGCTGCCATCACTTTATCTTTTAGATAGCATTGTCAAAAATATTGGGAGAGACTACATAAAGTACTTTGCAGCGAGATTACCAGAGGTTAGATTTTCCTAAATGTATCCAATACTTTTTTTTTTTGGAGTGAACAAGAAACAAGAGGATCATGTTGAAGTCATAGTTATTCACATGCTTCACCAGGGTCCTTCTGGTTGCCATTATAATGGCACATGCTATGCTTTTGGTGGTCCTTGATCCTTAGTTTGTGACATATGATGCTTTGCAATTCAGGTGTTCTGTAAGGCATATAGTCAGGTTGATCCTCCTATTCAATCCAGCATGCGGCATCTTTTTGGAACTTGGAAAGGTGTCTTCCCTCTCCAGACGCTGAAGATGATTGAGAAGGAACTTGGATTTTCTTCAGCAGTGAATGGATCATCATCTTCCTCTGTGACATCAAGGGCCGATGCACTATCACAACGGCCACAACATAGCATTCATGTGAATCCAAAATACTTGGAAAGGCAGCGCCTTCAGCAGTCAGGCAGGGTATGTGGATTTTGGTGTCTCCTTGAGCTTCCCATTACATTGCCATAGCTGTTCCCCTGTTATGCTTAAAACATATGACTTCTGATTTTCTTTTATGAAGAACATATGACTGATTTTGCTTCTGTTATATGACGAAGGCACCAATTGCAGATTCACCTGAGGATATTGAAAGTCCAGAGAGAACTTCTGGTATCGTAGGTTCAAGCCCATGGACAAATTCTGCTGTTAAAATCCATGTAGGGAACTGAGATATCATTCCTTTGTTTTTCAATGCTGATAGCATTCTGATTCATACAATTCATTGTAAGTTTAACATTTTTGGTTTACCATAACATACAGCGAAGCCAGATAACACCACAGAGTGATCCCATTGAAGAGAAGAACATAGGTCCATTATATGGAGACTTGGATTATGGCACAGATTCTCCAAGGAACTCAATCTTGGGATCTGGGCGCTTAGGTGCAAGGGCTGCTGAACAGTCACAGCCCAAACCTTGGTATGGAGCTTCAAGTGGCGTTTCTCAGAAGTTAACTGATCCAAGAAAAGCTTTCCGAATGAAGCATGGTGTGCCAGAGCATTTGATCCCCAAATCAACCAAAGCTGTGCATTTACAGCCAACAGACAGCATTGCCCGTAAAAGGGGCAACAGCATTTCGACAAGCTGGAAAAACTCCGAGGAAGAGGAGTTCATGTGGGATATGCATTCCAGATTGCCTGATCAGGATGTAACAACCATCTCTGATATCTCAAGGAAGGATACTTGGACTCCCAGTGACCCTCAGAATTTGGTGCATATTAATGATTTACATTACTCTTCCACCTCTCTTTGCTTTTCAATTTGTGTATTTTTTTCTTAACTCTCACATTTGACGACAGGGTTTTGAAAATCGTGTGAGAAGACCTCAACTTGGGCATGATGTTGGGTTTCAGTTTGACACAGAGTCATCCTCAGATTCATTATCTACCGAACAGAGAGAACTTGGGAACCGTTTGAGCTCGCCATGGGGTCTGCAAGAATCAACATCAATGGACGAGCTTATGTTTTCTAGTTCCAACACTAATCCCAGTTATGCAGACGGCAATTTAACTACCCATGGTGGGTTGCCTTCCAGGACAAGTTCTGTATCCAGGATTGTAGCAGGACCTAGTTCTGGCTCCTCTCATGCCAGAGCCTCAGGATTAGGGGTTATTTCAAATGTAGCATTCATCCCTACTAATGGAGCCATAGGCCAAAAGAGACTTTCTTCCATTGGGACTTCGTCACCATCTCAGCAATCACTACTCCATCAAGCCTCACCAAGTTCCTCCTTTCCATCTCACTATCCTCCTAGTAGGCAATTGCCAAGTGCAACTGAACATGACTACTCCCAGATCTTGCCGCCATCCCACCAAAAGGTGCATCAATTTTCAACAAATTTGAGCCCTCAAAGTGTTCAGTTGGGAAATGTGAACAGGTTCCAGTCTGAAGAATTGTCTGTACCTTCTGGTTCCCTTCAGAAGCAAAACCCACCTCTCGAATGGAATACTGGGGCTCCATCGACATCAGGAAGCTCCGAATCAGACCAATCCATTCAACGTACTACAGAAACCTCAGGTCAACAGAGCACAAGTAGTTTATTAGCAGCAGTTATGAAGAGTGGAATTCTGGCAAACATCACAGCTGCTGGCGTGGCTAAGAAGAGCTTGCAAAGTAGTGGGCAAATTGTATCAAAGCCAGTTACTAAACCTCCTCTTCCGAATGTGACCCCTCCTGCACAAGTCGTATCTGCTTTGCCTATGTCTACTTCTTCTAAGTCGGGTAGCTCAAGTGTCTCTCATAAGAAGGATAAGCAGCAACAGTTGCCACAAGGTGCTCCTCCTTTAATGCAGACTTCAAAGGTGGGAGATAAGGTCTCAAATCCAATTTCAAACCTTTTGAGCTCTTTACTTGTGAAAGGTCTAATAAAGTCAGAGACTTCCCCGTCAGCAACTTCTCAGATGAACACTGTTGAGCCAGAGAGCCAGAAGAAAAGTACCATAGCTCCTAAACCCGCCCCAGTTTCTTCTGTGTCAGAGTCTGCTCCCACGGCGGATGAAGAATCTCTTAAGAAAACTGATGCGAAAAGCCCTATTGATTTGCCTGTTAAGCCTACCCCGGTGATTCCGAAGGCAAAAGATAATGTCAGTTTGCTTTGGTCTATATCAGTGGAAACTGAGAGTCTCATAGGATTGAAGTTTAAGTCGGATGTAATCCGAGATTTTCATCCAGCTGTCATCGATTCCCTTTTCAGTGACCTTCCTCACCAATGTGATGTATGTGGTCTCCGGCTTAAACAGAAAGAGGGGTTTGACAAGCATTTGGAGTGGCACAGTGAAACGAAGATTGGTCCTGATGATAAGAGAAAGAGATGGTATGCTCAAATAGGGCATTGGATTTCTCCAAATGCAAGTGTTCCTTCTGAAGCAGTAGATTCATCTCCTGAGGATGGTCCAGATTGTGAAATGGTGGATAGAGATGACGACCTAATGGCTCTTGCGGATGAAGACCAGTGTGTATGCGTCTTATGCGGTGAGCTGTTTGAAGATTATTATAGTCCTGCAGGTAATCGGTGGATGTTTAGAGGAGCTGTGCACATGACACCAGTTCCTCCAGGTAATGATGAACAAGGAAATGGTCCCTTAGTCCATGTGCATTGTCGCTCAGAAGGTTCAGCCAGCGAGTTGGGTCTTCTTAATAGCGTGAAAATGGTAAGTCTAAGATGTGTATTTTATCGATATTCTCTTCTCTTGCTGGGAGGAAATATTGGGAGTGAAATTCCTGTTCTTGGTAGTTATATTTCTATGGAATGAGGTGGTTATGAGCTGCTATTCTATTTATCTTGTTGATTGTCTCGCTAGTGGTGGTTCTGTGTAGGCTAAATTTCTTATTGATGCTGTATCTTGTATTGGTATTTTCTTCTGTGTTAGGAATAGAGCCCTGGCATGGGAAGATTGATGAAGTCTCTTCTTTGTTTTTCCAGGAAATCGATTCATAATTGCAAGGTGGAGAAGGGGTGTGTTTTCTACCGCCAATCCATCACTAGCAGCTTTGCTTGGAGAAATGAGAAATCAGAAATGCAGGTGTCTCATCACTTGCAAAAGTTTTGCAAAAAGAAGAAAAAAAAAGCCATGTATGCCTCTTGCTAGTTTAGCCTTTGCTCCAAATATTGGTGTCGACGAATAGCCTTCGTTTTTCTTCGTCCTGTGTTTTTCCCCCCTTCTTCCCTCCCATAGTAGAAATGAAATTATAAAGCCACCTTGTGTTCACTAATGTGTGTTTGATCTGTTTCTTTACTTGCCTGTTTTTGCTTTTATGTTTGGAAATGTTGCTGAAGCAATGCTGCCCTTGGGATTGGGGTGCAACAAGGTTTGCTTTAGCAGGCGCCTTCTCTAAGTTCCCATTTCCAGCTTTTCTTTTTGTGCTACTCTGTTTCATTCCTGAAATGTGTTATCCCCAGCTGCTTGTTTCCTTCCGTCGTACATGTAATGTTATGGATGAATCTTTTGTTTCATCAGTTTCTGGTACTAGACATCTTTAAATGTCGTTTTGTAATAACGATTTTGGATATAAATAAATAACTCTATATTCGATCAACTTTAAATATAAATAAAATGCCTAACAATTAAAATGAGATTTGCGCTAAGAATTTATATAGAATAAACTCCTTAATATTGTTCATCCACAAATTTAATTTACAAGTAATGAACCATCATTAAAATAGCTAGCATAATGCTAACCCCTAGAGGTTTAGCAACGCGACCCATCCCTCCTCCTGAAGCCACTAATTTCAATGGCCGCATCATAACGTTGTCTTCGTGATCCAATATCTGCCAAACCAAAATATATATGCTCAATAATTAAAAAGATGAAATTTCACTTATTAAAAAGAAAACGGCCAGTGAGTAGCAGAAACTTACGTGGCAGTGGTACACATAACCAGGCTCCGCGGTGGCATTGAACACGTAAGGCAGAGTGGAATGTATATAGGAAAATCTCACCAGAATCTTCGTCACGAACCCGGGCATCATCTTGTACACGTTCTTCCACCCCTTCTCATGCGGAAGCACCTCAATTTTCTTCCCACGTGCGTACTTCTCTACGTGGCACCTCTCGGCGTCGTTCAATCTGTTCATGCAGTCTCTGAACTCTTCCAAGTCCATCAGCTCCGTCTGCTCCATCACTGCAAACAGCCCCAGATGCAGGTGCAGCGGATGGTTGTCGTCCGTCAGGTTAATCACGTACCACACCTCACTGGTACCCACTCCCGGCTTCTCGGTCACAGGATCCTCGAACGATTTGCCGTTGATGTAAAGATGTGTCGGCTCATCCGCTGCGCTCGTGTACTCATACAAAGCAATGTACCGTGACCTCACCGCGGTGGATAACTCTGGGGTCGGGTACTTGATCAGAGTCCCGGGCACAGACGATGGGTCGGGTTCCCGTTCTCCTCTTCTAATGACGAACTTCATTACGACGTCGTTTGCATCGTTCACGGGATCCCCAGATGGATAAGGATATGGCGCGTCGTTTTTCAGAAGGACCGATTCCTCCTTCGAGGTTGAAAAGTCAACCACGAAGTCGATAATCTCCGATGGAGCCAATAAGGTGTGGGTAGCCACCACAGGCTTCTCCAAATAAGCCGAGTCAGCTGCCACGTGGATTAATCTCAACCCGTTCTTGAAGTACAGCCGAAAAAATCTGGCGTTGCTGGCATTGATAATTGTGAAGCGGTATTTACGACGTCGTACTAACATACGTGGCCACGCCTTCCCGTTGACGACAATCACGTCCCCAAAATACTCCGGCTGCCACTCCGGGTGAATGTGGGGGTTGTTCCCTGTGGAGTTCATGTAAATGGAACCATTGGTGAGGAAGCTCCGATCGAATATAACCAGCCGTCGGTGGAACTCGTTCCCCGAGGGAAGCCCGAAGCCGCCCTCGATTTTTGGGTCACGAATGACGTAGGCTCCGACCAAACCGGCCAGCAGATTGACCCGGGTCAGCCCCATGGCGTGATCGTGGTACCAGAGACTCCCCGGATGCTGGACATTCGGATAGTGGTAAGTTTCGTTGGTCCAAGTGGGACCCGTTTGGTGAAATCCATTGGTGAACCACGAGTGAGCGTGTCCGTCGCTCTCGGGTCCACCGATCATGCCGTGGAGGTGCACCACCGTGGGAATTCCCTTCTTGTTTTTAGGGATGGCTGTCGGGGTCGTTGGATCCCAGGGGAGGATGTGGCTTGAAGGGAGGTGATTTTGCCACGTCATATGGGTGGAGATGCCGGCGATTGCCTCGATTGTTGGTCCGGGGACGGTTGCAGTGCGCTGGGATGTACCGTAGGCAAAGACTGACGTTGGAGGGAGGTCTCTGTGAAATTTCTACAAATATAATTAAACGACAAATTAGTAACGTTAAATTATAGAGCAAGCATTGATAATGACGAGGATGGAAGAACGAGCTAGAGTGCTATTAGTAACGTTGTAAAATTCATCATCATATATTCTTTCTGATTTGATTTGTTTCCTTTGTTTTCACAAATTTTCCTTAACGGGTTCGAGTGGTTACTACTTACTATGTGAGGTCTTTTTTATTACCAAAGAAAACTCGTATCATTGAGAAATGACTGGATATTTGAAATTAAACTCACTTGACGTACATAACTCCACAAAAATATATATATAAAAAAAAGGGACAAAATCGTAATCTAAATGAGGTAGCTCACGCAACTGAAACCCCTAAACCCTACCGGAAACGAAGTTCAGTTGGCCGGAGTCATCGATCGAGCGGCAGGGAGTTAGTAAAATGAAATGGTTACGTACCCAGTCCTTGCGATACATGCCGATTGTGAGGGTGGCTGATTCGTAGGAGCCATTGACGAGCCTATATCCCCGGATCGTGGGCATCTCCGGGACCTCATCCACAAACATCTTCAATCTGGAGGAATTCAGAAGCATTACGTTTCCGCCGCCGGTAATGGTGGCCGCCGCCGGACATGTTTTGGTAACCAGCAGCAGTACCCCGACGGCGAAAGCATAAAGCAACATCTTCAGCATTAAGCTCTTCTCCACCGTCGATCCTTTTGTGTGTGGGGGAAGAAGAGAGTGCGTGAGAGATCAGAAGAGAGGAGTGGAGTTTGTATTATATATATATAGTGAGTTTAGAGTTTAGGGGTTTAGAGTTTCACGAGAATCCCGATTTTTCCTTCTTTCTGTTGGTCATTATTAATTATTTCTTGTTTGGTCAATCAGTAATCCACACAGACACAGCTAGCTAATTATCTGTAATCAAGAAAATGCCAATGACTGATCGCCTACGACCTCCACGTGGACGTCCCCGTCCGGCACACTCCTGTTCACTGACGGGCGTATTCCAACTCGGATATCCACGTTGACGAAGATGCCACCTCGGATTGGGACTCGTGGGCCGTGGCTTAGCTTAGCTTGCCACCGGGGAATGGGAACGGAAGAGAAATTACCGTGGGCTTTAGGGAAAATGGCCCATATGGAAACCCAGCAGAAACTAAGAGAAGCTCATAGAGAGGCCCAATCCAGAAGCTTCAGCTCCACTCCACTCCACACAAAATTGTGATGATTATGTGGTAAGACCATAGTGCTTGCGTTCCGAGGGAAAATGATACAATTTAAGAAGAAAGGACAAGAAAGGAATCAATTACCAGATCTTTGCTTTTAAATATGGTGGCGGAGAATAGGAGTGGCCATCAACTCCATTCATTATTTTTGAATTCCTTTTGCATAAGGTTGGTTCACAAACGTCCCATTGATTCCTCCTCCCTAGTGATATTCCCACTTTCGGATAATGATACAAATAATATTGACAATCGTAATACTCTCGAATCGGATGTATGTATAAAAAGAATTACATATAAAAGATCCGTATTTTTTGATAATATGAATTTCTGAACACACACGTGTTGGTAGCTTATAATAATAATAATAATAATAATAATAATAATAATAATAGAACTATGTCTATGAACACCGTTTAATTTAGGGGGGTGCAAAAAACAAACAAAAATGGGGAAGCTATAGATAGATAGATATTAATTAATTAAGTAAGTATCTTCATTTTTCAAGGGTTCTTGTGGTGTTGAGTGTAGATGTAATCCAAGTGAGCCTCTGCAACCATCCTTCTCGCCAGGCAGTCCTCATCCTTCTCTCCACAAACTGATACTGATCCCTCCGTGTTCTCCAGTTCCTCTGCCCCCATCAGCTGCCAATCAACGGAAAACAATAAGAACTAGTTCTACAAGCAATCGGCCAGACTTTCAAACGCGCGTACTAACATTGTTGGATTCGAGAGGTCGTATCGTAGTCAAATTAACTAATCAAGCCACGTGCGCACTTACCGTGGAAAAATCTTCTTCTTTGATTGAATTAGCAAAGTGATCATCTGCCCTGCTCACCAACTCCAACTCGCCACCATCACTACTACCTACTGGTCATAACAAGTCGTTTGGTTGTCAACCAATAGCACCACTAAAAAAACATAGAATTTTTCTGACTCCTCATGTCATGGGTGTATTGCATGTAAATCAACATGAAAGAAAGGGGAAGAAGGAGGAATCCAGTACTCTATCATTACCTGTGATTTGTGATGAAGCTGCTGCGTCCAGGAGGGGACGAGCAGATGCAGAGTGGGAGAGGAAGGAACAAGACAGCAACAAGAAGAAAGCAAACAAGGTAATCAAAGGCAGAGAAGAAGGGGTATTATTATAAGAAATTCTCTTCATTTAATTTTCTGCTTTGTTGTTTTGGTGAAGTGGGAAGAAGAGTGAGGGAGATAGTGGACTGGTGGGAGAGAAGGAGGGGAATAATTAAGTGACTATGGCAGCTTTGCTCTGTTATTGTTGCATATAAATAGAATAGCTAGAAGGATGAAGATAATTAATTAATTAAGGAAGGAAGGAATGTGAAAGAATGGAAGTGAGGGACTTGTGTGGACAGGACACGTCACAAAAGGCAGTTACGAGTGTATTTATTATGTAACACATTCATTCCCACACCATGATGAGCTCAATTACAATAATACTCACTCAAGTTTTGGGGTAAGCGAATCCGTCCTTCAACTCAACGTTGATACTTAACGGGTCGATAAATAAAGTTTCAAATGACTAACATATATAGATAAGATTGATAGTGAATAAGTGAGAGGAAAATCTAATAGATATATATATGGACTACACTACATTCGTATTGTATTATTTTTTTCACATTTTGGTGCCAAATTTTACACATTCATCCTTTTTTTTTCCCATAGCAAAAGTTAATAATGGGTCCTCTTGGCCAACATCTACAACCTAACAACCGTTAGTATCCCCAATAGCATTTTCCTTAGGGAGTAAGTGAAGTATGAAGAATCGAATACAATATTGCTAGTCAATCTAAATTAAATTGATTAAAGCTTCAGGAAAGTAGCCCGCCGTTTCCAGACTCAAAACAAATCTTTTCCCAATTCCTCCAGATAGTGACCAATCCAAATCAATTAATGACTCCCCACCACAAACAAAGAAATTAAGCTCTATACAAATCGATCTTCTCTTTCTCTCAAGTTCTTTTGACTCTATAAATCGCTTCTTTCTATTTATTATATATGACAATAAACCATTATTTTTTATGATATATATATATATATATATATATAGTGAACATACATGTAGATAAGTATGGAATACATATATAATATAGGTAAGGTATCATTAACTTCTTTTAGCAGTGGTGGTGGACTGGTGGCCGGTGGTATATATGCCGTGGTGGTGAGTTAATGGCGATGTCACCATTGACCACGTAGGCTCGCTGTTATATGTGCATTCTCTTCTCTACTGATCCATAGTGATTAAGTAGCTAGCTAGCTAGGTCAACTCTAGTTCATACTAAGTAGCGTACACTCGGGAACATTCGATAAAATTGGAATTTTGGTGGACGTACCAATTCTCTTTAATCATATGTACTTCCTTAATCTCTTTTTTTCTTTTTTTTGGTTGAAACTTCCTTAATCTTAGATACATAGTCCATCGGTTTGATGGGAATGTAGCTACGCCATTAATTAATGTCAACCTCGCATTCCCATCATCATGGTTAATTAATTCATATATGTCGGAATGTCCATGATTTCGATGACTCGAATGGTTAAAAGGATTCAAGGTTCATTGTGTATAAAGACAAGGGTACGTAATTAGCTAGCTAGGCGTGCTGATTGCTTGGGTAATTTATTCGAGGGATAGGGAATGTGGTTAGTGAGATGCTTACTGGCTTAATTAACCACTTTTGTAATCATCTAATTATCGGCATGCGAACATGCTCTCCATCGACAATTCACAATAATGAACTCATTATGCTTTTATTTAACAGTCGGATGGCAGCCAGCTAGCTAGGGTTTTCTGTGTGCATGCTGCAAAATAAAACACAATTACGTAGGATAATGATTCCTATACAAATCTAACTGCACCACTAGTATATCCGTTCAAGATTTATTATTATACTAATAATCCACACCTCAATGACCTCAAAGACCATAGTTCTTCAAAATCTACACTAGCAGATAAGTGACTAATATCCAAATTAGGTATTTGATTTAATTTTACATCGAATAATAATTCATTCTCAATATCTCAAGTTGTTAATAGATGTTAATTATACATCGAATAATATATACTTAGCCTATAAAATGGACATATGAACACGTGCATGGCCATCACATATCACAAATGTCTAGTTTCTAGATTCCTATTTTTTCCAATTTGTTGGTTCGTTTTCGCAAAGTTTTAAATAGAGAGGACACGTTGGGGTTGATTGTGTTTGTTTGTGTATGCAAATTCTTCAAACTGAAAAGACGCCTCCTGACGTCTGTCACGTTCTTAATTACTCAGATGGAAGTTATGGTGAGAAAGAATCGAATTTTGTACGTAGACCCAAAGGAACGCTGGCCTATCCTTTTCCTCACAATGGGAAAAGACTTTCTCTCGGTGGGAGCGGAATAATGCATCAAGCCATCACTAGCAAGGGAACAAAACTGATGAACCAAATGAGACGGTGAAAGTAACTCTATACCCTAAAAGAGAAACGTGAAATCAGAGATTATGGTGCAATGTATTCGTACTAATAGTCGCTTTGATGATTTGAGTGATGTGTGAATTTAAAGTCTACGAACATTATAATTAATTGCTCTTCGCATGAAACAAATTGGGTTTAATAAGCTTAATATTTGTGCAAACCAATTAAACACGCTGAGATTATTCTAACTGTTCATAATTTGAATATCAAATTCGTAAGTAAATGAGGACTCTAATCACTATCGAGTTCAATGTCAATACATCCGAGAAAGTGACCTTCATATGGACGAACCACCTACTCAATATGAGTGGATCATGTACACTTGTAAAAGTAGAATAATATTTCTCATATATTATATGCGTGTAGTGTAGGCCAATCTTTCATTTTCTTGGCATGCAATATTTAGATATGGAGTTCTCGTTTCTCGGTTATCTTTTGATTTTGATCACTCAGCTCGCCGGTGAGTTCACGGCAAGGGTATTTTAAAGTTGACGATTTTTCATTCTTTGTGTCGCCGAAAGAAGAAAAGGCAAAGGGTGGAGGGGGAAGCTGCATTTAATAATAGAACTAACTATTTTGCTTTAAATGATTCGTTTCTATTCGTAAAAGTAGAAGGAAGGAAAATTGATTCATTTCGTCCGCATAAAGTATTCATGGAGGTCATGTCCCTCTTATCGTCTGAATTCGAATCGATGCAAATCAAATCATAATGGAGAGAATAGAGGAATTGTAAAGATATGATGATTTTTATCGGATACTTTACTTTCTTTATTCTTTAGAGAATTCAATGTAACGGAAATGTTCAATTTATAGTATGCATATCGAGTTTTGCTATTTAAACTATGAATTAGTAAGGTATCCTAATCTCTAATCAGGGAATCTCATTCTCTAATTTTTTTTTTACTAAAGTCAAAACCACAAGATTCATTTAATATAAAAATTAAAACTGACAACTCGAATATAGTCGATGAAATATATCAAAGTATATATAATAAGTGTGGATGCAGACGTATAACATATCGCAGGCGTACACTAGCCATTGTTATCAATATTTATATAAACATTGTCTCGTCTGACCCAAAGTTCAATTTCGTTCCATTCTGTCGAATCTGACCCGAATCATTGTCTTCTTCTTCCATAATTGTGATTCAAAGTATCAAAACTCATAAAATAGTAATGGGCCAAATCTTAGCCAAGAAGAAACTGACAAAGTTGATAAATGAATTTAATTTCTTAACATTCGAGAGTACTAGGTGAATTGAAAAATCTTGTATTAAGACGCTAGTAACTCTTTGTATCTTGCAATCAATGTAGACGGGTTGGCATATAGAAACCTTAACACCATATTCATTTGTAGAAAACAAAGACCACAATCACTTACATGACACCAATCCAAAAGGGCGGTGACCAATCGATGATGTATACAGTATACCTTGTTCATTAAGTGCATGAAAACTAAAGAATATGAGCTTAGTACAACCATGAGATTCCATGTGGTTAGGAATCAACGAAAGGCACAAAACATACCACAGAATGACAGAATGAAACACATTTGGTTTTAGGTCATTGTCTGTCGTTGAGAGCTATAGCGTTAATTTGGTTTATCTTTCCAGTGAGCATCATTCAGAGGGAAGTACTGTACTTATTCTGATTCCAGCATGCATGCTGTTCATGATGGAAGTCCACACAACTTCAGGCCACAATTGATTGGTACTTCTTTTAACAAGACATGTGAATGATGACTTGGAATTGTGTATGATTTTGGACTTCAATTCTTTCAGATAGTCGTCGATTTACATTCCTTTTACACACGAGCTTTGGATCATGGGTTTGTAAATGAATGTAAAGGTAATAATGTTGTGTGCACATTCTTTCAAAGGCAATGGGTCGATTGAAAGTTGAAACCCATGGCCATGGTTTGTTTTTAGTAATAATGAGATGAAAAAACCCATGTCTAAAACTAGATGAATTCATATATAGGGAATTCAAAGCTGATGAGTTTTTAAAAAAATATTATATTCTCTTATAGAAAATTCTAATAATTGAAAATTTGCATTAAAAATTACTATATAGGGGATGACTGTTTATTCGACATACAATAAGAAAATTCTTGTTAATTCACAATCTTATATAAATTAATTTCTAGTTAACACTCAGTAGTCAATATAGGATAACACTTAATCATTATAACTCATTTCAACTCAACTAATACCTACCATCACCAATGTACACTACTCAATACTCATACTCCTCTACCTATTTATAGAAACGTTCCTGGCCTCGCACATCCACATACTGTGAAATTAACCTATCGGATACATCAAACTACTGCATAACAACTTCTCCAAACCTCCAAGCACAATTGGTGTTAGAGATTATAACATTTTTTATGGTTTATTATAGTTATTGAGATTATCTTAACAACAAGTTGAGATGGCCGAGTTGGTCTAAGGCGCCAGATTAAGGTTCTGGTCCGAAAGGGCGTGGGTTCAAATCCCACTCTCAACAAAAAAAAATTGTTTTGTTTCTTCACCCACTGTTGGGCCTTGAAGACAAAACTCGGCCCAGTAAGGTTTTTGGCAACTCGTTTCCTTCTTCAGTTTTTGGGCCTCAAGTAAACCACTAGGTTATTTGTTTTCTTCTTCTTCTTGATGTTTTCGGCCTCGGTAAATGGCAGCCCACTATTACGAGATGAGCTAGCATGGCTGTTGTCTGTTGAGCTATAAGGCCCAGTATCCGAAGCTGCATCACTGAGAAAACTTTTGCCTTTTGCCTTTCTAATGCTGTGTGTCGTGGAAATTTCGAGGCCTCTTGAGCTATGGGATAAGCCAAGGCTAGACATATTAGCTCAAATGCTCAATTGATTGTTTCATTACAAATTATCGTCCACCTTAAAAATTAAATTCACACTATACAAATTTGGATGAAACTAGAAAGCGTTGCAAGAATAAAGACCAAGAGTGATTACTTGTAAAAAGCTAATTAATCGTCTTTTATTTAGTCATAAATATCCGTACATTCAATTCAAAGTTTATATAATCTTAATAAATAAAAAAATATTATAATTACCGCAAATCCAATTATTGAAATCAATTAGTTCTAGGATTTATTACAACCAAGACTCGATCTATCCTTTTTCATACTAAGTTTAGACTTTAGACGCATATCCCTCTTCTTGTTTTGAAGGCTACCTCTTATTGCCATGGGGTATAAGGATGGATGTATCTCCTCGTTGACTTACGCAACCAAAAGAAAAAGTGCACTATTTTGGTCAACTCCCAATGGCTGGCGGAGTCGCCAAAGCATACATTCAATCCAATTGAGTTCACACCGTAGGGCTCCGTGCTTGCTTTCTAACCGTACCCATCTCCAACAATTTATGATGATTTTAAGAGAGTGGGAGTCTTGGAGAGGGTGGTCTGTATTTATGAACTGTTGTCTGTTGACCAACCCAATCAAATACCATTAATGTTTACCAATCATTGAGTTTGCTGTTTTCTTAATTGTGGTTCCTAATTTGTCTAAACAGTCATTATAGAATAGTTGGTTTTGGTGACAAACTTTTTATGGGATGACCATGTAGTAATAAGGTAATATTTTGATAGTACTGTGCTAGAGGCTATATATCAATCTACAAATTTCGTGTTTAAATTTTGGTATGCTCGGAGTTAATGAACAGTTCAAAGCAGTGTATATGTAAATTATTTATCCAATGCCGGCTTTGAGTTCAACATTTAAATGGATTAAAAAAAATAGCATATAGAAAGAATAATGTCAATGTGATTCTCTTTAAGATCTTAGTTTATCAATGATCCTTCATTTCCTTTCAACGTGGCTTTAGAAGATCCCAAAATTGTATTATTATAGTTTACTGCCAGCCTTGTAGTTTGCTCAATAATTCGTGGATATTCTCGCGCAATAAATTTTGAGATATATGATCTGTTAACTAAAAAATTCGAATACATAACATGCTAAATGCTAATAGCCTAATACATCGACTATTGAACTTTTATCATCTCTGCTGCGGTCTCTTTCCTCTCTCTAGAGTCTAGAACAACATTCATCATTGTCAATGCTTAAACATGAACCTTCATCATTCACATTACTCAAAGAGCTAGAAAATCTATACAAATGAAAAGTCAACCTTTGCTCCCGCCTGATTGATCAATAAATGCCCACTCACAAATTCAATCTAGCTCTCTTCCCTTTTCTCCTCTAATGTCACGAGCGAGTTGGACATGGAATTCAATATTATATATATGTTCCCGATCTACAACTTGCTGCAGCAATAGCATATTTGAAAAGAAAAAGGCAGAATATATAAAGATAGAGAGAGGGAGAGGAAGATAAGAGCACTCAGATTTAGGTGGGGGAGAGAGGAGAAGACAGCTTGCTCGATTACCAAATTGGGCAGTAGTTGTCTAGTTGATGAATGAAATAGTTTTGACTTTCTAAATGGGTTTGGACTTTGGACAATTAGAACTATTTGGAAGATTTAATTCCCATTAAAAACAAGATAAAGTCCAGGGACCAAAGATTTTGTAAGATTATCTTATGTTTCTTATTTGCCCATTGTTCTCAAGTTTACTCTTCTAGACCAAAATGAGTTTCTAATTCTCTTTAGATCTTGACATTCACAAATACAAACTTACAAATCATTCCATTTGCAAATTCATGTGCATCCATAATTCATCTCGTTAATCTAAATATGCCCAACGTTTATAATGATTGTATGTTATAATGCCACTAGTGAATTCAAAAGTAAATTTATAGTCAAATGTAAGACTTCACATTAAACAATAGAATAGTCGAAACATCACCTACTAATTCACGACACAATTTTTTTTGCAGATTATACAAATCGAGAGACAACGAGACAATCATGACTATATAATAAAAGGATCTATTTTTGCATGTGACATCTATAAGCTTTAAACTAATTAAGTTGATTAATGATCTTGTCAAAAATGTATATGTGTTTTACTTGACCTGGTATATACGTTTAACCCTTCGCTTGTCACTAGACAAAAGGGCCATGAAACAAGAAAACAAATACTATTTTATTGAACACGAGATCTACAAAAACCATTTCAATGTCGTTTCTTTTTAAAAACTCCACTCTACATGATCTTCCTTTTTTCTTCAATCTCTTATCTCTCTCCAGTCGCCTTAGCTTCTTCCCTCAACCCACTGAAAATCGTCTCCCTTCCCCGAAAATGGGAAAACTCGCCGTGATCAACTCACCCCCGACTCGCTCTCACTCGTCAGCAGCTCAGTTGCTTCTCCTCTCCCTTTTCTTCTCACTCGCTGCCGGTCAAACCGAGCTCCGACCCGGATTCCAAGCCACCCCAGACGGTTCAATATCGTCGTTCCAGCCGATCCTCAAAGACCCATCAGGCAATTTCTCACTCGGCTTCCTCCGAGTCAACTCGTCCCAACTCGCTCTTTCAGTCCTTCACCTCCCTTCCCTCCAGCCCATTTGGGCCGCCAACCCGACCCCAGCCACGCCCAGCTGGTCGGACCGGACTCGGCTCTCCTTCAACGGCACCCTCGTGCTCTCCGACTCCCGCCGTGGCATTCTGTGGTCAACGAGTCAGACCGACCCAGGCAACGCGGTCGTTTTGCTGAACACCTCCAACCTCCAGCTGGTTAAGCGAAACGGCGCCGTCTCGGTGACAGTCTGGCAGAGTTTCGACTTCCCCGCGGATACCCTCGCGGAGGGGCAGAACTTCAGCTCCGCCGCTTCCCTGGTGGCCTCCGGCGGCCGGTACGCCATGCGGCTGGGGGATGACTTCATGGCGCTGTTCGCCGACTTCGACGGTGACGGGGCCGCCGATCGGATCTACTGGAAGCACAAGGCGCTCGAGGCGAGAGCCGACGTGGTGCCGGGTCAGGGCCCGATTCACGCGCGGGTCGAACCGGAAGGGTTTATTGGGTTGTACCAGAACGGGACGGGTAATACTCCGGTCGATGTTCAATCGTTCAACAGCTTCAGGCGTCGGGTCAGCGGGTTTTATATTGTCCGGGTCGAACCGAACGGGAACCTCAAGGGTTACAACTGGGATGGAGCCAATTGGGTTCTCGAGTACCAGGCCATACCGGACGGGTGCAGCCTGCCCGACCCATGTGGTTCGTACGGGCTGTGTCGACCCGGACCCACTTGTTCGTGTCTGGACAATGGGACCGAGTCGGATTCTAATCAACCCACGAGTCAGTGTTTGGCCGCTCCAGCGGCGGGCAATTTGTGCAATCAGGTCGGACTCGAAAACGTCGATAATTTTCGAGTCCTCAGGAGGATTGGGGTGGACCTACCATTCAAGGAGCTGACAAGCTACATAACAACCACATCGTTGGGAGAATGTGAGGGCTCCTGCGAGAGAAATTGTACGTGCTGGGGTGCAGTGTATAACAACGCGTCTGGATTCTGCTACATGTTGGACTATCCTATCCAGACGATGTTAGGTGTCAACGATGATAGCAAGTTTGGATACTTTAAGATAAGGAATGAAGTCGCTTCGAAAGTCGACGAGAAGAAGATGGGTTCGGGCGCACGAGTCGGACTCGTGTTCCTGTGCCTATCCGTCTTGGTTTTGGTCGGGGCGGTCGGGGTTGTGTGTGTTAGGGCGTGGAAGAAGCACCGGAGAGGGAGTAACCGGATCTTGGAAGAGCAGGAAGGGGTTTCGGCGCCGGGCCCGTATAAGGATCTCGGGTCGGATAGTTTTCGGTCCATTGAGATGGGCGATAGAAGATGACGTAAGGGATGACATTTTTGTGGCCGGCGCTACGTAGTGGTGGGCGTTTTGACTAAATTGTGGATATTCATATTGTTTTTTTTATAGTAGTCAAACGGGACAAGCAAAATCCTTTTTTTTTAGATTGGTTTTCATTATTTTTATTGTTTTTATGGGATAATTTTATTTGTAACAAGTAAAAATAATACTAGAGCCAAAACGTCATTCGTTACTAACTTTTTGTGACTAATGGCAATGGTTCCAATATTGTTTTCCCATCACTACTTGGTTGATTGTTTCATTTTTTTAATAAAGCAAACTATTTTCTTTATGAAACTCTGTTATATGTACAATATAATTTACCCATGGTTAGATCAAAGTAATCAATCACAACCATATTAAAGGGGAGACACAATTGATCAAAAAGCACTTTGGTAATGGCTGGTTGATTGATCGCAATGATAGACTTAGGAGTACATTCACGAGAGAGGTACATGAATCTCGAGAATATAAAGAATACGAAGATACAAATTTTAACATGCACACTATTTTACTAGGGATACGAACGAGTATAATCAATTGAGCCTAACTTGGATGTAAAAAAAATATTTATTTTTTTCAATCCACAAATACAACGAAGTATATCAAAATGTTCCACACAAAAAAAAAGTATATAAAAATACGAGTTAGTTCATCTCTCTAAAATTTAAGTCAAGCTTTTTCACTACTTATAATTGATTACAAAATTAACATCTCTCTAAGGGCTGAGATCATTTCGAAAATTCATATTTCTTTAATTACAAAACTTACACCAAACGTTGAACAACAATTCAAAAGACTAACCACATAAATTCAAGAAAATAAAATATTATTATATTATGATGTATTTGTACCGTCACCAATTAAAAAAATTAGCATATTCAGAGTGATATGTTATTTCTGGGTCGTAAAAGTATATATAAAAAAATTCAATCACACTTGTCACATTATTGTATATATAAGAACATTTTGTTACTGCATGCATGTTGAAGAGTATTCATAGGAGAGCTCCATTTTCCTTCCTATAATTTGGGCCGGAGGATGAAAAAGGCCTATCATTTTTGGGCTCCGGAAGCAAGTTCATATCATTAGAGAGCTTTTGTCGGCCTAGCCCAATTACTGCTCTTATGTTTGCTGCTTCCGGCTCTAAGTCATTTGGGGTTGGGGCTCAATGGCGCATGGCCTCTTCTCTCTTTTCTTTCCTGGCGGGGCGGCTGACTGCTTTTCTTCTGCCACGATCTAAAAGTAGCAGCTAGCCTCTGCTTTTCTTTCGACGTACTACTAATAAAGTTGGTCCCATGCAATGCAATGCAAGCCTGACGCCCTTTGCGTGGTTAGGTTATGGGCTTTACGTAAAGGGTGGCATAACCGTTGGCCATTCTTGTAGTAGGTAGTAGGATGATAACCATAAAAGAAGAAAAGAAGCAATCACGTACGTGGCTTTAGCCATATTCTTCCTTTTTATTTTATTATTATTACCATATTACAATAATTGAATTTATTTAATCATCTATACGGTTTTGTCTGGTATTTTAATCAAGTATATATAATCATCTTAGCGCGATGGTATTTTGATATATTCCAATTGAGTCTACTGATTTTCGGTTAACCGAACGGCCATCCCGATAGACACACAAATACAATGTTATATGTGGTTAGATTTATGTAAAGTGTATATTTCGAAAGAGTCAAACTACTACATGTCAAGTAGTCCAATTTGCCAATTCCAAGGACGCATCCTTGCAGACAGTATCTATTGGAACTTTCACTTCCACTCCCCCCCACAGCCACATGTATGCATGCTTCATAATCAATGGAGATCAATAATCAGTCGGCCTGCTGCAGGAAATCCTTTGTAATATTCATTCATTTCTTTCTTTTGTATTTTGTTTCAACTACAGATTGTCCACCTCTTTCAATGTTGGCGTACTGTGAAAACACCACGTTCTCTCCCTGCCTGCCAAAGCCACTCCTCGAAGCGGCGAAAGTGAAAGAGCAGTGAGCTAGCTGGGTAGCTGACTCTTGTTGACCGCCATTAATGCTCCTCTCCTCCTTTCCTTCCAACCTCTTGATTCATTCTACTTTGTGTGTTTACATTTTTATACACTCAGTATACATCTTAATTCTTACTTCATTCATGAACGAAATCATCAATTCGAAGTTTGTATGAGAAACGTGATGGTGAAAATGTGTCATAATCTATATACTAATATAAAAAATCGGTCCACTCCATGTTAATAATCTGAGTTGTTGGGAAAACAACCAAGATTACAGTACATGTGACATCTGTCCCTCGATACTTCCCTTTCAGTAGGTTACCATTTGATCTAATCAAACTATTCCCTTCATCTAATGCTCTGTCTTCTTCTTCGGCAGCCTCACCGCAGGCCAGTAAAGTTAAGGAAGTAACCCTTTTCACCCGGAAAAGAATTGAATACCTTATTTCCCATTCCCGTGACAAGAAACGAATCATCCATTATATTTCTCGCTAGCTAATACCTTTTTCTCTCCTCTCCTTTTTCATATCCACCACTTTCCATATTCCTGGGATCGCACGTTTTCTTCCAGTTTCCAGGAAAGTGGGCTCGATCTGTCCCTCTCACTGACAGAAGTTTGAGCTGCTTCAGAGGAAATTAAAAGAACATCATAAGACTGTTTCAAGACATCGATTGCTGCCTCGTTGTGTGACTGTTGAAAGCTTTTGCTTTTAGAAGGGTTTTGCCACCAACAGTTTCTTTTCTTTCAGAAGGTTTTGTTGCGGCAGATGTATATGAAAATGGTGGGCCGGATGATGGTATGGATGTATGAAAGCAGAGGCTCATAGGTCAATGTTCATGGCGAAAACAGAGTACTCTGTTTTCCTTTTACAGGAAGCGGTGGCCCTTTCTATAGTAAGCTTGGCAGAGTTGCCATTCATGTCGTTTCTTCACCCCTGCTTCTGCTTGGTAGAGAGAGTGGGTTTGTCGTCTTTTTTCCTGTCGAGAAGGATCGTGATTTGAGATGGAAGGATTACAGTAGACAAATGTGGCGGGTAAATACATAGCAAACAAAGGTAGAAACATGGATTGCGATTCATGATCATTTGGTATGCGAGCCTCGAATGAACTTATGCTATATGGATAGTGTAATAAGGTAAAAATTCGTATACAATACTAATAATGGTTACTCCTAACAATACTAACATTTACGTTGTTCGACAAGTCTTATCATTATCAAAATTTTCAATTTGTTTACACACCCACTTCTAAAACATTCAATAAGATGATTAAGTCGTCCAAATTCACGTATAAAATTAACCACAACCGGAATGAGTGAAATTAGTTCTGCTTCATTACCAAAATGACTCAGTTCGACTTGCTTCAATCCCTTTTTGATAAAATTTATCTCAACATTTTGACACTATTTATATGTTAAACTTAGAGTGTTATTGTGTTAATCGTGTCATAACCTGGAATCTGTAAAGACTTGGTCATGAGACTCACCTACATAGAGTTACATACATACTCAATCTCTAGGGGATAAACTTCCCCTACAAAACTGAATACCACATTTTCAAATGTGAAGAGAGTGAGACCTAGCATGAACCTCTGAACCAATCAACCAATGAATCTCTCTTACCTACACTAATTAAGAATGCAACCAATTCGATTGATTACATACTTAGCTAATCGTGGGCACTCTCTTGATGTTGGTTGGCTATCATCTTACTCTAAACAAAAAAAAAGTATTTTAGATCTCCTTATCTCGAAGTATTACAAATACAGGTTAGATGTCATTTTGCACTCATTTCTCCCAACAAATGTATTCATATTCAAGATAAAATTGACTCGAACAACATGACTTATAGTATGCAACTATATCTTGCTTGCGTTATACATTATCCAAGGGAAATAGATAGATCCATTTAAATATTTTGAGTCTTAATTTTATATGCCTATTTCTAATTGTCCTATAATCTATTAAAAAAAAACCGTTGTTGGTTGACATGTCTCATTCAAATTTTAAATACTTGGTTATTTAAACCCTTATTTGTTTTTTCCTCACATGTTAACCACATGAAAAAGGAAACCAATTATCCTTTTTAGATGCTGCAATTATATCATATATCAACTTATATTGTTCAAGATATTTAAGACCTTTTTCACTCAATAAAGGTTTCCGATTTTCTCACTTATTGTTTTTTTTTAGGATTCATAATGGAACTTCCAAGAATTGTTTTATTAACATAAAGGGAAACGAACCAATTAAATGGGGGAAAGTGTGCAATTATGAGTACTAATTATTAGGAGGATGCGTTGTTATCTTATTAATCCCTTTTGTGTTCATAATTATTTGATTTATTTAGTATTCTTGGATAATTATGTTCTTTCTCAAAGGTTAAGAGTATTACTCTATATGCCTAAAATTAGACCAAGTAAAATCTAAAAATTCCATTCTAAACTCTCGATAATGTCTATATAAGAAATACTAATATAAATATGTGATATGATGATGGTATGCAAATTTCAAATTTATGATTTAGCCTTTGTTTTAAGTATAGTATATTGAGAATGATGGGGTCTTCTGATAAATTAGACCTAAAATTGGTGGTCGATTATATCCAATTGGAAAAGAAATGCTTTGGATGGTAGGATTGAAAGAATATCCGAAGGGAAGTTATATGGGCGAATTGTCTTTGCCGTTGGTGGAGTAGGTGAAGTTCAAATCTCAACTTTTAATTCGTTGTGGTCCAGTAAAATACTAACTTATTATCCAGTCCCTTGACCAATCGTAGTTTCGAAAATTGACTGTTTGATTCTAACTAATATTACTCGTTAACATGTATGCGACGATTGTCGTTTGCCCTCTCCAATTGGTCTATAAGCACCCATCCCAACTCAAATCTCCCAAAAGTATTCATCCCAACTCACTTAAGAGAGTTTAAGGGTTCGGTCCAACTAAGACATGAAAATCGAGATCTAATAATATAATATAGTTTATCGGGATCTCAAGTTCTATTGATTTCGTGTAAAACTTACTAGTCTTCATTACAAAACTTGCGCAGTATACTAGTATTTAACGGAATTTCAAATTCTATTGATTTCATTGTTACGAGTCGTTTCATGTCCGTTTTGTGATTAGTCAAGTTATTGGAAGAGAATGATGAATAAATTTCTTATTATTTCCTTACACTTATAATCATTTGTGAAACCTGAAGTTTGGATATTGATTCATCCTAATTCCTAGGCTATGCTCAAGTCAATAATCAACAATGCCAACAAACAATACTTATTCAAATTCCAATAACTCAAATTATTGTAAGGTACTTTAAATACATCGTATACCTTGTATTATTTTGTATAAGGCTGATATCGATTAATTGTTCGTATTATGTACTATTTAAGCAATTTGAACTTGAGTTCTCTAAATTAAAGATCAACAATATAACTGCTCGCTTGTTTGCTCGTATACTTTAAAAAATAGCATTCTCTTAATTTCTTATATTTTGAGTAAACCTTTTCATTATCATGTCATGTCCAACCATGAAAGGTGATGTTGATTGTTTCATATATGAAAATTAGTCGGTAGAAATGAGACGCCTCCATTTTTGTTGTTTCTTTCCCTCATTAAATTGGCATTAAGCCAATCTGAGATCCATAATACTCGTGGATTAAAAAAAAAACGGAAAATAATCAAATCTCACTTGACGCTTAATGGAAGATTAATTAAAGAGCTTAATAAACCCGAAATGACAGTTTCATAATCCATTAATTCCCCTCGCGAAGTCAAACTGTTTAACTCATTGATGGTCATTAATTAAGGGAACCCATCTTCGAAATTTCCATCTTCTGGCTAATACCATAGTGAAATTAATAAGTCCCAATTCTAGGGTTTTGGTAATGCCGTAATGGTGATAATGCGCTATCAAAATAGTACCCAATCAGGAACAAATAACTTGACACAATAAACTGAATTGATATTTGAATCGAACTGAACATACTAATATTATGGTTTGATTTTGATTCTAATACAATATTTTTTACTTTCTTGGGTTAATACTATTTAATCCTCTAACAAAAATACATAAATATGTGAATCATAGTTATATCAAATGACTTCGGTTTTTATATAGACCATGTAATCATAATTTCATGATTCTTTCTTGGGGGTTTATACACTAAGTACACCAATTTAATCAAATTTATACAGAATTAGACGATAATAGATCATATTGCATTGTACTTAAATCTAACTCGAAAAGAAATTCAAAACGATAACTTTGCTTCTTCCAATTCGTCATCATTTCTTAAAATTCTATACCAATTGAATCCAATTTCGAATCAAACCTGACCAGACCGTCGTTCATCTGACCCTCTCGCCTCTCGGTTCAAACATTAACCAAACACCCTAGTACAAACTCATCCTTTGCCTGACCTAAGAATCTCTATAAAACACATCCATCCTAGAGAAGCTATAATGTTCCTTCCATTTTCGTTCTCCCCACACCAGGCAATGGAAACGACATTTCCACATGGTAGGAAATTCAGATTCACACATCGCTAGTAAACCCTTTTAATTAACATTCTCTTCCTTCTCCTTCCCCTTCCCCCTTTTGTCACCTTCAAACCCTTTCCAAGTTCCATCCTTTCCCTCAAATTCGCGACACTCTGTTCTTTCCCCTGCACCCCTAATCATGAGGAGCATCGCGACCTGCTACAGCGAAAACGCCATCAAAGTCTCCGACTCCTACTGCTCCGGACCGGCGTCGAGCCGGACCAGCATTTCCCAGCACCCCACCCGCCCGGCGCCGAGCTCCGTCACTTCCACTTACAAAATAATCAGAAACAACTCCTCGCTGAATTCCAATCCGATTTTCGTCACCTTCAATTGGTCCGGTTGCGGCGGAGGAGACGGGGGGTTTTCAATCTCGTTAACGGACAAAGTCCCTTCTGCTTCTAATTCGCCGGCTCGCCATTTTCGAAAACCGAAAGGGAGCAAAGAATTCGAAGCCTGCGGTTGCAGAATCGAGTTGCTCTGGAACCTCTCCCCTGCTTTCTACGATGCAGGGCCCGAACCGGTCAGTGGGTTCTACGTCGTCGTATTGATTGATTCGGAACCCGGGTTGTTCCTCGGAGACGTCGAGGAGATCGAGGACGAGGAAGGCGAGGATGGGTTCCGGCGAGGAGGGGTAGACGGGGAGAAGATTCGCCTGGCGGCGGAGCTCTCCCCTGTTTCCCGGATCGAGAAATTCGTCTCCGGCGGGTCGGGTCGCGGTTCGTATTCGACTCGGGCGCAGTTCAGCAGGGTGGGGGAAATGCACGACGTGATGATCAATTTCGGGACTGGGGGTGATCAGTCGTCGGTGGCGGCGGGGATGTCGGTTTTGATCGACGGGCGGCGGGTTTTCGAGGTGAGGAGGTTGAGGTGGAATTTCCGCGGGAATCAGACGATTTTCTTGGACGGGATTGTGGTGGACGTGATGTGGGATTTGCACGACTGGTCTTTTAAGGAAATAGGGGAAGGAGAAGCAGACGGCCGCGGCAGAGGAGGATGTACGGCGGCGGCGGCGATGGGAGCGGCGGTGTTTTTGTTCAGGACAAGAAGCGGATTGGACAGCAGGCTGTGGCTGGAGGAGAAGATTCTTGAGCAGAAGAAGGATCCAGAGAGAGCTGAATTCTCTCTATTGATTTGTGCATGTAAGAAGCCTGGTTGATCTAGTGAAGCTCGTTCGTTTCTTGATTGAGTTTGAGTCGAGTGTGATAAGATTTTCTAAGTGTGAATATAATTTTTTTCAATTTATGATTTGAGAAATTCGAGCTCTTAAGTGAAGTTGATTGAATATGATAGATACTTCCGTTTCCATCAAGTTAATTGGTGATAAGTTTACCAAGTTTATAGAATTATAGTTATATTGACGAGTTAGAGATATAAGAATATGGAAACTTATTTGGCGATTGAGGCTAGCCACATTTGCAAGTCTCAGGTACAAGTTATTGATTATCAAGTGTAGTGGTGTTTGTGAATTTCAGAAACTGAATCCTTAACTTAGTGAGATGTCGTATACCTTTACTTTTTCGGTATATGGCTATGTCCCAGTCTCAAATATGTGGCGTTAATTGATCAAATGTAGTTCCATTTTTGTAAATCTAGAAGGCAAGAGACATAGATTAAGTGGGTTAATGGTAATACACATTTGTTTTTTTTTTTTTGGTTTGGTTGCTTTCTCTTGGTGGTGTGGTGGTTTCTTGTTGTGTGTCTTCAACATTGGATATGGCCATATGGGTTCTCCACTTCGAATTTGTTCTTCTTGGTTAAGGGTAATCGAGGGAATCAAGAAGGGAAGCTAGCTAGAATGTGCACATTGATGGTTGAAAGAGAAATGTACTTATTGAAAGGAGTGGTGTGGGGATTGAAGCTTTGTAAATGAGAAACTTCTCCAATGAAATTATTTTAATGGAATATGATATATATAGTCTATGTACTATTTTACTCTAACAAACATGTCTTTCTAATATGAACATTAACAAATACGTTATGAACTACATGTTTTATTTATTTCAAGTCTCACTACTTATTCTCTAACCAACCCTTCACATCGTTAACAACTTTTCACATGTTATACATGCTAGAATCGTGGTTATTGCCATTAAACCCAACCCATAAAAAGCCCATATCACAAGTTAAAAAAAATATTTGCGGAATCTTATTTAGAAGCAGAACAAATATTTTTACTTTTTAGCACATAGGATCATTAACACACATGTGATATGTCATCGTGAACTTGTTTACTAAGCAATTAAGCATGTCGATCTCGACTATAAGGGACTTGTATTGCACAAAAGATTGGCCTAAGTGACTAATAGTAGATGAACAACTTACTACCTACTCAAGTCTCAAACATATTTGTTTCAACATTAATAGTCAAAGGACTTGCTTGTCAAACAATAAAATTACATGGACCACAAATGTCATTTGCAAATAAATATGTATCTTAATTGATTCTTGGGTGTTAGTTTTAAGTTCTTTCATTTGTTCCTGTCAACACATGGGATGAAGAGCGACGAGTGGACAGCCGCTGGAGGGGGAAAGGAACAGAAGCTATCAATCTATCTTGATTCTATAAAATTATTATTATTAGAACATTAATTAAGAGTGAAATTGGGAAATTTCAAGAGCACAAATCAACAGTTTTAATTATATTTAGGAATGAGTAAGAGATATGCTTATTGGGTTCTATATGTTAGCAAACGGCCGGGAATTGTTGAAGGATTGATGCAAATAGGTATAATCCATGTAATTAAAAAATTGATAAGAAATCACACGTTATGTAACAATTAATATATTCTTCATCAAGAAAGAAACCTATTTACATTTGAACAGTTGATTGAAACAAAACGAGATCTTAGATTATCATATGAAAACGAAGTTGATAGTTGAAACTTATAACTTTAGGTACACTCTTATACACATTCAAGCCACAACTTAGTAACCCATTGTACCATTTTAACATCAAATTTAACTGCCACAAAGAAAATGCCTTTTAATTTGTGGACGCTTTCCCATGTTTCCTCCATAGTCCATATGCAATTGACCCCGGTCCTTTTCGAGTAAAATTTTGAACTTTTAATAAGTCAATTATATATGAAGTATATATTTTTCAGTTAGGGTTATATACTAAAACCACCCTCTCCTTTGCCTATTTAGACAAACACACTCTCACTTTCATTATTAACTAAAACACTCTTCTATAATCAAAATCTTCACACACAAGCTCCTTACCAAGTTTTCCATCCAAGAAGCTGTCGAGGGCTACATTCCGACCTCTCTCGGGATATGTAGAAGATCAATTTTGAAATTTCCTTATTAATCTCCGAGTCGCCTCTTTGACCCAATAACTGAAGAGTTTTTGTATTGAAAATTGTAATGTGAGACTTGTTTGTTAAGATTATGATCGTAGGAGGGTGTGTTAGTTAACAACGAAAGTACAAGTGTGTGTTTGTTAAAAGAGGCAAAGTAAAAGGGTTTTTTTTAGTACATAACCCTTTTGTCTATTTTATATTCTATAATTCCATTAAGAAAAATGAATATACACAAAAAAAAATCACTTTCTTTCAAATCTAAAATTAGATAATCCTTACAAATATCTGAATATTTTCAAAAACTTCGAAACTATATATATGTCAAAATTATCAACATCGAGTCATTTTCATATCTATCAAGTTGACAAATCTTGATTTGGACTCTTGATTAGCACAACTAGCTCTACCTCTCTACCAATCAACAGTTATGGGAAAACAATGTTTAACTACAACGGATTTAGTCGCGTAGGACATGACTGATATAGTGTGTGCCATGTCTTGGTTGGCTATGTTGATATTGATGGTTTAGAATTAGATGCTTTGCTTACTATCTTATCAAACCGGTTCTCCAACCACGTGGTTGGGTGGGTGGGTTTTCCCAGCTGGACCCCGTCTCCAGAGCCTGCAAAGCCCATATAAACTTCCAAGTGTCAAGGGCCCAGTGGCCAGTACCGACATAATCTTTTGTCGGCGTAACAAATTGGGCCGCTATCGAGGAAAGTGGACCGGATTTTCTCTAGCTGTGGTTTCGTATATAGTATCATACGCACGGCCCAAGCCCGATGCTGATGATGCAAAATGTTTTTTTTGGGTTAATATTTCGTATGGCCTCAACTTTGACCAAAATAAATATCCTATCCAATCTTTTCGATTTATAACATCCTGGCCCGAAATATACACCAAAATAAACAATTTGGCCAGATCCGACTTTTGACCGTTAACTTGGACGGTCAAACGCGTTGACTGTTAGTCAACGCGCTATGTCACTGCCAAGTCAGCATAAAATATTTAAAATAATTCACAATTTCCACACATTCCCTAATTTTAAATTATTATAAATTAAAAAATCATCTAATACCTTAGTTAAACCAAAAATGAAAAATGAAAAAAAATAAATATTTATCAAATCTTCTGACTTGGCAGTGACGTGGCGCGTTGACCGTTAGTCAACGCGTTTGACCTTTCAAGTTAACGGTCAAAAGTCGGATCTGGCCAAATTGTTTATTTTGGTGTATAGTCAGGATGTTATAGATCGAAAAGATTGGCCTGGATGTTTATTTTGGTCAAAGTTCAGGTCATACGAAAATATTAACTTTTTTTAATTATACAACAAGTGTTGAGCCAACCATGGTGTTACTATACACATTATGGCCAATCAGTATATACACGACCATGGAGCATCATAGTGCACGCATGATTGGGCTAATATAAAACTAACAGATGGAAACTAAGGAAAAAAGCACGTCATTTGGCATGCGGCCAGCCATTTCTAGTGTCACATCACATATACCCGTGGTGGTCAATGGTTCTATCTATATGATTTCAAATGTTTTAGCAAAACATAATTAGTTGTTAAGAAATGACAGTGATACAAAATTATCAATAAAATGAGGTGTTGGGTCCTAACTTTTGCTCTCTCTAGATGAACAAAATTAAGTGAGTCACTACGAGAAAAGTGACTTTTGGCAACACTTGCACTGCAACACTTTTTAGAAGTGTTACATAAAATAAAAATATGCAACACTTTCGTCACGTGTTGCTTAATGTGTATCTTATGCAACACAAAGTAGTCATACTTAAGTTTTTGTTGCATATGTCTAATAATATGCATCACTTGTGCAATAAAATAAAATATGTTGTCAATTCTTTACGTTTTAAGCAACACTTAATTAGAAAATTTTAAGAATTATACATTATTAACTGTACTTGTACTATATGATTTAGCATTTGAATTTAAAACTAAATAGAGCTTCACTATGATTATAAAAAGAAGAAATTTCCAGTATGAATATTAAAATGATTTCGTATACCATTGGTTCCACCAAGCAACCTCATCATCGTCGAATCGATCTCTATTAAGGAAAAACACAATTATTTCTCTGACAATTCATATTGTAACTAATGTATTACGATACACATTTGTCGTGAATGTTGTATCGCAGGTGACAAAACCTCATAACAAAAACGTCTTTTTGTTACAAAGACATTGTAACCGGAGCATAACCGATGTGACAGGAAAAGTTTGCAGCCTATGTTGTCGACACTGCAACGATAGCTTTGTCACAAAATCTAATAGTGTGACACAATTCTGTCACAAAAACATAATTTTATGACGAAATTTATATCACAAAGTTATAATTTGATTACTTAAGTATTCCCCAATTAGATCTAACAATAGTTGGTTTTATTACTTAAGTGATTCTAACGTTTTTAGTGAATAAAATATTACGACTTAATAGTTTTTACATTATTATACGTTGATAAAAGGTAAGTAAAACAAATGATGTTATTAGTTAAACAAATAGAAAAATGGTGTTAATAAGCTTAGCTGTACACGGAAGTTATAATTGAAGAATATTAATAGTTATCTACAAAATAGTGAAAATTTTGAAATCATGTCAGCGGGAGGATTTTTGAACGATATATAAGTTATTCTTAGACTAATATATTTACAAAGGGAAAGCTGTTTAATAGCTAATCCCTGATTTTTCTCTTAAAGATCTTCCCAATGCTTTCAACGAGGGAAAACCCTTCAAATTCAGGTCTTCTCCACTCCGTCTATGCCCAACTTCTCCTCTGCTCTCACGATTCCCAATTTCGAGCGCTGCTACGAAGTCTTGATCCAGAAATTACTAGTCTCTTTTAACGCTTCCGGTAAGCCGGCACGACATCCTCTTTATCTTCTCCCTTATAAGCCGCTGCTTCTCCGGCGAATTTGCGTTCTATTAATTTATTTTTTTATTGAATATTTTTTTACGAGAACATAAATCTCCAGTTTCATGTTAACTAATCATCATTTTCTTTCAATTCTCTATTTTGGGGCTTTCCCATAACTATGCTTACAGGTTTGAAGTACTTCTAGTAAGTTATCCATCTCAAGAAACAATCCAAGGAGTCAAGAGCAGAAGGAGTTGTGGGTAGGGTTTCATTGCAAGGTTCTTGTGAATTTAGTTGAGTAAGCAAAGGCGGCATGGAAATCAACAATTGACAATTCTCTCCAAGTAGAGCTTAAGCAAGCGACGAAGAGAATGGTTGCTTTTAGAAAGATATCCGCGAGGTTTCCAATTGATCTGAAGAGAATCTAGATAGTTTTTTTTTACTATTTAGTTCATATTGTTAGGTAGATTGAATATTCGTCAAGATATGTATCTTTTATTTTCATAAATATACCACACTCAGAGAATTTCACGAAGCAGCCACGATCAGTCAGCTCATAAGCATTCAAGCCTTAAATTTGATTATTTTTCGCAACAGAAAAATATCAGCACTAGTATATACTATTTCATACAATGCATAGTCGCTATTGATATTGTCGTCTATGATAAAAATACTAGTCACAAAAGTGTTCTTTCATGACAAAGACCCCATAACTTAAGGTATACTGTGATTGACAAAAAAAAAGTTGACCAATATTGTAGTAGGAACAATAAATTTGTCACAAAAAATTGAATTTGTGACACCCACGCTATCATGAAATCCTCCTTTTATCACAAAAGTACAGTCAGAAGTGTGACTCGTTTGTGACAAGTTAAACCGGTGATAATTAAAATACATTTGGTTATGGGAATAACTCGTCACAAATTTATAGTGTTTGTCACAAGCAAAAGTTGTCACGATAGAATACGTTTTATGTGATGAAAAAAACTTGTCACGAATAAAGCATATACATGTCGGTTATACTAGTCAAAAAGTGTTGCCAAAAATGGTGTTGCATATAGAATATACATATGTAACACATATATTGGTTGTTGCAAAAGGTAAAAAAAATGTTACATATTACTTTATACAACACCACTTATAGAGGACACTACTAAAAGTGTTGCATATTGTATATGCAACACTTTAGCCACTTTTTACAACACATTTGAAGTGTTGCCGAAAGCCACTTTTCCCGTAGTGGACGAAAATATCAATCGCGATGGTATTAGAGCGATATATAGCACCATACACAGGACAGGATGGGCTAAAAATAAAATTAACAGATGAGGGGAAACCAGTAAAAAAGAAAAGGGATGAATTAAAGAAACGAGTGGAGGAGCGACGTATTCTCCAAGTCAGAGACCAGAGGAAGGAAGGGTTAATTTTTTTTCTCGTGAGAAAAAAGCCAAACAAAAAAACGGGAAACAGCGACAATTTCGATGCCCTTTCCCTCCCTCACTTCACTTGCCTTTCTTCTCCCCGATATATAAACACCCAACCCCATCATCCTTCTACCTCAACTCGTCTTTCCCACAGTTTCCCCATCTCGCTCATTCCTCTCCTCTCCATCGCTTCTTCATCATGTCTTGCTACAAGGGCAAATACGCCGGTAAGTCTCGCCTTCCTCTCTCTTTGATCTCTTTCGGTTGTTCTTGCGTTCTCTTATGCCTTGTTCGTCCGATTTTTCCGCTGAGAGTTTCATTTAGATCTGCCTGCCTATGTTTCGCGTTGCTTGATATGGCTCGATTGCATTCCGTTTACGAATTCTAGTCGGTTGTTATCTGGAACTGTGTTTGTGCGATCTCGATTCGTATGTAAACTGCTCAGGAATGTGAGTTTTTGCTGCTGTTCCGGGATCCATTTATCTGTGGTTTGTCTCGTTTGATTGCGCTTCGCCGGAGCAGTCTCTGGATAGCCGGAGGAGCTAGTTGATTTGCATCAATGTAGTTCTCAGATCCGTTTATTTCTGTTGTATTGCGATTTTACCGCGTCTTCTGGACAGTTCTGATCGATGTAATTGCTCTGTTCTTCCGAATCACTTGAAAGTCTCTGTGATGGATTCCGCTTCCTGTTCATTTTTTAGCTGGTGGATCTGAGTAGTTTCAGAGTGTGTGTTTGATTTCCGGAGTCTTCTTCCTTCGACGTGCTGATTTCCGCTTTTCATTTGTTAAAAATTCAGGGGGATTTAGTTAGTTACGCATCTGAGATTGTTAGCCAATTTCAGATTCTTCCTGCTGTTGGTTGAATCTCTGCCAATTCAGTTTCTAGTTCGTGATTGTTTGTTCTTGCATAGGAGTATGATTGATTTCTGTTTATACTTGATTTAGAGGTGAAATTTCTTATGCCTGACTGATTGGTTTCTTTGGGTTTGTATTGCACAGATGAGCTAGCTCGCAATGCTGCCTACATTGGCACTCCCGGAAAGGGAATTCTCGCTGCTGACGAGTCCACTGGCACCATTGGCAAGCGTCTCTCCAGCATCAACGTTGAGAATAATGAGGAGAACAGGCGTGCTCTCCGTGAGCTCCTCTTCACCGCTCCTGGTGTCCTGCAGTACCTCAGCGGAGTGATCCTCTTCGAGGAGACCCTCTACCAGAAGACCAAGTCAGGTATATAAGCTGTCCCTAGCCTGACATTTAGTTCTCTGATTGATATAGAAATTATGGAGTGTTTGTTTGCTATTCTGTATGCTGAATTGTATGTTTCTGTTGTGTCGTATTGTTTTCAGGGAAGCTCTTCGTTGATGTCATGAAGGAAGGTGGAGTCCTCCCCGGTATCAAGGTTGACACTGGCACTGTGGAGCTTGCTGGAACCAACGGTGAGACCACCACCCAGGGACTCGACGGTCTTGCTGCCAGATGTGCCAAGTACTACCAAGCTGGTGCCCGGTTCGCCAAGTGGCGTGCTGTTCTCAAGATCGGCACGAACGAGCCATCCCAGCTGGCCATCAACGAGAATGCAAATGGCCTGGCCCGCTACGCCATCATCTGCCAGGAGAACGGGCTGGTGCCCATTGTCGAGCCCGAGATCCTCGTCGACGGCTCCCACGACATCAACAAGTGCGCAGATGTGACCGAGCGCGTTGTCGCTGCCTGCTACAAGGCCCTCAACGATCACAAGGTCTTCCTCGAAGGCACCCTCCTGAAGCCCAACATGGTGACTCCCGGATCAGATGCCAAGAAGGTGTCTCCTGATGTCATTGCCGAGTACACTGTCCGTGCCCTCCAGAGGACCATGCCTCCTGCAGTCCCCGCCGTGGTGTTCCTCTCCGGTGGACAGAGCGAGGAGGAGGCTACCGTGAACCTCAACGCCATGAACAAGCTCCAGACCAAGAAGCCATGGACCCTGTCCTTCTCTTTCGGACGTGCCCTCCAGCAGAGCACCCTCAAGGCCTGGGCTGGCAAGGAAGAGAACTGGAAGAAGGCGCAGGATGCTTTGCTCACCAGGTGCAAGGCCAACTCCGAGGCAGTGCTCGGGAAGTACAAGGGCGATGCTACCCCTGCCGAGGGCGCTTCTGAGAGCCTCCACGTCAAGGACTACAAGTACTGAGCAATGGAAAGGTCAGGTCCTTTGGCGGCGTTTAGTTGTTTTCTAGGCTTGGTTTTTGTTTGTTCCCTTTTTTTTCCTACCGGCATTTAACATTTAGGTTCGAAAAATGAAAGGAACAGAGAATAAGTGGGGAAGCATTTTTGTTGAGTGTTTTGATCACTTTTGGGTCAGTTTCTTCTTCGGCTTAAGAGAAGGCATATATCTGTGTTTGATATGTTTTTGCTTCAAAACTTGGTGTCAACATTTCTGGTTGTATTTACTATTGTTGTGCTGACGATTGAGTTCAATTAAGTAAGCTTTTCTTTAACTGATTGCTTTGTTTGTATAATAATACACTTCCTACCAAGGCTAAGCTTGGTTTCACTTGGAAATCAGTTGTAGTTTTTTGTGATGGATTAGACCTAGTGCGTCCTTGGAGCCAGGTATAAGCTTTTGTTAAGCTTGGTCGCTTTGGTTACTTGGTAATGCAGCCATCTGCCTAATTGTAGATGACTTTCGCCTTTGTAGATGACTTGCAGATGCAGACGCTGCCTCCGGTTCGGTTCTAGAGGTTACTTGCAACAAACCTGCATATAACATAAGAAGAGTGTGAAAGGAGGTTGCCGAAATGAGCTTAGTCCTGTCCTGTCGGCTTGGTGAAGGGGCTCGTGAGTGTACTGTATCGTCGTGAGTATTTGCATCAACGTGTGGTGTGGAAGGAGATGGTTACTTAAACGAAGATGTTGCATCAAATCAACGAATGCAAAATTAACAAAGGAAGAGTTAAACTTAAATGAGAGTTGGGTATCAATTAGTCCAAAATCGAGTGCGGGTTTAGTGCAGCCCAAACGTTAAACGAGTTTCTCACAGAAAACTATCAAAAGCCCTGGGCCCACATAGTAGAACTAATGTCAGTCTCCATTCCATTGTATATGGCCCGGCCACCAAAGCCCACGGAATCATATTGCGCCGTTGGCCTGCTGAAAAACAGCTAAAAATAATCGGGAAAAATTATAAATGGCCCATACAGGTCTCGAACCTGTGACCTTCGCGTTATTAGCACGACGCTCTAACCAGCTGAGCTAATAGGCCAGTTGATTTGTTTCCTCGTTATTTTATTTCAAACTAAAACCTAGGCAGCTCTTTTTGCAAGCTTCCAAACCATCTGAACCTTGGGTATGAAATGTCCAGAAGGTAAAGAGAGAAAAAGGAAGGAGTGAAAGGGCTGAAAAGAATAGGACAGTGGTTCCCCATTCATTTCATTTCATTTCATGGGCAACGTATGACTGCAGGTAAGCACACAACACAAGGGAAGGGTTATATGATATGTACAGTTGCATGCATGAGCATGAAGTAATCATCTGTAATGTCAGGCATACAAAGACTAGTCAGTTACGAGTCAAATCAGCAGCAGCAGCGGTCTCTTCCGCTCACAGAACACAACATAACCAACCCACCAGAGGAGCTTCGTACTCTAACTCTACCCCTCTTTCGGTCTTTCCTGACCACCAGAAAGAAACTGATAGTTGGGAGCAATTCCTTTTCCTTTTGTTTTTTCTTTTGGGGACACAAATCTGCAGCAGATAGATGTTGCGTAATTGAATTGTCAAGGTTTTCAAAAGGGGGGAAGGTTTCTTGCTTTTCATTCACTCAGAGTTGCTGTCTGTACGGCTGGCTATCTGCATTGTGATTCAGAGCTTCAGCACCAGGCCCTTTGGTCGATGCACGAATCGCTTGGGTATTTGGGTTTGCCTGCTACTTAACTTAATTGCCTACCCTCACCCAAAAGGTTTTACTGCAGCAAAGAAGCAATGAAAATAGAACGTACTCTCATCAGTAATCTTGCTTGCTGTATTATTTCCTGTTTTGTTTGGGTCCTTTTGGCTCTTCCCCTGGGGCTGGGGACGAAGCTTCTTCACTCCTTCATGGCTATATGTGATGGCAAACTCCAATTAATCACCATCATGTGACTTAATTTAGCTAAAAAAGATCACAAGATGAGTTATTTGAATTTTTCTAAATTACGACATATTACGGCTCTTATGTCTACTTTTTAGATCCGTAATTTATTGAATTAATGATATAATATTTATTTTTAGAAAAACATATATCTCGAATGGTTTTGAATGAATCGGTTAATGAATATATCAATAATTGTTTGATGTGGACGTGAATAATTATTCCTGCACTCCTGTTTAACTCTCGTACTCGCTACATGCAGATCTATTGTATATGAATAAGTCGTTCTTATGAACTTATCGAGTATTCATGAGAATCGTCGTATTTGACGATGGATTTCTTTTCCTAACATAAAAAAAACACAATTATTACTGAATGTGGTGGGGGAGAGTTCTGGACAGACCTGGTACATTGTGCAGGACTTTAAGCTAGCTAGGTTGCGTATCTCAGGCACTCAACTTCAGGAAAGCCAGCATTTCCCATCAACCAAAAACGGACACCAGACTTTGTTTTTCTTCATTATTTTCTTTTCGTTGCTTTTATAAATTCAGTATATAACCAGAGCTCGAAGACAGCGCCAACATCGAACACGGACAGATAAGAAACAAAAAACAACAACAAATGATGAAATTCACAGTTTGCAAAGGCTGTCTTTCTGTTGAAGATGATGAAATCTCCCACTTTTCTTCATAGATCCATTAGGGCTAATGTTCGAGTAGTCCCCTTCTGAGTAATGAATTCGGCCAAAGATTTAGATCGAGCAAGTGGTTGTATCTCTCGATCTCGATAATCTTTGTATTGTTATTGATTCAAGAGAGAAAAGGAACTGACTAATTATATGAATATATACAATTGAGATGTTAATCTTATCGAAGAGCATACAAGAAAACTATTTGATGTGAAGTAAGTATAACAACCCTATATGTTTTTGCATACACATAGAATTTCATGTTTTCATTCGTCAATGAAATTTTGTTGCAGCTCTAACACATTTAGCTAACATATTTCTCACGTTGAGTTACCTGATACCAGAAGACTATACTCCAAATTCGAAGAGAGAGATAAATTATCCCAATAAGTTTTGGAGTTCAAATATAGGACATGATAAAGGATGAACAAATTAAGTGACCACCAACATAATAGAGAGTACTATTTCTTCCCCTTATCATTTATAACTAAATTTCAGATGAACAAAGAAATTCCCATATGAACAAAACCCATATAGCTTTTAAAGATTCCATTACAAAAATGAGAGACCAATCCCCAAGACATTACAAGAAGAAAGATAGTGATTAAGCAAATTAATAAGTCAGATACTTCCTTAATATCATTGACTAATCACATATAATTAGATTTGATCTTGAACAGCTTGTAATAATATATATATAAGAACAGAAAATTGGTCTTCCCAACTCCCTAGATATCATAGAGCAACAGCATTTGCCAAATCCTTTAAGTCAACCCATAACCTTGATTTCCCCCCTCCAATGTTATCTTCTCTTCACCTTTTACATCATCAACAATGCATTGTCATTTCAATGACAAAGCAAACATGTCAGCTCCATATAGTAACTAACTTATGTCTCTTTCGTACTAAATGCGCATAAAAACACTTATAGTACCTTCCATTTAGCAAACTCAGATCGTCATGGATTTTGATCGTGATCAGGATCGTCATCTCCTTTGCTAAGCTTCAACCCATAGTTCTCCCACATGGCCGTTTCCCCTCCTTCCCCCATCAAGAACCTAAAGCTGCTCTCACCCAACCTATTGTTATTGGCATTGCTAACGTGCTCACGATTTTGATGAATCCGCAACGCTTCAGGATTGTACATTGGTTCCCCATGGAAGCCATAGTTACAGGAAGAGCTCCTCCCACAATCACCATCACTCATCTTCTTCATCTCCTTATCGTTATCATTCTCGTGGGGAGATGAAGAAGAAGTTTTATTCACATTCACTCCTTGATCACGACGGTGTTGAACATCTCCACCTCCACCATTACCACCACCACTCAACTTCCCTAGAGCTTCCATCAATGCACTATCCCTAGCTTCAATCCAAGCCCTCTCCTTGGCCCAAAACTTCTGCTCCCTCTCCACCCTAGCCGCCTCTTGCTTCCTCCACTCCTCCTCCCTCACCACCCTCTCCTTCTCCTTGTGCTCCAGTGTCCTGGTCAGCTTCTCGAGCCATGCCTCCTGCTTCTCGATCAGCTTCCTCATCTGCGAGTCGATGAAATCCTTGATCATGCTCTTCCAACCGCTCTTCCTCCTCCTCCTGCTCCTCCTCGCCATCCTCTCCGACGAATCGTTATGATCGTCCACTCCTCCTCCTCCGGTCCCTGCTGCCACAGCTTCACGAGCTGTGGCAGCAGCAGGATCCTGGCCCTCGGAGTCCTCTGAGGACTCGAACTCGGAGGAGTCGTTGGAGATGCTCAGGCTCGAGTAGAGCACGTCTTGGTTCGTTGGAGCCACACCTGACGACATTGTATTGCCGAGGAAGGGATGGTGGAAGGTTGAACTAGTATTGTTGTTGTTGGTTGTCCCCATGTTGTAAGGAGAATCTTGAATCTGTAGAGAGGAATGATGATGAGGTAGTGTTGGGCTGATGAACATGTTGTTGTTGTTGTTGCTTGTTGGTGATGAGTCGGTGGGGCCATAGAGAGCTTCGAGCTGCCTGAAGAACCTGTAGTGCTTCCCATCTTGCCTCCCGGCTTTCCCCTCTTTGGTCTTCTTGTAGTACTTGTACAAGTTCTCGAACTTCTCCCTGCACTTCTTCCCGCTCCTCTGGTACCCATGCTCCTCCGACATTATTCTGCACCAAAAACCCATAATTAACAAAATCGCACATGAACCCATAAACAAGGTTAGACCTAACAAGCAGATGGAACCCTAGTTAAGAACTGAAAGTGGGTTTCATGAGTTTCACCATTAATCAAACATGTACTGTAAGAAAAGAAAAAACATGGGGTGAAAGGCTATGATGTTAGCTTCTGATCAATAATGGGAAAGCCCAGAAGTAGCTTGCTAGGAAGGAGAGAGTAGTTATTGTGGAGTATCTGAAAGGTCTGCCATTTTTATGGCAAAGAAGTTAAGGAAAAAGGGGAGGTTCAGACTTCAGACAACTCCAACTCTCTCTGTGACAACAACAACAAAAAAAAAAAAAAAAGGTTTGCACATGTACACATGAATAATAGTACTAGTTTTTAATTGTTTTCTTGGCCTACCTAGCTAGCTAGGTAGCTAGCTCTAGGGAGCAGGCAGGCCATGCAAATTATTAACAACAAGGTTGTGTGTATTGTAGAAAGGGAGGAGTGGGAGTGGAAGTGGGAGTTTGAAAGAAGGAAGAGATCGGGTATTATGGAAGCAGCTGTTTTTGTTGCATAGTGCAGTCGTTTTCTGTTATTAAACCAAATGAAAAAAAAAAAAGGGCAGCAAAGAGAAGATGAACACTACCCATAATAGAGTTCTTTGCTTCAAAAGGTTGAGGGGTTCTTCTAAAAAAAAAAGGATAATCACAAGGTAGATATAGATAGAGTAATCCATCCATAATCCTTCGAATCGAAATGGGTCGAAGAGAAATTTTGAGATTGTACCCACAGGAGCAAGATATTAAAGTAAGAAATCATGTAGTAATTAACGAATCGTATGATTAGTGATTACTAATTGAAACTTGAATAATTTTAAAGGGAATGGGTAGTATTTGATAATTAGTCGGTAATTAGTAGTGGCCGGAGGGGAATCTACGGCGGCAGAGTAATTAGTTGGTAATTAGTAGAAGAGAAGATCGAGATAGATATTTGTATGTATGTACCTGGAGACCTCGTCCCAGAGAGGACCCTTTTGATTAGCTTCCTTGAACTTGGGATCCAGCCTCGATCTGATCTCCAGCAGAGTCAGCGTCTCCTGCCGAGGCCACCTCCCCGTCCCGCCGTCTGCTCCCACGCCGCCGCCGAACATCCCGCCCATGACGTCACCCTCCAACCCACCACCGCCGCCGCCGCTCAGGCTGCTCGAGCTAGGTTGGGCGGCGGCGCCACAGTTACTTAGAGTAGGGGTACCGGAATCTGCCCCTCGAAACTCCGGCTGAGAGCGGGGCAGGAGCTGCATCATCATGTCGTAGGCGGGCGGCGGAGGCGGCGGGGGGAAGGTGTGGTGATCGCGGTGGTGGAGAGGGGAGAAGAAGGGAGAGGCGTCCGGCTGAAGTACTGGGAAGTAGTGGTGGGAGGAGTTCTGGTTCGGGATAGGTCTGAGAACTCCGCCGCCGCCGCTGCCTGCGACAGCGGCGGGGGAGGAGGAGGAGGAGATGAAGTGGCGGAGATCGAGGGTGCCGGCGGCGGGGAACTGGAGGTGGAGAGGTGGGTGGCGGTCTTCCATTTCCATATACTATACTGAAAGATCGGTGGAGATGGAGAAAGGAAAGCAGAATTTAAGAGAGACAGCGAGGGAGAGAGATAGAAGAAAAAAGAAGAGCGGCAGAGGCGGATCGTGTCGCGGTGGAACGGAGAGAATTAATGGAACGGAGGAAGAAAAAGCTAAGGTTGAGAAGTGGGGGCTGCTCCCTTTGCCTTTGCCTTTGGCTTTGCCTTTCCTCTCTCTCTCTCTCTCTCTCTCTCTCTCTAGGAATTAATCCCTTAGCCTTATGTTATGTTGTACAGCAGGTAGCAAGCTACGCTAGCAGAGTAGCAGATTGATGATGATATGATATGGATTATGGCCCCCAGGCCAGGCATTAATCTTCTCTCTTCCTTCTTCTACTACCTACAAACCAGGAGTGTGACTTGTGAGTGTGTCTGTGGGTACGTAAAAGATCGAGGCTCGTATTGCGGTTCGAATCAGATACCAATGCTCAAGTATATATGATTGGAAGAAGAATAAAAAATTGTGATGCAAACTATGTAATTAATCACATGAAAATATTTATTTTTAGAGAGACGAAAGTCCTGACATTTTTATTTTGCGTCGAGTATAATAGCAGCAGTCTGATGGATTGATGTACATTAAGAAAGGAGGGGATGCACGTACAATGTATTGCATACCCAATGAAAATGAAGAAATGCAAGGAAAAGGATGACATATATACCGAATAAAAAATAACAAGTCAATTTGATTTTCCTAGCCCAATCCCATGGCCAATGCAAGTTACCAAAAAGTCCGACCCCCCAGTCTCCGTACATTTGCCATGAGCACGCATCTCTCTGTTTCGATTAGAACAATCATCGTTGTAAACGTATTAAAAAAAAAGTCGACCTGGTATATCCACTGGTGACATGGTCTACGCATGAAAGCATGGTTGAAGAAGCTCATGGTTTGGTCTCCGGTTGTGTATGTTTCTTCCTAGAATGGCAAGAGCCGTTGGCCAAAAGGAAAGGGGAAAAGGGAACTTAGAATAGCAAAGCCATGGATTTCCAAAGGCTTACAAACAAATATACATCATGCTACAAACAAGACAGGACGATGAGGGGGCAGAATCGAGAATAACATGGTTTTAAGATGAAGGTCACGAACCAATGGATGAGTGCCATGTGGCAGGAAGCTACACGACGAATTTTTGGGAGAGTACCCACCACCATTGCCACAGTCTATAAGTGTGGGATGACGCCATGAACAGTGCTTCGGATCCTTTGACTTTTTGACCGTCCCCTCTTCCCTCCTTCATTTCATTCCCATTGGCCCATTAGTATCCACGTTGTTAGCCACTTGGCATCACCAAAACTTCTTTGGCCCAAGATCTTAAAGTTACTAATTGAGAGATTTAATCATAAATATTCTAATTATTGACACTAATATAATGTTAGAGCCAATATATAGTGTTCATAGTGCTATTTTTCGATGTTTTCGCGACATATAATATATACATTTGAACTTCATATCAAATACTATAAAGTGTAGCTTTAATTCCCTGATCGGACTTCTACCATACCAAAGAAAGACTACCAATTCCTTTCATGACTATAGTGAAGAAATTCCTTATCACATAATTTGTTTTGTCCCTTTGGACGTTGAGTTTTCGACAAACCGTACGGACCTTAATTAATTGCTCGGGCCATACATCAGCAGTATACAAAACATTTTCATTCATTCTGTCATTAACTGGAACTGGTAGTTGAGCAATGGTACGTACTGAATAAAGATGGGTTTTTGCTACCTGCATTTAGCATTCTTTTATAGTATATATGCATGTGATGATTCAAAGAGACTCAAAGAACCAAAAACTATCAAGGTGGAAGTGCTAGTAACTCACTAAAAGGGTGGAGAACACATGTACTCGTGTAACCACATTCATCAGGAAACGGAACTCGTGACAGTATTTCGAAGTACTTATTAGCAGAGTTTATACATATATTCACATCCATCTTGCAAGTAGTAACAGTTGGATTATTGATATGTACGAAAAGGGTCGTCGATCGGGAATAAAACTCGTGACGGTATTTCATGTTATCGAAATGGAGATAAATGTTTGCTGCCACAACAATTAAGTAAGCCTCGAACTCGTTAGAAGTGACTAATTAACTCGATAACGACGTCGTGGAGATAATCCATGTTGAAGAGAGAAGCCTTTTTCTAGTTACTCAAGCTTCCTACTAATTGAACTAGTTGATCTTTAAGGGGTACACTTATAACTTGAACTATTCAACCATAACAAAGAAATGTACAACAATGGCGACCACAAAAAAAGAAAGTTTGATTTCCAAATATGTGAGTATTAAGAAGAGATCAAGACTTTCCATTACAAGAGATGGATCGAGCAATAGTATCGTGCGTACGTAGTTATATAGGATGGCATCAGCAATAGCGTTTTTTTGACATCCCAGGAAGAACAGTGATCTCCACCAAAAAAACCCCGCTTCCATCGTTTCCATGGCTGCCGACACAATGCCTGTCTGATCTAAAAGAACGAAAGAAAGCAAGGAAAAGTATACTATAGTCTCCTTGCCTGCAATGGCAAACAGTATTAGGACGCCATTAAATATAATTAAACGTAGCCATTTATTTGCAAAAAATATATACGATTACTTTCCTTTTTAGCTCCATTCAATTTATGCAGATGTATGAACTTAAATAAACTGTACGTCTGTGCATGGCAGGGCAAAAGAAGAGAGAGAGAGGGATGAGGGTGGTCAACAGAGTCGTCGAGCCTCTTGAATTTTTGACCAGCAAGTCATGATAAAAATAAAGGAGGCATATACCCATAGAAATAGAATCGAACATCATCTAATGGATATGTCCCATAAGGCCTAAACTTGAGTATTCATGAGGTTAGTTAAGAAAAACTGTCATTTTTTTAGTATATTTGTTAGATGACATTTGTTCGTGGGTACGGAAAGTATCACTGCCTTTTGATAAACGAATCACGTCATTTAATAAATACATATTCTCGTAATGCGTGGATTATTTTTGTAAAAGTGTTTCTATATCATTAGTTAATTATTTATATATAAAACGATTAAGATCTGTCTCCGACCAGCTATCAGTATCTCGATCGAAATCAAAGTAAATGAACACACCTAGCTTTGATTTCCATAGGAATCCATTCTGGTATTCAATATGGCGGCAACCAACATTGTCATTGTCCATTGCACAAAATTATTGGCAAAGGGTAATAAATACAAGCTAGCCAACCAACCCTAAGCAAAAAAGATAAAGGAAGAAGACCACCATTTCTTGGGTAGCTAGTCGTTTGACTACTTGTCTCTTTGCGCATGTATATATAAGCACAATAAGACTGGCTCTTGGGCTTGGAATTAATGTTGTTGCCAACCCTCCATATGGTTATTTAGGCAAACAAAACGAGAATCGTAGAAGGACAAAGTAGAAGGTGCAAAGTGGCAAAACCCAATCTTCTGCCCCTTTTTTCGAAATTTCCCCCTTACCCTCATCACCTTTCTCTTTTAAGCCTTCTGTTCCTCCTGCTTCCATGCTCTGTTCACCCCTGTCAGCGCCAACGACGTAGCTACATTTCCATTCACCCCTCTCTGTCTCTCTCCAAGCAAAACAAAACAAAAAGATTGCCTTAGGATAAGAAGGAGAAAGAAGGAACTCATTCTATTCCTATCCTTACATTGTTAGGTTCACGAGGATGAGTTGTTTCAGCTATACCACTAACGAGTTTCAAATAATACATACAATAATGCTCAAATTTTAACTGTATTTAGAAGTAAATTTACTTTACGAAACGACGGAAATGGAAATCCACGAGGGTCATGAATTGAGATTATGGAATTGGCTAGTAATAAATTTCATTCATCATAAAAATTGGTAAGAATTCATTATTTGCTTAAAGGATTTTGTGGTACAGAATTTGTGCAGCACATGGATTTGGAGTGTTCAAATTTTTGGTATCCACAAACTTTGCAAATCTTACGTTTATAGGTGGGATATGAGAGATGGTCACAAGTCCGTGATGGGATATTACCCGTATATCCCCACCTAATTTCGGTACTCCCTGCCTGCCCACATTTAGGGATAAGCAGATAACAATAGATCAATTATTAAATGATGATAGTAAGATAATTGTATTCAGTACATACAAATCTAATTAACCAAAATCCTTTCATCAAACTCAGCAGCAAGCAAACAACTTTTTTTTACAAATCCATCAACAAAACACGTTCATATTTTCAAATCCAGCAAACAAAGCACCCCTATATCAAGGTAGAGAAATAAAAAATAAAAATGAAGAGAGAATCCCCATGGTACCCTTTCATCGCGTGGGGCATAGTACCCCTTGCTCTCTTCTCTTTCATCCATTTGCCTCTCTGCCCATTTTGCAGCAGTTGGGTTGGGTGGTGCCCTTTGCTTCAGACGACTGGCTGAGATGCAGAAGAAGATGAGAGGGCCATCAGTAAGTAACTAGTCTTTCTTTCTTTCTTTCTTTCTTTCTTCCAGAGGCTAACAGAAAGAGGACATGACCTCTCCCTTAGCTTCTACACTGCAAACCACATTGCCTACTTTTCCAAGTAGGGGAACGTTCCATCCATGCAAATCCACATTTATGGGATACCCAAAATAATAAACTCATATAAAAATTGTCACATTGTAAAAAAAAAAAAATAATACAGGAAATGAAAAGAAAAACAGAAGGAGGATGAGAGAGCTGATCATCTTTCACAAGAAGCAAGAGAATGGGAGGAGGAAGAAAGAAAGAAGAATACAAAAGAGATGCACGAGGGAGGCCTTAATCCACGCTGCCTCAGGTGCTGCTCCAGCCAATGGGATGCCTTTCTCTGCCTGCCAACCCCTTTGCTTTCCTTTCTCCTCTCTGGACCATGACGTGGCTGCTTCAGAAAGTGAATGATTGGGCTAAAATTCTCAGAATGTGGGGGCACTTCTAAGTTTATTTCTTCTTAATTCTTTGGTACATATTTTGGGGTCAACTATACAAACCCACCCCTAGACCCTAGCTAGTAAACTTTGAGGTCACTCAAATTTGTTTCTTAAGAACACTAGTGAAGTAATAACTAATGTAACAATCATTTAGAGTTTTATCGGTTGCTTCCTTCGTTCAGATAATATATATCGACGTGTAGTCAACTCGTCCAATTTAACGATAAATAAACCGTTATACAGATCATTTCACTAGGTGGCTTTGGGTAGATGAGATGACTAATGGCAGTTTTCCTTCCAGTAACTAGCTCCTCAACTGAGAATTCTGCTTGAAGATGTGATAAGTTACGGTAACTGTTTAATCTTCTACTAATGCGTGAACAATTGTTAGGACTGGGGGGGGGGGGGGGGGATTATGGATAGGAACTTGATCGGATAATCAAACTTGATATGGATTACAAGACCTTTACAGAGGCGGACGACGTACCGTGTTATTCACCCTATAATATCATTGATGAACAAGCTCGATGAATGATAAGTAACCGACCTGAACAGACCAAATGGTCATATATAGTTGGATTGGATGACTGATTTGCTTGTCACCCAAAGTTGGGTGACCATTGCAACATACCCTTCTCAAAGTTTTCCCATGGAGGTCATAGATAGCTAGAAGGGAAGCAATGAGAGGGTGGGAAAAATTGAAGAATGGAGTTTGTCTTGACAAAAAAAGGAGGCAAAGTGGTTCCCACACCCACCCCCTCCAAGCTAGCTAGCTGTCTATCGTGTTTGGCTGGATTTTGATGATGGATTGGATGGGTAGATATGGACGGATAGGATTCATGGACGTGCAATGCAAAAGACGACGTACGTACACCTTGCATGTATTTTCTTCTATATCGTAAAATACAAAAGTTGAATATAATGAACGAGAATCCAAAAGAACAAATCAGAAAGGAAAAAAAAGATTTACGAGAGATATTAGGGGACAAAAAGCTGTGTTGATTGATACAAGAAAAGAAGGGAGAGAGAGGGAGCCATCATCATCAACAAGTCTTTTTCATTTCTTTTCTCCATCGATTCTCTGTGGGTCTCTCTCTCTCTCCACGAACCCTTTTTTCTTCGTTGGCTTTGCTTCTATTCCTATGGCAGGCTGGGGAACAGAGCAACCTTGTTGCCCAAAAGATTCAACGTCTTTCCATTACAAAGAAAGTTGGATTGCATGCCGATGTCCATTTATGTGACTTGAGATAGCAGGAGGGTTGAAGGATGGCAACATATGCCTTGTGTCCATGCTACATTTAACCTTTTGATTTGGGACTGGATCGACTTCTTCCATTATGAGTTTAATCCTATTCCATAAGAATCAACATCTCAAATCAATGAGAAATATCGTGTAATGATTTTTCTATTGTTTATATATAAATCCACACAAAGGAAAATCAATATGTGAGATTATTAGAGTATGCATATTGGATTTAGATCCTGGTTGCATACGTGATTTATATTCTTAGAATAAAAAGACAAAGATCAATAAAGCTTTTAAAAGGTCGAATAAGGATTTGAATCATGTCTTGCTTGAAACGGCATCAATTAGGTGTTTCTGTTTCACTATTGAGCATGTGATGGTGTGGTGGGTACTGAGTTCTTTCCAAATGGAGGAAAATGAATTTTTACTTTAATTTGGGTTTCCACAATGATGATCATGTATTTTTCTACTATTACTAATAATGATTGTGCACCGTAATGTTTGTATATTGGTAGTAAATTTGAACTATAATATGAAAATTATATTATTTCCATGATGAAAGGTAATTAAAGGGAGCTTTGAAGGGTTGGTCATTATGGCTACTCTAATCAAAGGAAAGGGAGGAACTTTACCATCATTCCTACTAGTATATGAATTCATATATCATGATGACCAAAATCATTATGGAAGGTTGTCAACCTTTGCAAAGGCAATCAAGCCTATTATTAAGGAGAGGTGAAGGATTGATCAAAAAATATATTAACATGCGATCATATTGAATTCTGACGCAATACATGTTTATACGATTTTCAATCGCCCAATTTGCAGATAAGACGGTGCCCGAGATTGTTTCCAAACAATTTCAACTCTTTCTTTAGAATTAGAGTTTTTTGTTGTCCCTAAGACGGCTATCTAAGTTGCCCGTGCAATAACATACAAAATTCTCTTCTCTCTATCGTGTATAGAATTGTATCCATTTTAATTTGTATTTTGTACATAAATAAAATTGTAATATGTTGCTGTTTAATTATTATCTTACGATAGATATATCTCAAGGGAAATAAAAGCTTAGACATTTCCCTCTTCCACCGTCGGGCTTAGGCCAGACAACAAAGAAGAAAACCCATTCTGACCGGTTCCCTTTTTGGGCTTTAATTATTTCCATCTTGTCATATTAGTCATTAGTTAATCCCAACGTTATTCCCACAATCCATCCTCCATACAATATTTTGCCAATTTTATTAGTTTAATATTAGAATGAGACGAAAAATATAAATGGAGTTACCAGCAGTTTTTTTTTTCTTAGGGAGGAGTTACCAGCAGTTCGTAAAGTAGAAGTCGGTAAAAAAAATATAAAACCCTAGATGCGGAAAAATGTACAGCTTTCTCTTACGTGGTTGCTCATACAATTATGTGTTAATGACTCTAACATATATTCAATCTGTAAGAACCATCATTCATACTAGTAATTTGTTCAAGCTTACTATGGATCATAATATACCAAAGTAGTCAACACGATAACTCTTCATATTGATCGAAAACTTTGATATCACTCAAAAAGTTATTCAAATCATGGATTCCGAGTTTTGGTACTATTCGATGAGACTTTCTTGGTTTAATAATACTTGTCACTATCCCACATAAATAAATCAGAAATCTCATGTGTCCCAAAGATACACAATATAATGTAGCCAATTGTGGGACCAAAAACTAATTTGGACGGTCGATTTGGACTTGCGATCGAGTGTGTCCCAATTCCATCTATCTATCATTTTCCAGGATGAGATGAGACAAAACTCCTAACCATAAGTCCAACAACCAGCAAGAAGAGTAGTGAGGGCAGATTGCAAGGTAATAAGTTGGTAGTGCGTTAATATACATGTTCCACACATCTTTCAGAAGTTGATCATCATGGCCAATTTAAAAGTACATCGGTAATACAAGTTTTAACCAAAATATTAGCTCCGATAATAATTTGAGTTGTTGATAGAGAAATGAATATTGCTTTATTTCTAAGAATGATATTCAGTTAGTTAAAGTCAAACTGAATTGTCGAACCAAACACGTTCAAACATTTTTGCTTTCGATCTCTAATCATCACTTAAACTATGGAGGTAAGAGGGTTAATTGGACGTGGAAGTGGGATTCAGTTATATCCCAATTCGGGCATTGGTTGGAGCGTTACTACATCTGGGTTTGGTCAAGCTCAATTTGGAAGAGACCCAATTGTGCAAAGGAGGCAACACAAACCAGACCGAAGTATATGTGATTTGATTTGCTAATTGTGAATCATATTTTAATTCGGTCCAACTAAACTAAATCGCTTGAGCATCAACTCCTTAGTTATGTGGGCGAATCTCCATAGATGTGAAGATGATAATGTTGTATCGCATGTCACACTACTTACAAACTACCATCGTAACAATCCAACTACTTAGCAAAATTCTGTGTGCTTGCCAGTTAATATATGTCACATATATAGGTGAGAGAATAAAGTCAAATGATGGATCGATTGCTGGTTGGAAATTTTTTTGAAAGGGCTACTAGAGTATAGAGAGATAATCGAGCTGCCATCTCAGCAAGCAGAAAGCTGATGTGGATATGTATAGTAGATGCATGTATGAGTCATTTTTCACTAATCCAATGATTTGCTTAATCAATTGACATATATACATTGATTTCAATATTTTTGGTTTGATGTTAAATTATTTTCAAAGCACTAGTCTTGTCAACGTGTATTGGGAGTGAGTTGTCACACAAAAGTATGCAACGGGTTTTCATTAACGTTAATCATGAAGCTTAAGAAAGTTATGAAAAGGGGAAGAGGCTTTGTGATTTGTGTGTCTATTCTTGTTCTTCTAAATTAATGGTATCTTTGTTTGAATTAAAAATATGATAATAATTATTGAGAATATAATATTATAATGGAATTGAATCAAGTCGAATCCCATCAAGATGAAGATCGGCGACAGGTGTCTTCCACACATATGCCCGCATTTTCCATCTTTTCATGTATCTCTTCTCTAATCAAATTTGACAAATCCAGAAAAAGTTGAAAGCCTTTTTTCAAGGCCCTCATGCAAAAAATGGGAAGAGCCCTTTACACAATAGTTTCAAATTCTATAGAGGAATCTGATTATTGTAGTAAGATATACGAATTTATTTAATGTAATTCAAATGTATTATATATATATATATATTTCATGAATAACTGAAAATTTTTACAAGAAATGAGCTCTCATTCGCGATAGTTATGTTGATAATTATTAAGTTTGATACAAATAGACGACAAATTCCTCTCTTAAAAAAACAACTAAATGACTAATAAATTATAAAGTTCCGATTTATAATAGTTATCCATTGCAAATTTTTAATGCAAGTAAGATAAGTTCATAACGATAATGTAAGCAGCATTATTCGAACGGAATGTTTATGGAGTTGTTGTATTCAAATTTGTAACTGGTTGTTGGTCAAGTATCCATCACATATATAATTTGAGTTAATCAAGTTGGACACTGATAATTAGACAACGAGACCTAAAATAATGTAATAGATTTCCTGCCTAATCCCTGCCAAAAACAATTGGTATTTTACTACTTTTAGAGTATTAAAGTGAAGACATAACTAAGAAAAGAAGGTGGGTTATGGGAGGAAATGCATGGCTGGTTCAACTCTCGGGCCGCGGGAGAATACTCTTTGGGCCACACACTTGCGACTTGGCAGAGCAAGCCCATTATTTCTCTATATTCCTAACAAGTAAAAGCCCAGCCCAATGTTTTTTATTATGGGCAAGGTAAGGCGACACTCCACTCTCAATTACTGCCGAAGCCCGCAGCACACTGGTAAGTGCTCGAATTTGAACATAAAATAGTCACATGAACCTTTTTTTTTTTTTTTTATAATAATGCCTGCTTTATATTATTAAGAAACTGCAGTCAACAAAGAAACATCCTCTCTCAAGAGAGATACAACACGGGTACGTAGTCTATCAAAGAGATTGCAGTTAACAAAGAAACTGCAGTCAACAAAGTAGCATGAACCATTGACGTTAGTTGCATGTGATAGCTAGCTAATTCGAGTTTCGGAGTGTCAAGAATCAAGAAGATACGAACCTCAGTTTGTTGCGACCTTATTCTAAAAGTTTTTTTTTATCTAGACTTCGCAACGAAAGACAACGGTGTACAATGTAGATTGAAATATTGAATACATAAGCCTGAGTAAGCGGACCAAAATTTAACATCACTTTCAATCAATAGAATTCACCAAACATTTTGATGAGAAGAGGGGATGAAAACTCTTTGCCTACTTGCGTGAATAATCATGATGCAGCAAATATGATCAGTAAGCAGTTAAGTTCAACGAGTTAATTAATGGTCTCAGCAAGCAACTAGCAAGACCATTAACTATTAATTAATTCTTCATTAGGAATTGCCGCTCAGCGCTATGAATTGATTATGGACTTGATGCAAACTTACAACACGGAGCGGCTGCACGGGATATCCAGATACTTTTGACACAGCAACCATATGAACAGTGTTAATTTAACTACAACACGGTTTCATCCGCTCAAACTTGAACAGTGCTCAATTAGGATGTAGATTTTTCACTCGGAAGATCGTTTTCTTTGGAGATTTTTTGTTGTTGTAATAATTTGATGAAGAATGAATGTTGTGATTGATTAATAGGGTTTAGGTGGGTTTGCGCTTCACAGAGGGAGTCCATGTGGACCGCCAATATATATGTTATCCAGAAAATAGGGCATATCATATCAAGCATTTTAGGGTCCATTCGTGTCCTTTTCGTGCAACAAAAACAAAGGAGGTTGAATATTTAGTGGCCAGATTCTGATAAAATTGTATGTAAGAGATGAACGTTATATTATTGTTATTTAACATTTGTAAATATTATCGAGCAGCAAATTTGACGTTGAAAAAGGTTATACAAGACAAACGTTTTGATTATCCAAAAGTTTTGTGTGCATTTGAAACATAACTTTTGTTTGAAGAGGATATAATGAGGACTGGTATAAATAGAGTATTGATTAAACAACATATGTACGATTTTCAGAAAGATTATTGGTAATCAAAACTTTTTATTTGGAATAATTACGATTTTTGGGACCATTATGTCCTGCGAATGACTAAATATATAGGATTTTCAAACTGACGATCACCAAAACTATTTATCATAACAGTTTATTATAATAAGGATATAAAAAGAAATGCCATCTACCCCAAAGATGTAACATGTTGCCCACATATAATCTGGTTTTCTTAGTGGGTTTGCAAGTTGGTTTTGTGATGGGCTGACTTAACCCTTGCTTCCTGTTTGGGTGAAACATATTCATGCACTTATTTCCCCACTCTACTGCTAATGCACCAATAGCATCATGTTTTACTGCTTTTTGGCTGGTTTTCTATGTAGTGGGGAGATATATTGGTGACAAATCGTTATGTTTATTATCCATAAAGTAAAATAAATAAGTTGCACTCTAGCTAATAATTTTAAAGGTATTTCATTGTGTTAACTTCTGTTATAGAGAAATGAATATATTTGTGTTTGCTCTCTGTCTTCACTTCGACTGAGATGATATAAACCATTAGTTTATTAAATCCTTAGTTAATTCATTGTATTTATTAAATAAAAACTCGATCCCATTGGTAAAAGGTTTTGGGCCATATGTACATAAGGGGTTATCATCTAGATGGTTGTTTTCTCCTTGCTAATTCCACAGATATTCATAAACTAAGAATATGGAATCACTTCGCATTTTTAAGAAGGTTAATGTGGTCCGGTTTGTTTATTCCTCCTCCTTATCAAAGGTTTGGATGAGTTGACCTAGATTGTATAAATTGAAGCTCTCTAAAATAAGTTCTGAATAGTGTTGAATCGATGTCCTCCCAAGAAAATAACTCGTTATTGTTGCTCGTTAATTAATCTTAGTTTTGTAGTTTGCAAGGAACCAAGTTCATCCCGAGCAATGTTTGTGATACCGTACGATTTCACCTCATTGTAACGGTTAAATCGCTCATGCGATCAAGTCAGTCTATAATTCAATCACTCTATCATAACTTAAATCGTTACTTTCACGTCCAATTCAATCTTTCATACAGTTTTACAATCCAGTTGAATCTTTGTTACGGTTTCACAATCCACGTTCGCAACCCTGCCCGACCTCACCATTGCCCAACAACACACACATATATACTTAGTGGTCCATAACCTCCTAACGTAGTTGCTCTAGTTACCATCAAACACAAACAAAACCTAACTGCCAAAAAAAAAACTGATTTCCTCTGTCACCCACACCTATAAATCTTTTTCAAGGGACAAGATGGCGGCAATCAGTGCATTCCAAATCGCCATAATTATCACGAAATCTATCCCACAAAAGGTCCTCCTGATCATATAAAAAAAAAAACACAAACACACACACGGCCACATATCTTCCCCTCCCCACCACCAATAGTATAGCAATTTTACCCACTAAACCACACTCCCTCCATTGATGTAACACTTGAGTCACATTAGCTAGCTCAGTTATAAGTAACTTACATTTCCCTTTCTCTCTCTCTCTCTCTCTCTCTCTCTCTCTCTCTCTCTCTCTCTCTTATCTCTCTTGGCTGCGGCTTCCAACCCAGCAAAAGGCTGGCACTCATAAACTCCGACGTACGTCCGTCCTCCACATCTCCAACTGGTTTGCACTTCCCCCCGGCCGCCAGCTAGCCGCCTCTCCGATTCCCCCTCCCCGTTCCATATAAAATGGCGGATCCCTTCCTTCCATTCCTCCTCACCAACTCAATCCAACAACTAATAACCGCTCAACCATGCAGCCGAGTCATCAGCAGAAGGCCGCGGGGTCGTCGTCGGGCCGGGCCTACCGGGGAGTGAGGAGGAGGAGCAGCGGGAAATGGGTCTCCGAGATTCGCGAGCCCAAGAAGCCCAACAGGATATGGCTCGGCACTTTCCCTACCCCCGAGATGGCCGCCGTGGCCTACGACGTGGCCGCACTCGCCCTAAAGGGAAAGGACGCGGAGGTCAACTTCCCCAACTCCTCGGGGTCGCTGCCCGTCCCCGCCTCCACTTCCCCGAGGGACATTCAGGCGGCGGCAGCTTCTGCTGCCGCCGCGATAGGTGCCGCTAGGGATGCCATGCGCATTCCTAGCAGGACTGGCGGTGGCGGTGGAAGCAATGATCAAGCAGCGTCAATGCAAGGTAATTTTGATACTGATGATCAGAGCGAGCGAGAGAGGCTGGCGATGGCGTCGACGAACTACGGGTCGTTTGTGGATGAGGATTTGATATTCGACATGCCGAATGTTCTGAGGAATATGGCGGAAGGGATGATGCTCAGCCCTCCTCGCCTTGGTGGCGGGGATGATGATTACGATTATGCTCCCGACGGTGATGATGATACTTCCGGAGATCACAATCTTTGGAGGTTTAATTGATAACCTTAAACGGGGGAAACAATGAATGAGTCGAAATGCTGCATGTATCAGAGTTTGTTTGTTTTTTTAACGTATGATATCTATTATAGGAACAAATAAGTACTGGCATTTAAAAATAAGTTGTGGCAGCGTGCTATCGTGTTGTCTTTGCGTGTGATTAGAATAATCGTCGTTGTACATATATACGTATGTAAATATGTGTCAGTGGGTCCATATCGAAATGTTAGTTTGGATTTGGACTATTGTGATGGTGTGTTTACTAAGTTGTGCATGCTCTTTGTGCCCTAGCTTTGTGTGCTCTGCATATGTATCGAAATTTATAACTAGCTAGCAAGCTAGGGTTTTGACATTACAGAAGCTCAATATTTTAATCAATGAAGGGGGCTTTTTCCCTGCCCACCGTGTTATATTAGTTAATGAAAGAATTGAGAATGATCATATGGCTATATAGGGAAACTGGACGGGATTCTTGTGTTAATATATTGGAGTTTAGTATTGACATGTATACTCAGAAGGGAAAGGCTTTATGATCACTAATAATGGCAGACAGTGAACCCTTAGGAAGCGGGGCTGATGATGACCATTAATTAACTTCCACTTTACTGAAACTAACTCTTCCCCCAACTACCAACACTCATGCTTACACAGATTATCGAGATCAATTGGTTTATAAGTTCATTTGTTTAAACTCTCACATCCAATATTAACAATTTATGTAAAGCACGTGATCTTATTGACCTATGCAAACTTTAAACTTGGCATTCGTTTGAAAAATGGTGTCAGGAACTTGTTAATATCGATTCATACATGGACACTATCCAATAAATCGAGTAGTTATTGAGACCAAAATTACAATCCTATATAATGTAAATTTCTAGCTAAAACAATTTTCCCAAGCTTAATCTAGTGGTTTAAATAAATAAATATAACTAACCATCTCTTGATGACTTATATAACCGAAAATAACTTCCATAGTCATTGTATATAGGAGCGTTGGGTACAAGCAATTAGACTATTATAATGGTACCGAATGCCCGATGGATCAGCGATCATTAGTCAATAACAATGATTTAGGTTTTGATTTCTATACAAGTAGGAGAGAAAGAAAAAAAAAAGTGAAATGGATAACACATCTCTCACATTCATCCTAGTTGTGGCATATATAGTATTAGTCATGATGATATGTTTTCATTACATGAGAAAAGAGGTGTCAAGCAGGCACACGGTGACTTCTTAGGGAAGTCGCACCTAATTAAGGGTAAATACAATATATTAGCAACAACTATTGTGAAGCGGGGAATTATAGCCACAACTATGAAAATTCAAATTATTAGCCATAACTATTGTTGCGGGTCAAAATATGGCTAACTGTCCGTTACTGTTATTGAATTTTTAAGGGAGAAGGCCACGTCATCGGCCACATCAGAATGCTTTTAATTTATAACTTTAAAACATAAAAGTTTAGTCAGTATTACTAACGAAATTGTTAACAGATAGTTAACGTTTGGCTAATAATTTGAATTTCCATAGTTGTTGCTATAATTCCCGGCTTCTTAATAGTTGTGGCTAATATATTGTATTTACCCTTAAATTAATTAATTAACAAAAGAGGAAGAAAGTTGGTTCCCAGTCCCACAGCAGGCTAATTTGGTTGGTGCTTGCTGACAAGGCATGCCCCCCCCCCCCCCCCCCCCCCCCCACCTTAAGCCTTTGTTGACGTGTCATTATCAACGAGACACACAGCTGACACGTGGGATTTGACCAATGGGGAGAGATGTTGACGTTACACCTTCCTTCCAATACTTGTCTCCTCTTCCTCTCCTCTCCTCTCTACTCTCATCCTCATCTTGCATGGTATTAGTACGTACGTACGATCTCTTTCTTTTTTTTTTAATCCAAATTCATAATTTACAAATTGAAAATCAATGGTTATAATATATTTTTTTCTTTTTCTTTTTTTAGACAAGGAACACCCTCCACGGTCATCATCTTCAGTGATGATGTAGTTGGGGCCAAACCCCAGTACCTCCGTCAGCGGTCCGGTCAAATGTGGGGTGCCTTCGGTAACACCGTGGAGGCGGTGAAAATCGAATCTGGGACCTCTCAGTCACAAGTCCGTCTTCCTTACCACCAGACTATGTCACCTTTGGCAATCAATGGTTATAATACTGGTATCGTTGCCGTAATTTAGGTATGACAAGCTAGCTAGTTCGAGAAATGAGACGTCTGAGGACAGTATCTATGTCTGGTCCAGCAACAAGCCACGATTTAAAACCGGTCGTGCTGAAGATACATATAATTAATACTAAGCAAAAGTCCCCATAATTAGCAGACAGTCAGCAAAAGTGATGATTACGTATGTGGTTAAGCCATAATTATCTCTACCTAAGATGCTTGATTAATAGTGGACACTGCCGCTGATACATAAAATATTGAAAGAAATATATTAATTAGTGGCCACTGCCAAACGTAGAAAAGCCCACTAATAAAAAAATATATATACCTTCATGGCTCCATTTTGGCCACGACAAGATCTTCCTTATATGTGATTTACTATTTGGGATCATCTACAAAATTATATTTATTAATTTGAACGAATCTGATCACTTATTATATGATTGAAATATGATAAGAACAATGCGACCTCGTATATAAAGAACGAGTCAATCATATATATACTCAAAATACAAGGTGTCTTCCTGAAACCCATATTACAAGAAATGCCGTATGTATGTCGTTGGATCTCAAAGTGTTAAGAGATTGGCTTTTGTCACACGACATATATTAGGGCTCACAAGTCACAACTCAACTACTAGGTTTGGAGGTCTGATGGTTTTGTACAAATGGTTGGGAAATAAGTCAATAGCATAACCAAAGAAGAGATACCCAATTACAGGCCCAGCCCAAAAAGTGTTAAGCTTTGATGGGCCGAATTGGAGTCATTCTGTGTACACGACCCAAAAGAGAGGCCAAGCCCACGAATGGGGATTTCGGGATGAAAAACCTTTGAAACCAACATTGCTCATCGAATCGAGGATGCCTGCTCGGATTGTCCGTTTTGCGGACTTCCTGAAACCCAACTCCACTGTCTCAGAGACTGTGAATGAATGGACACGCCGTCTGTGGCAGTCTAGTGTGGATTGTGAGCTCTTCCGCTCAGGTGAGGGACTATCTGGATGTGATTGGTTCTTCCGTGTCTTCAATACCCACTCGAACGAGGATCTCCAAAAATTCTGTGCCATTCTATGGTTTATCTGGAAAGAGAGATGCAACCATATGTTTAATAATCATAAACTAGAGGAGGAAATTATCCCGAATGCGATTGTCAGGATCTCTTATTAACTGGAAGCTCAACACGAACCAGATGCTAGGGGCCGAAGGGCTTGTTTGGAAGTTGTGATTCTTCAAATTGATGTATTGAGACAATTAGTGTATTATCATTTGATGTATTGAATCAATTGATGTATTAGGCAAATATTTTGTTTGGAGGTTTAGATTGTGTTTTTGTTCTAAAGGTAAAAAAGTTAGTTTTGATTGATTGTGAAGAATCTCAACAAAAAGTAGAGATTCTAAATCCCTCATTATTGAGTGATTGTGGTGGGGCCTCCAAAAAGTAAATGCATGTATTATAGTTCTATATAAGCCAAAAAAACGACTTAATCTTACAAATACATGAATTAGGTCAATACACCATTTGAAATCACAACTTCCAAACGACCCCGAAGATGCACTAATGAGCGGGGACGGAATTCCAATGATCTTCAAGATGAATTGTGATGCTGGGATCTTGCAGCCCTCTGGGATTGGTCTGGGATGTGTACTCACGAATCGTACCTGATGATTCAACCAAAAATCCTGAACAAAAATAGCTATTCCTGCATTATCTATCATCATCCTGTACTTGTGTGCTCCAAAACCCAAAATAAATCGAGTAGCGCTATGAATCAAGCGATTACCGTGTTGGGAAGTGATCAATCATTTCTAGGAACAAGAACCACTTCTAGGTTATAAAGTTTCTTCTGTTGAAAAGTAAACAATCATTCAAATGTAATTACTTCATTCCTTTCTATTAGTCCCGTATAAGCAGAGTGCTCTGTTTTTCTCCTCTGAGGAAACCCAGCAACTGTGGCCGACGTCGGAGATGAACCCCGGCCACCGGCGGGTAACCCACTATTTGGGTCGCCTCTGTTTGCAGCGATGGTGGAAGCACGAGGAATTAGCTCCGGCGAGTAATTAAATCGATTGCCCTCTATTCTTAATCGAATCAAGGAATCAGAGTTGGCAGGGGAAGGAATTTTCTTCACTCCGAGGGGTAATGAGGGAAAGAGCAGATACTCCGGCAATTTATGACTGCGGAAGGAAGCAAATGCCAAGGAACTCCGGCGGAGGTTTGGGAGGTAGAAGAAAATCCCTTAGCCGGTGACCAACACCATCCCCAGCCGTCGCCAACTGCTGCAGGAGGAAGAGGAGCATGCCAGAAGGTAAACGGCGCAAGAACGGGCGACGGAGCAGCGGAAACAAGCGCGAAAAATGGAAAATACGGGCACCCGAAACGTCGAAACGTTTCGATTCCTCAAAACCAAAATCGAAACGCGATAAATTGACGAGAAAGTGAAATTGACGATATACGATATAAAGCTAAATATCGTGATATTTTGGCGATATATTGACTTTTTTGCGATATATTGACTCGGATCTGAACGGGACCATCTCTGCCAAAAACAGGGTGCGGGAAGTCGCCGGAAAATGCAGAAAAACAAGCAGAACCCTCTCCTGATAACTTACCAAAGTCAAATTAAGAGCGATTACAAAGGGGAGAGCCAAGTAGAGCAAGTTGGAGAGAGAAAGAACACTGATTTCCGGAATCTGACAGCTCGACTCTGTTTTTCCTCTGCCAACGACGGCGACAGCTGGGGATCAGTTCCGGCCTAGGAGAACTCTGTTCCAGCTGCTCAAGCCTCAAGTCCGTCGACTTTATGTACTGCTAGGGACCATCAGCCATGGAAACGGGGAGGACAAAATGATGATGCTTGGCTTGCTTTGCTTTGTAGGCTCCCCGGCCCAAAGCCAAAGTGGATTCGATTCCTTTCTTGAGCCCTTCAATTTGGTTCCTTGCCGACGGCCCTCCATGGTGCAAAATCCAAGTGAAAGGCTTCACTTGACCCAATCAGAGCTCAAAACCCAACAAAAGAATCTGTTCGTTTTGAAAAAAAATCATAGGAGAATCAAAGGTGTACTCTGCTGTGAGAGATCAATCACAAAAGGATGTGGTAGGTTTTCTCCCATCCTTAAAGAGCAAGTTTCTTTAATCAACTTGACAACATGAAAGACATGTTAGCACGGACTAATCATTTGTACAAATAGAATGGTAATTAATTTGAGAGTTTATATATGCTATCTAGTACAAATATGACCACATTGTAACCATGTAGGCTCATCGATGCCACCACGGCGCAAGCTGTAGCGTAACTATCAGCCATTGTGGAGACTGTGAATAGATAGTAATGCACTACTATTGCTTTCTTTAGAGAGGGACTGGTTGGACATGGATAATGGTGAATAGATGGTACTGCACTATTGCTCTAGAGAGAGACTGATTGGACTTGCGTTGTAGAGATCAAAGAACACTAGCGGTAGCATAGTAGTTGAAACTATCAGCCATGGTCGAATTCTTTGGAATGAAAATGGAAACTATACGGTAAGAAACTACGTACTAGGGTGTTTTCGGTCGAATTTGGGCATTCGCGATAATTCGTAACAGATGGACTAAATAGAATGAAATTTGGGATTTGAAAAAAAAAAGAAAAAGAATTAGGCATAACTCGGAAGAACTGACCAGCAACCTTCACATAAGAAAAGAGTCAAGATTTTTAATATGCTTCTTTGATTAATTCCAAACAAATAACCCCACATACATATTTATAGGGGTGGTATACGGTATTGCGGTTAACGGTTTAACCGGTAACCGTACCGGTAACCGCGGTTACCGGTTAAACCGTTAACCGTACCAAACGGTAATCGGCGGCGGGATCGTTGCAACTGGTATACCGAGGGAGGAACGGTAAAATACCGTCGGCAACTCAGTATTTCGATACCGAATGGGAAAGACAGCAGCCAAACACCAAAAGCCCAACTCCCTAGTCCCTTATCGACCCTAACTCCCCCAAGTAAATTAATTAACCTAGTTGTAATAATTAATTAGTTAATAGAAAAGAGTAGAAAACTAAATCGTAATCTCTATTTTCATCTCTCTCCCTTGCCTGTCGCACGAGCACGACCAGTCATGCCGCCGACCCTCCTCCGTTCTCGAATCCAAATGTCGCCGATCGAAACCGGCAGGATCTTCGTCATCTCCATCGCCGGCGCAAGATCCACCCAAGAGACAAGACCCAAGCCCTGTTTTCGTCGACCCCCTTCGCCGTTGCCCTTTTCCGTCGAACCCGTCGCCGTCGGAGCTTAATTGCTCGAAGCCTCGACCCACAGCCTGAAGCCCTGAACCCATACAGCAATTCGTACTTCATACTTCGTCCTCTCCTCTCCGTCGATGAGAGGTAAGTTAATGTTGATTTAATGATTTGTTGTTAATTGATTAATTATTTCATAGGGGTTTCCTTCCCTTCCATCTGCTCCGAAATCGAATGAATGAATAATGAAAATGATGGTCTCTCACTTTATTTCATTTGTAGACAAGACTCACAAGAGTACAAGACAAATAGACAAGACTCACAAGAAGACAAGACAAATATAATGAATAATGATGGGTGATAGCCTTCCACAAATTTCCGCCCGCAGCAAGCCAGCAACACTTGCCTACCAGAATTCGGGAAACCATTCTCCTTACCGATTCAGTTCCAGTCGGTATGCGGTATTACCGATTTTTCTCGGTAATGGCTGACGACAGCAGTGAGGGGAATTCCGGTATACCGGAAACCGATCAAACGGTAACCGGTTTAAGCGGTTACCGACCGTTTAGCACTCCTACATATTTATATAGTAAAATACTGAAAATCATAATAATAAACCTAAACTAATATTTTTTAATAATTATCATAAGATGAACAAATAATAAGAACCAGTTTCAAACACCCACGCTCCCAAGCATGTACCAACTACTAATAAACTACTTCTCATGTAAACACACTTTTCCACCTAATTACCTTAATCATGCTTTCGGCGCTCCTTTGCCCACCATTTTTGCCATGCTAACTCATATTTCGGGCATAATTAGGTTGTCAATCGAGATATCGCACAACAATTAAACGGTCAGATGAACAATTACAATAGAGAAATAGACGAATTTGAGATTGGAAGAGCAAGGAGATGTGCATTTTTATGTCTCATTGAGCAAATGATACATCTCTCTCCCAGATCTTCATACATAATTCATTTACATATAGAAAACCAGATAGATAGCTACTAACTGATCATTTGCTAAAGCTAGGATCCTTTTACCCCTGCTATGGCCTGAGGATCCTCTGTTTCTCATTAGCCTATACCTTCTCCATTACCCCATTGTTAGACTGTACTAATTTACTCTAAAAGATGTAATAAACTAATACTAACAAATGAAAGAAACAAGTGGAGCCAAAATTCAATTCCCTTTCCCTCCATCCTCTTGTATCCATTGTTCATACCATCAACGGACCACCACCTTGTGTCAGTAGCAGTAACTCCTCTGCTAGTTCCTCAGCTAGCAACCCAAAGATGGCAACTTCAATCTCGATCGCTGCATCCGAGACCTCATCTCGATTCCCTCTCCATTCGCCTTCTGAACGAACGAAATCTTGCTCCACCATCATCTCTATGGTGTTGGACTCCACGTCCTTCCACGACTCGAACCTCTTGCACACCCTTCTCGCCGCAGCATCTTCACTTGCACCCGAGACATTGTTGTTACGAATTGATCCTCGCTCCTCCTCGTCGATGAGGTCGGATACCAACCTCTTCATGTCTCGAGGGATGCATTGGAAGCTCGACCTGCTAAGCTCGTCTATCACAAACTGGCTCTTTTCATCTTCCCCTTCTTCTATTTCCTCTGTTTCCTCCTCTTCTTCTTCGTCATCATGCTCGAGCATTAGCTTCTCGAGCTCGATGGGGTCGAGCTCTGCAAGCCTCTCGAATCTTCGGAGCTTCTGTAGCAGCTGGTGCTTTGCTCCTGGGAGGAACAGGTGAAGAGGAGGAGTTATTAGGTTACTTGATGTTGAAGTTTGACTAGGATGTAAGGAAAATGAAAGTGCTGGCTGAAAAGGGAAAGGGGCTTGAATTTTCTGAATGCAGAATTTCAGGGAGCATATGGAATTTATTGCTACTAATTACTTTTTTACCAAGTTTAGCAAGGTGTGAGCAGGGCATTCTGATTGGCCAAACAGAAACCCATAATCATCAAAACAATGAAACCTGTCAATTCATTTCACCCCCTGAAAATTTTCAACCTCTCCATCAACTACCATGAAAATTACTTTTCTTACTCAATTAAGCCTAGACTGTAGTATTGCAGCAGACCCAAGTACAAGCAAATTCCAGTTGCTAAAGATAGTAAAAGGAGCAGCAGCATTTATTTAGGTACCAATTGAAGGATTTATTGTTTCCCCACCAAATAAACAACCTGCTAACAAAGTATAATGAACAAACAAGTACACAAGTAGGGAGGAGAATTGATTGAAGGTTTATCACAGAAGAAGCAAATATGTGGGGTGTGGAGATCCAAAAGATAAGATTTCATGGTTAAGGCTCATTAACTACTATGGGTTCCACTTCCCATCCAAAATTTTCAAAGAAAGAAATCAAATTTGATGAGAAACCGATCACAAATGTCCACCTTACGCGCATATGATAACCAAATGAAACATCATAGAAGATGATGCCATAAACCGCTTAAGATACATGGTTCATGTAGATTAAGAATATACTAAAAATCTCAGGAATGGAACCCACAAAAGATTTTACCCAGAAAGTACTAAAATCTATGTGACACCATCAATAATTCTATGGTATGATAACTTAGAAATCAAAATTGTGTGTTAGTTTTCGTACGATGGAATAGTGAGGATGATAAAGACCAGACAAACCAACCAACAAAAAGGACAGAAATGAATAATAATAAAACGACTAATAAAATTTGATCATAATAAGAACAGGGTAGCAAAAGAGAATATTACTTACTCTGTACAAACGCAAAACTGCACTCCATATCGAAACCGTCGTCCTGGGTTTGATCGTCATCGCAGTAGTCGTCTTCATCGTCGTCGGCGAAGAGTGGGTCCAGAACTGAGACAGGGCTGCATTGTTCCTTCTCTTCTTCTGCTTCTTCTTCATTACCGGCTTGCTGTTTCAGTTTCTTCAAGCTTTCGCCATCGCTGTTATTCTCATTCCCCTGTTCATTGGAAAGTGACCAGTTAACACTAAAACCCTTTTTTCATTGCCTTGTACTAATGTACTATCCCAATGTTTAAAAACTTTTTCTTTTCCCTATACATGAAGTTAGGGGTGGTGGTACAATGGTTTAGGTTTTCCGGTTAACCGGAATTTGACCCGTTTAACAACTTTTATCGGAGTTTTTTTACCGGTTGAATTACACACTAATTGGCTTGGTTGAATTACCGGTTGATTAATAACTATTGTTTCAATATTGAATAGTTAAGGTTCCTTAACAATTACAGAAGAGAGTATTCCCGATAATTATCTATTTTATAATTGACAATTCGTTTAACTGATCTCTTCTACCATCTGATATAAAGTTAAACAATGTATAAATTTGACGCGTCGACTACATTTGTATTGCATCCCGATCATATACTCACATTCTCTTTATTCAATGTGGTCTTATATAATTTGAACATCACCTTGATCATATCCGAGCTCCCCTGGCTACCAATTTAGGACTATTTTGGTTAATTAGACTCATAATTGGCGGGTTTTGTTTTTTTAAATGATTGTGGAGATAATCTTATGATACTGTGAGGAATAATTGGTGGGTATTTTGTTGACTTTTATAATATTCAGAAAAATACAGCTACAAAAGTAGGTGACTCTAGAAAAATACAAAATTGGCAAAGTTTTGTCTCCTATAGGGTAGAAATTATTTTCTATTTTATATTTATGAAGAGAAAAAAAAAACGTATTATCGATGGTTCCAAATGGGAAAAAGATTTGCTTGCCGGATTCGTAATCGGAAAGTACAATTTTTTTACAATGGACATTAGCTAGTGGACTTCAAATGACGATCATACCCACTAATCGTCGTCTTCCACCGTCAATCTCATCAGGGCTACGTACGTAATTTGACCAGACAATACTCCGGCCAAGATTTCTGTTACAGCAGTCTCTGCCGACATCTACTGATCTAGCTAAATAACAAGTCAAAGCTTCCCGCCAGCTAACCGACGGCGGCCACCGGTAAAAACTCGGCGGTAAGGGAATCTACCTATTTTTACTTTAGCTGAGGGATTCATGGAAGAGAGCGAAAAATGGGATGTATAATTAATTAATTATAGATATACCTCAGCTTTGAGACGGATTGGAGAGGCGGCCGGCGACGAGAAGTCGGGAGTCCGGCAGCCGGACGACGACGGGCTGGTCTGAAGGACAAAACGGAAAGGGCTTTCGCAGAACTGCTTGTTATCGCTGGAAGCGAATTCCATTATCTCGTTGACGAACTCCATCTCCTCCTCGTCGGACAGGCAGCAACTGCTTCTGCCGGCAGAGGAACAACCGTCCAAATCCAAATCGGCATTGGTACTCTCCGACCAAACTGCGCTGTTGGGCCCAGTACTCCCCGGCGCCGTCGTCTCGCAACCGCCACGGCCGGTCCGGCCATTTCTCAACGACGGCGAGCTGGACTTTGATTTTGAGCTCTTGGCTGAGGGAGAATCCTGGAAATCCCACCTCAGAACATCCTTCACCGACACCTTGCCGCTCTCCCCGCCGTCGATTTTACCGCCCTTCCGCCGCCCCTGCGTGATTCGCCGGAGCAGAGATCCGAAAATCCCCCCGTTCCGCGCCTTGGCCGACGACCTCTGCTGCTGCTGCTGCTTCTTCTGTGAGATTCGGAGCGCGGCCTCAAGGAGAAGCGACGCCGTTTTGGATCGGCGGACGGCGGCAGCAGCAGGGCTACCGATAACAGGGGATTTGGGGAAACAGAGTGGCGATTTCCGCGGGTCGCCGGAAACAGGGGAATCAGCAGAAAAGGACAAGAAACAAGCGCTTCTCGCTAAGTTTCGGGAAATGGGTCGCCGTTTCTTGACCGCCCCCGGCGGCTGCTGGAGAGATGCCGAGGAATAGCAGTACTGGTGCTTGGCTTGAACTCTGGTTCGGATGATTTGGCAGCGGCGGTCGGCAATGTAGTCCTGGAGCAAGAAGGGCTCCTGGTCGTCTTGTAAGAGTTCGAATAAGTGCTTCTGATTAGGAGGATGCGCCATTTTAGTGGGGAACCTAACGATCAAAGTGGAAGGAGGCTTCTTTCTCTGGTTTTGGCTGGCTGGAGGTTGAAGATGATGGTTGTGGGAATTGTGTGAGTAAAAGGGCGAGAGAGGGTTGGAGAAGTGGAGGTGGTAGACGAAGAAAGGATGGAGCTTTTTTTGGTTTGAGTTTGGACTTTGGAGCAGAGCGGAGAAGGGAAGAGGGGATTTGTTGGAAGAAGAAGGGAGAGTTGTGGTTGGGTTCAAATCTGTGGGGGTTTAGTAAAACGAGGCAAGCCGGAGGTTGTGGTAAATAAATACATGAGACCGTATAAATACTATTAACAAAAATATATTATGAACAAAATTGTTGGTATCTGAAAAATATAATAAAATATAAGAAGAAATACATGGCAAAGTGCAACTTGAGGGTCCTGCTAGCTCGATTCGGTAGGTTTTTGTGCTTAATTTGTGAGCTTAATCGTTTTGAACTCATAAGATGTTTTAGCGTTATGATTTGCAAACCAACTTGATTATTGGCTTATGAGTGAATATATATATATATATATATATTTTGTATGAGTTGTTTTATTGACAATTCACGTCTTTGTTAAACTGTATTTTTTGCCCATAAGATATTTAATACTATGAGTATGTGAGAAAATATGTCTCATTTATAATTTAAATGAGAAATTATGCATCATAACTTGTTTACATGTTAATTACTATGAAATAAGATGATATGAGCTAGTTAAAATTTACTTATCAAATAATATGACGCAAACAAAAGATCAATTTATGATAATAAAAAATTGACAATTATTCTTTCTCATCATGACCTCAATTACATATATGTTGGATCTCATTAATGAGTTGAGTTTGAGCTGAACTTGTGATCTTATTAATTAATTAAACTCGAATAGAGCTTGTAAGCTCATCTATTAGTCGAGTTCTAGACAGACGTGAATCGAGGTCAAACTTGACTAATTTATTAATAAACAAAACCCAACTATGTAAAACTGGACTTCGCAATTCGTTTGCAAATTGCAACCCTTATTATTCAAAATTATAATTATGGGAGGTGGTACTGGTACCGGTCCGAAAAGTAATTATCTCTTCTTTTTTTTACTGAAGAAGGAAACAGAAATGGCCGGGCTGGCTGGCGCTCAAACTTTCACAGGATTGGTGAGAAAAACCCGCTCTACGCTCTGCCTCGTATAAAGCTGGACTCGATTACCGCCATTTCCAACAAGTCCAGTTGGTTTTTTCTTCTTTGTTTTTTACCGTTTCACTGTTAAATGTTTTACTGGTCCCCTTCATGCTTCCTTCTCCTCTTTCTGTGAAAGGCTGAACAAACAAACAAACGTATAATATAACCCACCGGGGAAGCAAAGGGGTTAGAAATTGGTTGAGGTAAACCAATTTTAACTAGTGGAGGTTAAAGGTACTACGAGATAACCCTAACTTTCGATTCATGGTAAGGGTAGGCGATCAAGTGAACGAATATCATAGCGATATGAGGTGGAGGTTTAATTAGATTGGAATCTATTATTGGGTAGTCACACACGCTGTGTAAAACAAACAATAGGAATTTTATAAATGAGCTGATTTCGGGATCATCACAATGTACTCAACAAATGAACCGCAATGGACGAAATAGGTACAAGTTGATTCCATGATACATTATTGATCGATGCGAGTAAGGACGAGGCTATGACAACGACGAATTTGAATTGGATTGCCTAGAGGAGAGGCTAACATTTATCACCTCCTACACCAACCTATTCAAGGGAAGTAGTTTTGATATTTTATTTGGTTTGAAGTTTTACATTCTTTTGGCATTCCTCTTTTGCCCGTAATTAGTTGCATGCAATTTCAATATGGTAGTAAAATAAATAAATAATTGGGGACAAAAAGTCGAAAAGCTTTTGCTATCAATCCTAATTCAAATCATCAATACATTGCGTTTAAATGCAATTAGTCGTTGGAAAACAACCTTATGGTCAAATAATCCAAAATATATGAACAGCGAAGAAGAACCACCCACAATGAATATTTGGAAATCATTTTCCCACTTAAGGTTTGATAGAAAACAGAAGCCCCATCTGTGATGTTGCGAACTTTACACTTAACAAAAATTCAAAATAAGTGTTTGGATCAGAATGGTTCTTTAAGATAATGATTTTTTTCCATCGTTTTAAGATAAGTTTGTAGATGATTTTTCAAATAACTAAAACGATCTCTATCGTATTTGTTCACGCAATTTCCCATACTAGTTGTTACGCAATCGTTACATGGATAGGAGCTCGATACTTTTTTTATAGGAGAATAATATTGTTGTAGTATGATGACCATATATTGTGAAAGCATACATAACGCACAATATATCTCTTTTATTAAAAAAAATAGTTATCTTTATTCATTGACATCTAATTTTTGTATGACCATCAAAACGATACTTTTATGATAATAAATTAGAATCCATATAAAGAGAATATGTTCTCAACTTGAGCAACCCTTAATTGTGATTATATTGAACATTTGAATTACCAATTTGGCTAAAAATAATTCAACATCCAAATTTCGACAGTGAGTCAAAGTAGGCATTTTGAAAGTTTTGTGTCGCAATTTGGAGTGGGTGGATTCGAGGATAATTTTAAAATGTGCAGGACAATGAGAGATATGTTGGTGTTGGGAAAGGAGAAGAAGCAAAGAGTAAAAGATGATCAACCCTTATCCTACTTTAATCCAATATAATGAATCAAATACTAATTAATCGTATGAGCTTAAACGTTGAAAGGCTATTGTTTTCCATGTGTGTGATACTTACTTTACAGCTGGATTGCTCTAGTTACTTCCCCTAAACCTAATCAATAAACATTACAACCATTAATTTTATCTTGTCTTACATATTGGTCTCCCTAATTAAACATACAAGATTGTCAAAAATTAAAGGGTTCAGTCCATCGATCAATAATTAAATATAGTTTTTCTCAATACTCATATCGACTTTCAGCAGTTTAAGAATGCAATTTCTTGTTGACATTAGTCTAACTGCACTACAACATGGAAGTTGTGATATTAATGTGAATTAGCATCATATGATTACTTTTCGGATATTTGTAACAATCTGAATAGAGTATTAACTCTATCTACAAAAGTATGACCTCCATCATCTAATCATACAATGTCTTCATCACAAATCTGACACACATTATCAATATATTCACCAAATTTATGACATGATTTCTGGAAATCATAATTCGATCATTTGAAGAGATCCAACAATGAACCGAGTTTCATGACATTTGTTACTATTGCACATTCATCATTTCACCATACTCTCTTTTTCTGCACTAATGCACCTTTTGCAGCCTTTTACTATGTTATTAACTTTAGAAAATATTTTTTCTAACCACCTCGTGGGGGGATAGAAAAGAATGAAATATCGAATAGCAAAAAAGAAAAAAAACATCATAATGATCATAAATCCGATCTGTGCAATACTGCACACTTGCATGTAAGAACCGCACTCTGACTTTTTTTTTTTTTTTTTGCATACACGAAATATTGAGTGGGGTATTCAGATTCAGAGTTTCACCTGAGCAGTCGATTTCAAAATTCTACTTTAATTTAAAAATCCCTTTCAGAAAAATCGTGCAAATTATTAATCTACAGATCAAACAGAAAATGGGTACGAATTTTTGCAGGGAGTGAAATGAAAGAAAGGGGGAAATTGACCGTCGAGTTTTTTTTGGAGGGTATACGTGCGCTGCTGCTGCAGTGTATGAATGTTTTGGAATTGACGGGTGGCCCGGCCCGGCTCTTGTTTGGATCCTCATATTTTTTTTTTTTTTGTCAGATCCCCCGATGAATATATCTGTAATTTTCTTAGAGGACTGAACATAAGAAAAATAGTAAGAAAATTGATCTTGTTTTTGAACCACGAGTCCACGATGGAAACAAAAGGGTACAGGAGGTGTGTATTAATGGATATTCAGCTAATTACTCTCGCAGTTTGTGTTCGTATTTATGCAGCTAATACGGTTGGAGGAATTGACCCTATTTGGGTGACATGTCAGTTCGGTTAAACCGTAACCATATTGATTATCAGTCCGGGGTATGGGTATAGTAGTCCAAAGCGTCCCAAATAATTAGGGTTTGATTTTGCACTTACCCTAGTACATTTGATTCTAGCTAATGTGGAAAGGTTATCGTATTTGGATTATGGCTTAAGGTACTCAAACTAATACGATAGGTTATTAGCTACCACTTCAACAATCATAAAACTATTAGCGATCGAAAACCACAAAACACGCATCTTGTTTCTTCCTTCGTTTCTTTTCGTGAGTTATTTGTTTGTGATTAGTCGACAGTAGACCGGAAATGGATGGCATGATTCATATCCTCATCTTGAAAATGCAAATGTCCCAACCTAAACCTAACTAGCTGTGGTCTGAGCATTGCTAAAATGTATCTTTTGCTAAGCATGTTTACAAAGGAAATGAAAAGTAGACAGAAGCGAAAAAGAAGATAAAAGGAGGAGAGTTAATTAATTCCCAAGCTGGAAAACCATAATAAATAAAGACTAAAGAGGTTAATTATAATGTGTACAAAATAAAACACATTGCAATTTTCCATTCAGCAGCCAAACCAAATCCACATGCAGGTACAATTGAGTGTTCTTCCCTTTGACCTACTTTTGTTCATAACCAAATCGATAGATAATTTTCATCCTCAAAAGCAGTGAAATTGTCAGTTCGATATAAAAATTGCCTGGCGTGCATGGGTTATTTAGTGCCCTTTCTTCACATTTTGCCAGAGGAAATAATTAATTAAACAAGATCATCAGAAAATCCAAAAACAACAACACAAACAATATCATCATAAAACCCAAAAACAACAACACAAACAATTAGTTATATTACTACGAGAAATCTAAAATGACTCTACAATTACATTAATTAATGCGAATTTTTTACACGTATAAATTGATATTAGCACTCCTGTTGTATGATATGAAAATATTCGCGAGTTAAAAAGTATAATGAAATTTGAGTGCGCTATTGTCGATATGAAAATAAAATCACGAGTATTACTTGATGTCAACAACAACAAATCACAAGGTACTTAATATCATCATTTCCATAGTAATGTATGGGTGAAACTTTTGAATAAATGGTGATTAGTTTGGTTTGGGGTTATGATTAAAGACAACTTTTAACCAAACTATATTATAATAATCCATTTGAGGATACCTTTTTTTTTTGTTTCTCAGCTTTTCCTCCAGTCCGTGGGAGCAGAGGTTTTGGTTTACGTGAGAAATTCTTCATTTAGCAAAAGGAAGACGACAATAAAGCCGGAAAACTACAAAAATAACTACGATATTAACATAGGTAAACGAGCTAATAGAGTACAAAATTGAATGGAAACCCTAATTAAAAATCACAAATAAATAACGTTAATTCAATAAGCAACCATTTTTTTTTATCTTGCATGCCATTTTGTAACAAGCGCTTAAGGAACCCTGAGAAGGCAACAAAATCCCCCACATATCAACGCATATATACATACAAATATTATGCTGTAATTTCTTAATATTCTCCAGTAAACTTCAGCTAACTTCCAAATAACAGTGTTGTGAATCGAGGCTACAATGGAGTGCACTTATACTTTCACGATGTAGATCGACTCGCCTTTGCAGACTAGGTTTCTCGTTTGCTTACATACCATTCTTCCTTGAAAAGAAGTCACAAACCAAACTAATTAGCGAGCGAATCTAGTTAACATCAAACTGTTATATCGACTTAGAAGAGTCATTGTTAATTTCGATAATAATTAGTGTTGAAGGGATCCAACATTTCTCACTCTCACAGTAGTAGCTACTTAACTTAGGATGTAGTTCCCACTGACCATTGATTTTACTTATTAAGTACAGCTGGTTTAGTTAATGGAGGAGAATCTTACAACTAAGTATGTACGTGGAAACACTTTCTTGTCATTTTGTGAACTAATTACCTTAGGGCCTTTTTCTTAATTAATCACTCTTGTCCCATAACGAACACCTAAACATGTGTAGTCACCTTGTTTATTTATTGGGGATGAATTATAAATTGGTATTTGGAACAAAACCGAAACCAAATAAATATGGGTTTTGGTGGTTAGAGCAGTAGTGGTTTACTCTATAATTTGGCCGCCGATATTAGTCCAAAGAATTGGGTGGTGGTATTAGGTAGCGACAAAAGTTATTTAACTGCTGCCCTTCTCAATTTAACCACCACGTGCAAAGTAAATTGTTTAAGATGTATTATATATCATTCATTTTGTCATTCGATGTAATGGAACTTAGTAGTGAAAATATGTGGTCTCTTATCTAATATATTTATATTTTATAGGTGAATTGTGACAAATTTTAATAGATTCCACTGCTAGTTTTTGTTGTAATTTCCTTCCCTTGTAAACGCTATTACATAATGGTAATTAAGCCTTGTATTCTGTTACTAATTAGTAATTACCTTAACATTTCCGGCAATGTACTTCATACCTAATCATTACAAAGCCCGTAATAGTGCCAAAAATTACAAGTGGAGAAAAGGATATACTTATTATTGGAAAAGGGTTGCAGAAAGAATGATTATGGGGAATGGATGAGCCACCTAAATATAGATACTTAACACATTTCAACGAGAAACAAACACTAATTAACAATGGAAATTATATCCAAACTGCTGGAATGAATGTTGGGAAATGAACAATTAGACATGATGATGATGATGATGATGATGAAGGAAACAAAAACATATAGGCCACTAGCTGATGATGAGGCGTATATGATCATGATTAGGGAATTTAGTGTAATTATGAGGGAGGGATGATTAGTGCGATTTAGAGTTGGCAAATACAGTATTCCTTCTGAGTGGGAGTTTGGGAGCTCATTCATTACCTTATCCACAGAACATAATAATTGTATAGTTGAGTGTTAGTTTTTAGGCTGTAAAGGTGCAATATATGTATAGGGTAGCAAATATTTTATAAATTGATAAAAAAAAAATCATGTTGGAGAAGTTTAAAACAATGGTTCTCATATAATATCGTTACATAGATAATTATGACATAGCGCAAATTAGGCCGACGTTAACATATCTGGTCAATCCATCATATTTTCGACCATGATCCTTATACACCATGTGGGTCAAAATGAAAACAATACAACAGTAATACACGTAGCTACCCTATGGCTAGCTGTTATAATACCAAGACAAGAGAGGCCTTGTGTTGAAATGTCCAACCAAGATAAGCTCGAGTCTCTTAATCATAAATATCAACCATCAATGTCGTCTTCGATTCGACCGACGACCTTTCCCTCTCCTAGGGAAGGAATACTGAATCAAAAACATATAGTTGGCGTTGGCGACCACTCTGCAGATTCCATCGTCCCTTCCCCGTAAATTGGTATACCTAACTAGTAACTAGCACATGCATTAAATTGAAGCAACAGGTAGGTAAAATCGGGAGGGAATCCGATCGATCTAACATTACTCTTCGTTTGGTATACAGTGTCCTTGTCTGAGGGGACACATTGTAACTTAAATATAAGGTTTTCATTATTGTATGTAGTTTTGGTTTGGTCTCGAAAGATACAGAACACAACAGAGTGATCCTCCTGCAGCTGCTTACGTTGTTCTTTTGACAAGTATGTATCACAAACTTCCTCCACGTCGCCATTTACTGATCACTTCCATACAAGCTAAGTCCTTTGAGATAAAAGATAAGAATGGCTCTGCTCTCTTCTGCTGTTGTTGGCTGTTGCTATGTGCATATAATTAATTGATCTGCCACACAAAAAATATTACAGCAATGGGGTTTCTCTATCAACAGTCTAGGTTCTGTAAAGGGGACTGTTTTTCTCTCGTAGTCTCTATCTGGTTACATCTCGTCGACCATGAACGTATAAGAGAATTATATCGTGGTTGATCGACATGCTCGCTAAATTTTAAATCAGAGATTTGACTCTTCTTCAGTATCGAAACTTTACGGTCATTCATTTACTACTTTACACGATCACTCGTGTCAAAAGATTTGTCGCTCATGTATGGTGAATGGTGATGGATATCCCGGTTATATAAAACAAAAAAGAAATTAATTAGTTATCGCCGTCAAGAATGTCGTTTGACGTAAATCAGACCATGTGGTGGATGCTATTGTTCATAATTATATAAGTACTATGACGTCAATTCCACTCGAAGCTATCATTATCACTAATTAATTCGAGCATGTTGTGCATCGTAATATTTGTGTTATTCCAATAGTACTATCATGCATATGTAACATATATAGTTCATGAAGATTCGTGATTGAGACAGAAGAAGAATTTGTTATATGTGTTGCGGTCTAGCAACATGGTGGTTGGACCGGTTGATCGATAATGTTAATGTCGAACTGATTACTCAGACTGCTCAGAACCAAACCCTACAAATATATATTACTATTAATTAGTTCAATCAACTTGGAGTAGTTAACAATTAGTTAATCATGGCATGTTGTGAATCTTATAACATCGTGTTATTCGAATAGTCACATTCTTTGAATATAATTCAGGAAGCTTCGTGGTACTGATCAATCAACATTTGGTGAAGATCAGGGTGCTAATGCAGTTTGATTAAACGTAATTAAAACGTTTAAACGATGAATTTAGAACAAAAGGATATTAATTAATTTGTGGCGCAGACTGATTAAGATTGATTCGGAGGGGAAACAAAACTATCTGTTCCACGTACCCTTTGCCTCATCACTGCCTCTACCTCTGCCCCTAACAACCAGCAAACAAGCTAATTATAATTATATATAATCTCTGGTTAATTAATTATTTTTAACATAATAACTAATATTCAATCTTGCCTGTTAATCACTGAAATCCAAGGTCTTATAGAGACTCGATTGCTGTCCCCTTCACATTGGCAGATAGGTCAAACATTGCGTTGGAGGACAGAACAAAGAAGAGAGGAGAGGCGCCGCCGTCGTTTTGCATGTTTTCTTCACCGTAAATGGGAGAAGAAAGAGCAATACGACAATTTATCATCAGAAATGGCCAAATGTACCGTCATTCAATGCATCCGGCCGCAGGCGAAATAAGACTCTCCGATCCGGCCGCACGTGTTAAGGAGGACGGAGGAACCAGGAAGGAGGGTTCTTAGCGTCGGCGTTTCGGCCGCATCGCACGTGTCAGAGACGGTCGGATCTTTGTCCGGTCAAGCCGGTAGTGGACCCTCTGTCTCTCCCGGCGCGGGAATAATGTTGACGTGGCGTGCTCTCCGCGTTGCTTTGCATTGGATGCTCTTCTCTTTCTCCTCCCGGCGTTTACTTTGTTCTGTTCTTCTCTTTCTCTGCCCCAAAACCAAAATAGTAGCTTTGTCGTTTTCCTCATCCTCTTCTTTAATCCCAATTCCCAAACATAGGATACCATGGTCAGTCAAGCCAATTTCCTCGATTTACTATAATATATTAATAACAATCTCACGACCAATTTCGAAAGTTTTTAAAATTGATGAATTAGGGATCCGTTTGTAACTCTAGTTTTTATCTTTGCTTTTTGAAGGGATATGGTAATGATACATTATCTAACTCAGTCAGGACTAAATTCATTTTTTATAAAACTTATGAGTTTACATCGAAATTCAAGAGAAGAGTCTAAATTCTTGTATTATACAAAGACAAAGATGACTCTAAAGTCTGTGAAGAACATATAATCTCATCGATCGTACCGTATAATTTATGGTTATCTCTTCAAACTCTCTCATTCTATGCAACATGTCAACATATGAACCGAGTCTCCAAACTTAGGTAAAACAAACAATACCTAGTTTTGTTGGGCATATGGAGTGGGGAGACATGCTTTGTGTTTTAATGTGAAGAAAAAATGTTGGGAAATCTTTGAACATGGAGAACTTTGGATTTGGCAATTGGTATTCTAGGCATTGGCAATCAAATGATATGTGGTTTCGTGTTGGGAACTTGGGTTAGGTGCATGTACGAAGAGGGTTATACGTTGTCCATAAATATTCTGTTTAATATTCCAACCTTTGCCCATGTCCTTGCACACGACAAATTGAAGGAGAAACACTAGAATTTGAAGGAGCTGCAAGCTTAATTATTGGATCCTGATCGGTGTTTTGGTATTTCGAGATACAAACTTAACGTGTATAATAATCGTAGAAGTACAAGTACATTTTCTACAATAAAGAAATTTGTACATTTATATTATGATACGAATTCAGTTTGTATCATAAAATTTTCTTTTTGTAAACTAAAACATCGATACTATAAAGTATTGTAAAATTCTTCTAATAATTGATGTAACTAGTTGTAGTCCATATTCTTTAATAGCTATACTCATATCGGCCCTTGTTTTCCTTTTTCACTATTTTAATTTTGTAGCTAACTACTATAGATAGATCGAGATGTAATGGGTTACATTCATTTATGGAATCCGTAATATATAGGTCAAACGTGCGAGATAGGGTAGATTTAGAGGGACCATGATGCTATGACCACCGAAAACCCATATATCGATCAATTTCTCCCCCATACCCCTAATTTGTCACCTACCCAAATGGGCCCCTTGAGTTTTAGTCTTTTAGATATCACTCCCTCGTTTAATCATAACCCAACACATCGAATTGAACTCATGCTAACAAATGAGCACTTGCGAGATTGAGAATCTAGATTCAGTAACTTAGAAAGACTCTTAAGATTGGAATGTTTCTCAAACTCAGAGTTATTACATCTTAAGATTAAAGTACCGTAACTCATTCAACTCGGGATGTGATTAGGTGCTAACCCTTATAGGGGTTAGCACCGTGATAACTAGCAAAAAACGCTATTAAAAATAACGAAATCACTACGGATTATTATAAAATCAATACAACACTACTAAAAATAACGAAATCACTACGGATTATTATAAAATCAATACAACATCTAAGCTAAATCACTACTAATTCAAACTAGTAGTAGTTTTTCCCTTGGTTAGGAGGGTACTAACTATTGTATAATTAGCACCGTAACTCCTCCCATTCAACTCATTTGTAGGGTTCCTATGCCACAAAATAATTAGGGAAAATGACATGCTACATACATATTTCCATATCTACTACGGACGGGGGGAAACTACAGAAGGCGTCAAAATCCAAACGTACAAACATACCTATCTATCGCTAATGACACCACAAAGGACGAAAGCAATTAGGCCTTTCGTTTTCAATCCTTCCTTCCTTTCCATTTCCATTTCACCATATCTCTTTCGCTTTCAATCACCTTTTCAATAGGGGAAAAGAGAAATACCCTCTTGCACAAACTCGAATGTAGACGCCGGCTCTTTAGTTGTGTTTGCTAGACCAAGCAAGCAAGGAGGGGACGTCGCCGTCCTAGTGCTTCAAAAGAGGTAACTAAATGACATAGAATTGGAAGTCTTCAATACGGAATGAAAACTCGTCTATAAGTTCATAGTGGTGGGTTGAGGAACGGTTAAACATGTGTCACAATTGGTTCATAGTTTGCTATATATCTTACTAGCTTATAATCCGGCCTGTTGGCCGGAATGTTTATATTTTATTTTTTATACTTTTTATGTTACGTTAAAGTCTATCAACCTGTTTAATTTGATTGGCAATCTTTTGATCGAGATGATACATAAAGAAAGAATATATAGGTCGAACATTCAGAGAAATATCATCATCATTTGAGAAAATAAAACATAAAAATGTATGATTGATCTCATTTTCATAATGATAATTAAGCCCAGTTAATATGTCATTGGCTAGTTGATTGTTAAGAAAGATAGAGTATAAAAGCTCACTGGAATTCCCACACGACCCATAGATAGTTTGAAACTGAATCTAAAACCTCACAATCCTACGTAAATGGTTCAATGCTCTCATTTTGGGGGCAATATGCCACTAATAAAAAAGAAATGGATAGTTGTAGGTTCAAGTCAACTATATACTAACAACTCGGCTTAGAGTGGACCATCAAAACTTGAGAGCAAACGATCAAAGTAAATTGGGTTACCTCCAATATACTAATAGACTCGATCAAAGTAATATGACGCAAAATTAGACAGTCCTTATCTATCAGTTCCAGTAGGTTGAATAAAGAATCAACCTACTTCATTAAATCAATCAATGATTACTCGTTTTAAGATAGAAATAGGTTGTGGTAGCTGCAAAAACTATAAACCTAATGATCCAATAGCGACCACTCTCCATTGAACGACCAAATTTTTATCTACTCTATCTTCAATCTCAAGAAGCATATGTTTCAACCAAACATTCACTTTCTAACCCTTCTTCTGCAACTCCATTTCTGCTACTTTGATGGACCTTCTCTCTGCGACCCTCAATTTCTCTTCCAATTAGGGTTTTTGTCAACTCGCTCTTCAACTCCTCAATCCTCTTCCTGTGTTTTGCCAACTCATCTTCCTCAAGTCCAGTTGTAATAAGTTCGCTAAAACCAAAACTCATCTCCAATTCCATCAATAAGCTCATTCCCCCCCCCCCCCCTTGTATGTCTTCACATGCTTCAGTACACTTCCATGTCCTTCAATACCCTCTCCATTTTTATTAATATCCTCATCATCTCTCACTTCTCTCTCTTTAACTGCTCCAGTTTTGCTTCCGCGTCTTTCAACACCCTCCTCAATTCGATCACTACCCTCGGTAACTCCCTCTTCTATGCCTTAACATGCTACAGTTGAATTTTTCTTCCCCCCCACCACTCTCATTTTCAAACTCAATCCTAACTCTTCTACTCCAAGTTCAACACCTCAAACTCCTAGAGTGTTGCATGAAATCTCAATTTCTAACTAATTCTAAAACAATATCAAAATTTGATTAGTGAGATAAGAATAAAAATTAATGAGGAAAATTATGGTTGCGGAGAACATTAGTTATCACAAAATCAAATATGAGCGGAAATATTGTAATTGAAAAGAAACCTTTTTCTCATTTTGATCTTATTTTATTATTTCAATAGCTAAGCAAAGAACAAAAATAAAGTACAGGAAACACACAACAAAGTGGACAGGGCTCTAGCAAAGTACAACTGCCATGTTCTACACAAACATCTCTTTTGCTTACAAACAAATATAGTACCCAAACCATCGTTCAAATTCATTTTCTATATTTAATAAATCATTCATAAACAAAAAACTTAGATAAATCGGGAAGGAAATAATAGCCTGCCAGTTCAATTCGATGAACCTAATATGAAGATAGAAACACATTGAAGTTGAAACCTAATAACAGAAAGAGGAGAAATCACGCAGGAGATCCCCCGAGCTTTAAACATCGTTTCAGGCAATAAGATCAAAATAAATAGATATTATGCATGTTGTGCTCATGAGACAACGTGAAAATAAAAGTCGCTTTGTTATTAATCAGAAAGATAAAACCATGAGACATAGAGAAGAAACGAATAACTTACATGTGTAAAGCGATTAACCTTGATCGGAAATCGAAAACCTATTAAAGGTCAATGCCTGGTATAGGAAGAGGAGTAAAGGCGAAAGGTATAACTGATCAAACATTGCCTTCAACAATAGAAGCAGCAAAATAGTTCTTCTGATAGTACATCGGGGAGAGACAGAACCATTGGGTGATGCCAGTGCAGAGGAATCGAGCGAGATAATCAAGGCCATGCCATAACTACTTGATTGAACTCCATTCTATTGGCCATGGATTGATATGAGAGTTGAAATCTTCTATTTGCCCAGCTTAAATCCCCAAGAATAAAACTGCAGTGCCAAAAGATACAGGGATGTTGATTTTCAAATGCTCCTTATACTGGGAAGTGAAAGCACGCAAACTATTGCACGATGGAGGGAATTTCGGAGAAAATTAGAAAGAGATAAGAACAAAGATAAAAAAGGCACAAAATTTAAATTATATTGAAAAATGCAAGGACACAACACATAGTAAAGGAAATAGTTTCTTCCATGTTAGCCAATTACCAATTTACCTTTAGCGAAAATAAAAGAGAGAGCATGAATTCTAAAATTGATAAAATTAAATGAAACTGTACTATGAAAATTGAAGTATTAAGCACCATGAAAATACATATAGTAGACTTAGTGCACTTGTTAATCATGATGGAAAAGTTCTCTGCTTTTCACAGTTTAAATACATGTATGTTTTGTATTAAAAAAGGAACAACAAATACATTTAGTATAATTGGTTATGATTGCTATCTTTGTCTGAAGAGACCCGGGTTCGAATCTTGATATTGATATTTTTATGAAATAAATAATTAATTGTAAAGACAAAATTGTCCTTCCTACTTTCACTCTCATTGCAGGAAATTTGAAATGGAGAAAAGTTTACAAAACTCTACTATATATTAATGGAGGATATTTGGAATGACAATAACATGTTAAGATCTTCAAGTTATTATACTAAGGCATTGATCAATTAGAGTTGAGTTGTACCAATCGTAGAATTTTTAGTTTTTATTGTCTATATAGGTGCATTTAAATTGTTGATAGACCATTGAGATTCATTATTTTGATTAATTTGATATCACTTCATGACGCGAGTGGTCTTGTACTCTATGTCTTATTGACCATGGTACCGATTCATTAAGTAGATACATGATGATATGGCATGTTTCTCATTGGTAGAATTAAAAATCAAATGAGACTCGACGCAAATCGTGCTTAACAATGATGTGAATTGTGAAAGAGCCACGAAGCATAATCTTATACCAAAGACGAATCTCTCTCTAGAACCTTAGAGCATAATTCTTTTCATCTAGCCACAAACCAAAAGGAGAAGGAAAAAGGGAAGAATATATGCAGCCGTCTAAAAGATTTGGCCTAAAGGTTGCCCTAGATTTTGGTAATGAATAATGTTCTTTGTACTGCAAACCAAAACAAGAAATAAAAAAAAAAGTTTTGGTCACAATTTGACCAAGTATAGATGGCAATATGGACACAAGCAATTCATGTCTCTTTGGCTCTTTGCACATGTATATTTGCTTTAATTTCTCTAATTTATTGGACTCAAGGCAATAGGGAATGTTCCTCCATACCCCAATTTTAAGAACACAAAAACCAATTATAATTCGTTTAATATTATTGTCACACCGTCATGCATCTCATCCCAAACACACAAACTTGATATTATTGGATTAGTGCTCCTAACCATTATTGGGCTACCTAGCTAGCTACCACCGAAAAGATAAACACTTTCTGCCATCATCTTCTAGCCAAGCTTTTGGTTTCAGTAAGATACAAATTGATAATGATAGATATATGATGGATGATTAACTGTAGATGAAGAAGCTAATTATTGGTCCCTGTTTTGATATCATATGTTTATCTTCTTGCCTCTAATAATTATACTCAATAATAATAATAATAATAATAATATGAACGCATAATCATCATTTTGATCACCTGATTCATCTCAAAATGGTCTTAATTTTCAATTTTATAACAGTGAACAAGGGAAGTGTGTTCATTTCACACGAAAACCATTCACTATTTGCTTGTGTTTAATTTTTTTTTCAAAACACGTTTGTTGTAACTTCATAAATTATATAATGATAATCGAAGAAATCTGTGAGAAAAAAAATGTATGTGTTAGTGTAAATTTGTATTGGGTGGTTGTATGAAACAGTATATGAACCACATAAAGGGGATTTTAGTAGAATAACTACAATTGAAATCCCTAATCACAGGGGTAAGTGATGAATGATGATCAAGATCAACCAACAATCTGCCAACAAATAGGTCTAAAGAGGGAATGGATTGAGAGGACGTAAATGGACACCTCAATATCGATCGTTTCAGATTCGGTGGGCTCAAATTGGGCCTCTTGGTCACAAAGCGCGAAGGGTGATTGATCAGATTCGCGGGCGTTCCTACGAGGAAACACTTATGGAGACCTTATTGCAGTTGTACCCGCTTACTCCAAAAGACAAAGCTGGAAAAGCAATTGGCGAATGGGCCCGGCCCAAGTACATCTCTCAGAATCAGAAATTTGTTCTTGTCCTACTAAATCAACCCGTAATAATTGAGAAGTCAGATCTCCCACAGGCCACGCCACAAAAAATGGGCCAGAAAACCCAGCTTTACCAACGGCTCTATTTTTTGGGGGCCCAAAGCAATTATTTTGTTCCAAAGTTGTAAGCTTGAGCTAGATGAAGAAAGAAGGTCTCAATAAACAGGTTATTGGGACCTTCTAATCTCATTTATCATTTCGAATGTTATTTTGAGATGAATCTACTTATAAATTATTGAAATTTATTACTTATTGGGTACATAGTCAACCACGAGAGCAACATTGACGGCAAAAGTCCTTTTCTACCCTTTATTAGCTTTTGATTCACCGTCCACGATGAAAAATGTGCTTTCTTTTTCACCCATCAGAAAGAGATGGTTGATCCAAGCCAAACTGATAGAGACAAACCAAAACCGCACAGCAGCATGAGTAGCAGAAGGGCAATTATTAACCCGTGGCTTGGTCCCAAATTCCCTTTGCTGCCATATGGCAAATCAAACATTTTCGTGTTACCACCTCAACCAAAGGGCAACAGAGATCCAGTTTTGCCTTGTGTTTTTTTCAAGCTTTTGGTGGTTTAACAAACTGCAAAGGTGCAACCACCAACAGGGAAGATGAATTGGGCAAAAGAAAAATGGGGAAATGCCCCTTTCCTTTTCCTTCTTGTTTTGCTTTGGGAGAGAAAGGAGACAAAGAAATAAATGGCAGAGTTGGTTGCTTAGTTAGTTTGCTGTTGGTGCTTATGACAGTGTCATGTTTAAATAATTTAATTGTTGAGAGGATGGGGTAAGTCTTTCTCGAATTGTAGCTATCAAATTTGTGTATGTTGGGTTTATATTGTTTGGTCTTTTTAATATTTGAATTCGAACAACACATTATACAAACTTCATCTCCTATCACTTTAGTCAATTCTTGATAATTGAATTTTATTTAGTGTAGGAGGTAGGTTAAAGTCAGTAGGGCCGTCTTTCTCAAATATGAAAAATATTAGATAAAATTAAATGTAAAATTTGTAACAAATAGAAGAAATAGAGTAGCCAATAAGACATCAGCACGATTCAGGTCAGCTTCACCAAATTCAGATTCTTAGCTCCCCACTGATTTTACTCTTTCTCGTTGCTCTTTCAAATTTTATCATATCTGACCCTTTCAGATTCATACAAACATTTTTGTCATGCCAACCATAAAGACAATTTGTACACACAACTAACTAGGATCATGCTTAAAGTTTGTGACACACATCTTTATTGCTTTGAGAATTTTCATTGCTAAGGAAACTGCACCACTTTTGGGTTGGCTGCTGTTGCATGGATGGTTAGGTGATTCTGGATTGCCGAAGAGTAAAGAGAGACCCATATTGTAAACAAAAAGCCCTTTTCTTTTTTCCGGCACTGAGAAGAATCAAAGGCTTTATAATAGCCCTTTGTGAACGGCTTGATATGGCTTTCTGTACAACGTTTCCTTTACTTCCTACCACTTTATTCTTCGTTTTCCCTTACTCAACTGACAGCAGCTACTAAAGGACACGCCCTACCTCGCTCATTACCGGATCAAAGCTTTTCTCTACTGCTTCCAAGCTCTATCATGCCTACAATGGTGGCCCTGTGTGTAGCATAGGGACGAGCGATACTGCAGAAGCATCCGACGAACCCTGAGCAATACTGCACGAGTGCTGAAGAAACTCTCTGCAGGGTAGCTTGCCTGGTAGCAAAGCTTGTAGGAGAGCAATGAGAGGTAATCAAATAATCACATTGATTTGACTGCCATTGAAGTTCACAAACAATCCTACTCCTTGATCTTGACTTCAGAGGATCCGAGTCTAAATGTCCACAAAACTAAGTCAGCATCTCGAGGGACCAACAAAAGGATCTAATCTAGGAGCAATTCCCAAGGACCTGGACTTGGAATGACTCGAGTCAGCCATCCACACGGATGGCTAAAATACTCATGGGACTGAAGTTTGCATTCATAGAAGCGAGCAAAATTCTCGTCATAAAGACTAAACCAGCAAAACCCTGAGTTAAGAGCAGGAAATTGAAACTTAGCTATGCTGCAATAAAGTGAGATTGAACACTGTACCAAACTCATTCTTTTTCACAGAACAAACCACAGAAAGAAGCTACAAAAGGAAAACCATTAAGAAGTTGAGAGAGGACAACCAAAATAAACACTTTCTAGTTACAAACCCTGTCCATTATAATGTGTTACCCCCTCCTAAAAACCCACCTACTAATGAAACTCCATTAAAATTTGCTAACAGAAACAAACAAAAGATATAGAATTACACCAAACCCCCCCATTGAAAAGAAGAAGAAAAAGAAAATACACCCTCATATGAATATAAATAAGGTCAACTTAAATACAACCACAGTCATCTTCATCACCATCAGCAGCAGCAAGCAGTAACACTTGCACAAAGAGCCCTAAAATCAGTCATCAGCCCCGGGGAGAGAGGCATTGGATCGATCAAATCAGCGGGCTGTGTCTATGCTCTTACTCAGCTCATCAAGCTTCTTCAGCCTTAGTGTCTCGCTTTCGGTCACCAGCTGTTCAAACTCGAAGAGACAAACAACAAATTCAGGTCGCAAGTTAGATGCAAGAACAGCAACAAATTTACCCAAAAAAACCCTTCATCCTGATTCCTCGGTAAGTAAAAGAAAGCATGAGTCTCACCTCCATTAGCTTGGTAACGAGCTGTACTTTCTCCTTGTTCTTATCATTAAAAGCATCAAGAGCATCCTTGTACTCTTTCTCCTGTAAATCGCAAAAACAACAACCCACGAAGTTATCACACAACTGTTTCTTTGTCTGGTTTTGACATGTGGTGATGGAACAGCAAATGGAGACCACATGTATATAGAAGACAACTAGACAATAATCCAGAAAAGGGGTTTTCATTAAAAAAGAAGTTATCTGCTGTTTGTTATTATCTCTATACCTTCTTCTGGACTGATTGTCCTAGTGGCTTCAATTCCTTATTCACTGAATCAATCTTCTTCCTCACAAGAGATACTTCTTTCCTCATGGGGTCTGCCAAAGTTTCCAGCTCCTGTAGCAACAAAAAGATTCATTAAGGCTCAGATTCAGAAAGGCAGAGGACAAGACAGAGTCCCATGTCATTTTCACCCAAATCCGGAATGGATTCGGCGGTGTTTGTTTATCTTCGTTATCACTAGGCCAACCCTCGAATCACAGCTTCTCCACCATGTTTAATCTGTTCTTACCAGCACAAATTTCAGAATAATGGTTCCTAGGGTTTGGGGAAAGGTAGGAAATTTCAGAAAATCCACCAAGATTTACTCAAGAATCTCGACATAAAACGGTCAAATTTTCCTCCCAATGACAGGAAGAATCGAAATTGCAAACTAAATATTTATAAAATATGCAGCTTTTCTCTTTCCTTCTTCAATCGGACGAACAAACGGTCATACTGTGGATTTTCAGTTTCTTCCCCAATTCCCCCCTAACCCTAAATAGAAACAGTGAAAAACTAAAACACTGCAAAAAATCCACACTGAAAACGCTAAATCTAGAGCAAACTCGCAAAAGAAAACAGCAGAAATGGTTGATTTTTGCTAAAGTTGAGTTTTTTACCTCACGAATCAAGGCGAGGCGTTTGGTTTCTTCCTCGACCCGGCCCATCTGAGCCTGGACCCGCTCCCTCACCTCCATCTTCTTCTTCTCGATCTCCTCCTCCTTAGCCCTGAAATTGGACAGCGCCGACCTCGACATCTCCTCGTCTTCCTTCGACATCTGACTGCTGAAGCTCAGGCTCCCCGAGGGCTGCTGAACCATCAGCTGATTCAGCTGCTTCTGCTGTGGCTGTGGCTGAGGCTGCGACGACGGCGGCGGCTGTGGCTGAGCGGTCTCCATTGTTTCACCGCTACTCTTCTGCCGGCTGTACCTACTCCTTCCCCCGAAGCACCCTATCTTGAAAACCCTTTTCTCTCCTCCTCCTTCTTCAACTTGGGTGGGATTCGCTTTCTCTCTTCTCTTCTCCTTTCAGCTGCTTTCTCTTGCTCTGTTTTTGCTTTCTCTTTCTTGCTTTGGCTTTGGGGGCGGGTAGGGGTTTTATTGCTCTGCTTCTCTCTCTTTCTTTTGAGTCACCCTTATAAACAAAGGCTGGATTAATATGAAGGTACAGCAAGGGAAATCGAGGTCCGTCGATTGAAGGAAACAAACAGCGTATCATAGCTGGATTTTAATATAGCTTTTTAGTTTTATGTTTTCTCTTTTAAATTGGAGATGGAAATACGCGGAATGAGAGCCTGAGAGAGGGCATTTCATCTCCAAACAAAACCAGGCCAAAAATAGTATAAACGAGACGATGATGGTAATTTATTTCCTACTAACTCCCCCATTTCTTAATAAAATGACAGATTGGCCATGCTCTGAGTTGGTGGTAGACAAGCAACTCCAACCACCTCTCTAAAAATTAGTTGTTTCATAGACATGAGATGACTGACGCAAGCCACATAACAGTTTTTACCCATACATACACCATGTGAATCGATTTATTAATTCCCCTGTTTTATCCTTACACTAAAACAGAGGAACATGCATGGTGAAGTAAGTAATATTGCCTGTGTTCCCTTCAGCATTCTGTTTATGAAAGAATGAAATGAGCATCATGATCAGCAGTATTGTACATCGAAATCGATTACTTGGTTGGTACGTTTATAATTAACGACGGATAGTAAGTATTTTTTTTTATTAGGAATCATTGCATCCTCATTATAACTCTATTTGTTGGAAGGGAACCATAATGAAAATATTATGTGACTCATTTACGTTAAAGATGCTAATGAGGTGATCTATGGAATAAATAAATAAAAATAATATCTTTTTGTTCATACACTGCCGATTTAAAGTAGATATCTCGATTCAAATACTTATGCGTGCATTCATTTATCTAAGAAATGCTAATTATCTCCATGCGTGACATTGGAAAGGGATCGAATCGGTTGAAAGGCAAAAGAAGGAAGATCTGAAGGATGGTTTTGAGTGTGTGCATGGCCAAGAACATGGAGTTGCAGATTATGAACTTCTTGTAACTATTCTTTTCCGGGGACGATTGATGGCCAGCGAGGAAAGGACCATTTCAATTACTGTGATTGGGTCAAGAGTGCACTTTCAATTACTATCACGATGAGGGACCATTTCAGCATTTTCCCCCCCATATTCAATAATACAGCAAATGCCAATTATAATACTCCGGGGAAAAGAATCTATCTAGTAAAAAAAAGGAAATACCAACAAAGAGAAAAGATCCAACGGTCGCAATCACCGGGATCCAACTAATCCAATGGCCCACTGGAATCTCAACGCCTGAGTCTATCCAACGGTACGTGACCCTGCCGTGTGGAACTCGACATGGACTTTAACTTGAAAATAACAACTTCAAAAGGAAAAAAATAAATAATAAATGGAGATATTTTGTATGGGCATTGCTATTCGTCGCCCTAAAATTTCTTATTCGTCGCCCTAAATAAGTTGATTTTACTCTAATGTCCTTAGAACAAAATTCCCTATTCGTTCCGGCTATAGATGGCAAACGGAAATTACATGACTCACAGTAATAAGTCAAGGAGGGCTCTAGCGCTAGGGATGGAAATTGATCATCATCAAGATCATCACCAACACCAACATCAAAATCAGGGTGTTTGGACGAAGCCACCGTCGTTGGAGCACCAGTTTATGCACTACGATCTCAACAAAAATATTAATACTGGCTGGATACAGCCTCCCACCGGCGCCGACGTTCTTCTTGGATCCTCTCCTCTACGTCACCTCGGTGCTAGGCTGATCAGTACTCCTCGCTATAGCTGGTCTTAGGGATCGTCAACGTCATCATCATTCATCATTAACTAATCAACTCATTTTGTCTGATGATAATGCTATATCATCTGTCCTTTAAATTTATTTTATTATATTATTTAGCCTAGAATCCGCATTCACGGGATAAGATCAACAACGTCCATGCCACTGCGGCGCCTTCTTCTTCTTTTTTCCTTTTTGGCCTTGTCTCTGTTCTCTCGCTTTCCGAACACACCTGGACCTGGGAAATTCGGGGTCTTGATGAATGTTGTTGATGGTGAGATATTGTAAAAGTTTGGTGAAGAGAAGTTGACGGAAATGGGTTCTCATTTATAGAGGCAGGGGACGGAGTCGCCTCAAGTATATATTGGGAAACCATGGCTGCAGAGCTTTTGTACTGCTGGTTTTGAATCAACAACGTCCATGCCACTGCCGGCGAATGGATTGGGGGTGATGAAGGGAAGCGTCGGAGGGCCGACTTGTAGAGGCGACGGAGCAGGCGAAGCCTGTTCTTCGATTTGAGCTGTAGCGGTTTTGGATTGGGGTGAGGAAGGGAGTAGGGATTTTTGGTTAGGATTTAGAATTGAAATTCGGTTGAGGGATAAATATGTCAATTTGTTGTGTTTTAGGGCGATAAAATTTGAATTTTAGGGCGACGAATAGCAATTCAGTTTTGTATTCGGGATAGTTTAAACTTTAATCACGGTAATTTTCAAAATCACAATCTCAATAACACGATTTTACCACTATATCGATGCCTTATTCGCCCCTCTGTAGTTTTTCTAATATATAGAAAATTACCTTTTAATGAGTAGGGTGCGTGTATAATACATCCTATATTTTGGGTATATATATACAATGCACTCTATTTCAAAACTAGACTCTAATGATTAAACTGTACATTCTAGAGTTACATAATTCATGCATTTTTACTCGCCAAGTTTATCTTTGCAATAGTTATTAGTTGAAGTTTCAGAAAACTTTCAAGTATAAGCAAATTATAATGAATTAGTTGAAGTTTCGGAAAAATTTCAAGTATATGCAAATCATAACGATTTTTACGTAAGCTCACATATTTTCTTACTTGTTGTTGTATATTTTATTTGAGAAAAGGAGAAGTTGAAACAAAAAAGAAATTTTTATACAATTGATGGTTGAGTTCGTTTTTTACAAAAAATGAATGACCAAATTGAAAATTATAAAATTAACTATGTATCCTGCACCCAAAATCGTAAGTATATATTGACCCACGAATGAATAAGAGTCTACTGATCACCTCCTTATCAGCTGTGCGTTTGTTGATGATATCTTGAACACTTTTCAGAGAGGATCTGTTATTTTTCAGAATCGCGACATTGGTTCGTTTCTTGCTGTCTTCACGCTACTCTTTGGCAAGTTTGGAAGAAATGCAATCAACGTATATTCGAGAATAAGAAGCAGAGCTCTGGAACTATCTCGCGTCTGATTATTAAAACGATTGTGAATTGGTTGGCTGCGTTTGGTAAGGTGAACAAATATCAGGGGACACAGTGGATGTGTGATTTTTTCTTGAGAATATGAGGACCTTTGTCTCAGTTTTTTGTACTGCTCAGTTCAAGTGTTGCGTCTTTTTATCAAGCTGCTAGGTCAAGTGCTTGATGCACTACCTTTCTTGGAGGCAGAGTTTTCGCATTTTGATTGTTCTGAATAGGGTTCAACAAACACACCTGTAAATCGACTCACCCGTTCAATCCGACCCAACCCACCTATATTTATCGCTAAAACTAAGGTTTTGGGTTGGGTGAGGGTTTTCTTTTCTACAACCCGCCTCTTTTGGGTTGGGTTTGGATTTTGCATTACACAACCCGTAGAACCCAACCCAACCCATGTTCCAACTATTGATATGAGCTCGTATCCAAAAAATATTTATGTCGTATATAACCATACTTATTAGAAAATTAAGATATTTCGCCATATTTTTCTCTCATGGTCTCACTAATCTAATGCATTTTTCGGGTTAAAGTTTAGACATAGATTTAATATAGCTATGATTCATGTAATAATTTTTCTTGTGTATGATTTTAATAGAATTACATATTATGGATGCGTTCGTATATAACATTTTTATCCTATTTCAACAAATGTCGTGAAATAAAAAAACTATATATATATATGTTAAAGTAAATCACATTTTAATAAAATTTAAACAACATTTGTGAATTTTGATACCTTTCACCTCGATTTATTCGTTTGAAATTTTAATTAGTTATAAAATATTTTTATGGTATAGAATAATTACATGTTTTGTGTTGGGTTGGGGTTTTACTTAAAAATATCGCCAACCCGACCCAACCCAATTAGAAACAAACCGTAGGGTTTTAATTTTTTTGGCTATGTTTGAGTTTAATATTTCCCAAACTGTAGTGCATGAGTCAGGTGATTAAAATGGCTAAACCCGGACCACCAGGCCACGTACACCCCTACTTCTGAAGTGTTGCCAAGCATCAGCCCTTCATCTTCATGGATGATGACCTTTTCAATTCTTTTGGTGCTTTTTTTTTTGGGTTTTTTACGCTTTTACTCTCTAATATGGATGGTCGGATCCATCTTGGCAGGCGTTTTTCTTCACATCAGGTGTTGTTTGATCCATTAAAATGTTTTTCTCGTTTCTTGTTTCTTCTTTTTTTTCATAGATATCCCGAAAGGAAATAGTAGATACAAAGTACAAAATAACGCCTTTGCAGGTTGAATTCGTACTTGTTTGTTTTTTTCGTTATTTTTTCACGATGTTCCTGTGGCTCAATTCTTTTGAACCCGGATTGTTGTCTTTGTGTTGCTGAACCTTTTCTGATTTTTACATTAATGCATTTACCCTAACAAAACACAATAAACCCACGAAAGAAGGAAAATTAAGTCGTAGTTATTAAAATGGTAATGTCTATTTTTTATCCAAATCTTTTTAAAATTCTTTTATATTATCCAAACTTATTAAAATTCTATTAATTAGACAAATCTTCCATAATGCATCAAAATATTAGCCATTTTAATGCTATTGTTAATAATTTTATAACTATTTTCTAAGTTAAAATACTAAAATTTTGGAATATTGACCTTCGTGTGTCTCTTACAAGTCAGTATCATATTGCCAAGTCAATATTAATAGCAAAATTGCTAACTGAAAGTTAACTTTTAGTTAATTCTTAATATTTCGATAGGTTTGGATAAAAAATAGACATTACCCTTATTAAAAAAAATAAGGGCACAGCCTTACGGCCTTACCTTTATTTATTTATTTATTTTCTTAATCCTTGTGGGTAATTAATTAAGTAATAATTCCAAATGATTTGCGCTGTCAGGGCCACCTCATACTCAGATTCCAACCCTTTGGACGTTTGCTGCAAATGCTTATTTATTTATTTATCCCTTTAAGGTCCTTCATTTTTCTATAATAAATCACTCCATTTCGTTTTTACTTGTCAAAGATATGGGGGAAAGGAGAATCTTGGGAAACGACAATGTCTTACTCTGCATTAATAATTCGAATTATTCTAATCAATTTATTTTTTTACTACTTAGAATTAGAGCTTTTGATAATTCAAATTATTGTGATCAATTTATTTGGGGATTAATGCACAGGAAGTGACGAATGCCAAGACATATGAGTTTCATGAGTTATAAATTGGTAGATTGGTGTCTTTAAAATTAAAGCTACAAGATATCGTATTTCGGATCATTAACAATTGACCTTCTATATTAACCAACTTAATAAGTACATGTTGTGACAACAAACTTATGCAAACTTCAAACCCTTTTATTGGGCTTTCATCTCCGGAAGACTTACAAGAAATTATATAAAATCTAATTTTCAGTTTCCTACCCAACAACTCAAATCATTGAAACCAACAAGTTCTCTCAACACAGCCTTTGTCGTCCCCTAACGTGATTGATGAGTGTGAAACCTTTTGTTGTAGTTGTGATGCTGGCAGGCTTTTTAAGGCACTAATGGGGTTTTTGCTTTTAAGGAGGTTAGTTAATTGCATTTGCATATTAAACAGTAGTACAGCCTTGAAAGGGCAGCGTACTTTGTTGGCAGTTTGCACAGTTGAACCGTTCTTCTTCTCTGACAGCTCGTTCCAGAAGGATATAACATAGGCAAATTGATAGATTAACAAGCACAGATTTGCTGTTGTAAAATTAATCTATACACAAAGAGTTATGTCCACAACTAACTTTCAAAATTTCGCCAGATTCTAAAGTAACATCACAAATTTTGGGTGATTTTTCGAAAGTCCATTTTTATTGGATATTAAAAACTACTGATTATGGATTCGACCTGAGCATATTCTTCATCGACGATGAAGTCTATTAATCGGCGATTTGGGCGGATTCTATCTGGATCCATTTCCCCCATATTACAAAGGGGTATGTTCTATCATAGATTCCAGACGATTTTTTTCGAAATGTCATTTTCCTTTGATTTTGAAGGTAACAGATCACATATTCGCCCATGTTTATTCTCCACCGATAATGAAGTCTATCAATCGGCAATTTTGGCGAATTTTTTCCTGGTCTGTTTTTGCCAGATTCCAAATGGGTATTTCAGGTAATTTTTTTAAAGGCTATTTTTCTTGGATTTTGAAGGCTACTGATCACGGCTTCGACCTGAGGCTATTCTTCGCCGATGATGAAGTCTATTATTCGACGATTTGGACGGATTTTTTCTGGGTCCATTTTCCTCATATTCCAAAGGGGTACCTTCATTGCGGGTGATTTTTTTTATGGATGATGAGACCAAGTATTATTACCAAAACGAAGTAAAAGAAAAAGAAGATCCACGGCCACTAAAGGGGATAGAAAAACCCACATAAATGTGGGACAAACAAGAAAAAAACAAAAAGAAAGTAGAAGATGACAACATGCTACAAAAATAGAGAAAAACAATTCAAACAAAAAAGTCAAAACCAACTTACATAAAAAGTCAAGAAAAGAGCACCAAAAAACGAAAGAGGAAAAAGAAAGAAAAAAATTTGATACAACGACGACAGATATTTACTCACCTGCCCCAATCCTCAACCACGTTTTTTGAAAGACCATTTTTCTTCGATTTTAAGGCAAATAATCACGGATCGACATGAGGCTATTCTCCACACATGATGAAGTCTATTAATTGATATTTGAGCGAATTTTATCCAAGTCCATTTTCGCCAGATTCCAAAGGGGGTACTATTTAAGATTTCGGGCGAATTTTTTGAAATACCATTTTCTTTATTTTGAAGGTTACTAATCACGGATTCTGCCAGAGGCTATTCTCTACAAATGATGAAGTCTATTAAGCACCTATTTGGATGAATTTTCTCCAAATCCATTTTTGCCAGATTCCAAATGGGTTCCATCACAGATTTCAGGCTATTTTTTCGAAAGACCATTTTACTTGGATTTTGAAGGCTACTGATACTGGATTCAATATGCAGCTATTCTCCACCGATGATGAAGTCTATTTAGCAACAATTTGGGCAGATTTATCTACGTCCATTTTTCGCCATTTTCCAAATGGCTACCATCACAAATTTCAGGCGATTTTTAGAAAAACCATTTTCATTAGATTTTGAAGGCTACTGATCACGGATTCGATCGTGGACTATTTTCCACTGATGATGAAGTCTATTAATCGACGATTTGGGCGAATTTTTTCTGAGTCCATTTTCCCTAGATTCCAAAGGGGTCACTCATATTTCGGGCGATTTTTTTGATGGACTTAATCATTGTTGAAGAATAGCCTCAGGCCGAATCCGTGATTTGTAGCCTTCAAAATCCAAATAAAATTGCCTCTCCGCTCCCAAAAAATTACGAAAATGCCATCTGAAAATAAATTTGCACAAATCGGTGCTTATTGGACTTATCATCCATGGAGAATAGGATCTATAGACCTCATTATTGGTGGAGAATAGTCTCGGCCTGATTACGTGATCTGTAGCCTCCAGAATCAAAAGAAAATGACATTTCGAAAAAATCTCCCGAAATCTGTACCCCTTTGGAATCTGCCAAAAATTGACCCGGAATAAATCCGCCCAAATCGGTGCTTGACGGACTTAATCATTGTTGAAGAATAACCTCAGGGCGAATCCGTGATCTGTAGCCTTCAAAATCCTAATAAAATGGCCGCTCCTCGCCCCAAAAATTAAGAAAATGTCATCCGAAAAGAAATTGGCACAAATCGGTGCTTAATGGACTTATCATCCATGGAGAATAGGATCTATAGACTTCATTATAGGTGGAGAATAGTCTCGGCCTGATCACGTGATCTGTAGCCTCCAGAATCAAAAGAAAATGACATTTCGAAAAAATCGCCCGAAATCTGTGATAGTACCCCTTTGGAATCTGCCAAAAATTGACCAAGAATAAATCCGCCCAAATCGGTGCTTGACGGACTTAATCATTGTTGAAGAATAACCTCAGGCTGAATCCGTGATCTATAGCCTTCAAAATTCTAATAAATGCCCTTTCCTCGTCCAAAAAATTACGAAAATGTCATCCGAAAAGAAATTGGCCCAAATTGGTGCTTAATGGACTTATCATACATGTAGAATCGGATCTATAGACTTCATTATCGGTGGAGAATACCCTCGGCCTTATTCGGTAATCTATATCCTTCAGAATCGAAAGAAAATGACATTTCGAAAAAAATCGTCCGAAATATGTGATGATACCCTTTTGGAATCTGCCAAAAATTGACCCGGAAAAAATCCGCCTAAATCGGGGTTTGATGGACTTAATCATTGTTGAAGAATAGCCTTAGGCCGAATCCGTGATCTGTAGCTTTCAAAATCCAAATAAATGGCCTCTCCTATCCCAAAAAATTACGAAAAATGCCATCCGAAAAGAAATTTGCACAAATCGGTGCTCGATGGACTTATCATCTATGGAGAATAGGATCTATAGACTTCATTATTGGAGGAGAATAGTCTTGGCCTGATTACGTGATATGTAGCCTTCAGAATCAAACGAAAATGACATTTCGAAAAAATTGCCAGAAATCTGTGATATTACCCCTTTGGAATCTTCCAAAAATTGGCCCGGAATAAATCCGCCGAAATCAGTGCTTGACGGACTTAATCATTGTTGAAGAATAACCGCAGGCCGAATCCGTGATCGGTAACATTCAAAATCCAAATAAAATGTCCTCTCGTCGCCCAAAAAATTACGAAAATGCCAACCGAAAAGAAATTGGCACAAATCGGTGCTTAATGGACTTATCATCTATGGATAATAGGATCTATAGACTTCATTATCGGTGGAGAATACCCTCGGCCTTATTCTGTAATCTGTAGCCTCCAGAATCAAAATAAAATGACACTTCAAAAAAATCTACCGAAATCTGTGATGGTACCCTTTTGGAATCTGCCAAAAATTGACCCGGAATAATTGCGCCCAAATCAGGGCTTGATGGACTTAATCATTGTTGAAGAATAGCCTCAGGCCGAATCTGTAATCTGTAGCCTTCAAAATCCAAATAAAATGGCCTCTCCTCGCCCAAAAAATTACGAAAATGTCATCCGAAAAGAAATTGGCTCAAATCGGTGCTTAATGGACTAATCATCTATGGAGAATAGGATCTATAGACTTCATTATCGGTGGAGAATACCCTCGGCCTTATTCTGTAATCAGTATCCTCTAGAATCGAAAGAAAATGACATTTCAAAAAATTCGCTCGAAATCTGTGATGGTACCCCTTTGGAATCTGCCAAAAATTGACCTGGAATAAATCCGCCGAAATCGGGGCTTGATGGACTTAAACATTGTTGAAGAATAGCCTCAGGCCGAATCCGTGATATGTAACCTTCAAAATCCAAATAAAATGGCCTCTCCTCTCCCAAAAAATTACGAAAATGCCATTCGAAAAGAAATTTGCACAAATCGGTGCTTAATGAACTTATCATCTATGAATTATAGGATCTATAGACTTCATTAGTGGTGGAGAATAGTCTTGGCCAGATTACGTGATCTGTAGCCTTCAGAATCAAAAGAAAATGACATTTCGAAAAAATCGCCCGAAATCTGTGATAGTACCCCTTTGGAATCTGCCAAAAATTGACCAGGAATAAATCCGCCGAAATCGGTGCTTGACGGACTTAATCATTGTTGATGAATGACCTCAGGCCGAATCCGTGATCTATAGCCTTCAAAATCCTAATAAATGGCCTCTCCTCGTCCATAAAATTACGAAAATGCCATCTGAAAAGAAATTTGCACTAATCGGTGCTTAATGGACTTATCATCCATGGAGAATAGGATCTATAGACCTCATTATTGGTGGAGAATAGTCTCGGCCTGATCACGTGATCTGTAGCCTCCAGAATCAAAAGAAAATGACATTTCAAAAAAATCTCCCGAAATCTGTGATGGTACCCTTTTGGAATCTGCCAAAAATTGACCCGGAATAATTCCGCCCAAATCAGGGCTTGATGGACTTAATCATTGTTGAAGAATAGCCTAAGGCCGAATCTGCAATTTGTAGCCTTCAAAATTCAAATAGAATGGCCTCTCCTCGCCCAAAAAATTACGAAAATGTCATCCGAAAAGAAATTGGCTCAAATCGGTGTTTAATGGCCTAATCATTTATGGAGAATAGGATCTATAGACTTCATTATCGTTGGAGAATACCCTAGGCCTTATTCTGAAATCAGTATCCTCCGTAATCGAAAGAAAATGACATTTCAAAAAAATCGCTCGAAATCTGTGATGGAACCCCTTTGGAATTTGCCGAAAATTGACCCGGAATAAATCCGCCCAAATCGAGGCTTGATGGACTTAAACATTCCTGAAGAATAGCCTCAGGCCGAATCCGTGATCTGTAACCTTCAAAATCCAAATAAAATGGCCTCTCCTCTCCCAAAAAATACGAAAATGCCATTCGAAAAGAAATTTGCACAAATCGGTGCTTAATGGACTTATCATCTATGTATTATAGGATCTATAGACTTCATTAGTGGTGGAGAATAGTCTTGGCGAGATGACGTGATCTGTAGCCTTCATAATCAAAAGAAAATGACATTTCGAAAAAATCGCCTGAAATCTGTGATCGTACCCCTTTGGAATCTGCCAAAAATTGACTAGGAATAAATCTGCCCAAATCGGTGCTTGACGGACTTAATTATTGTTGAAGAATAACCTCAGGCCGAATCCGTGATCTGTAGCCTTCAAAATCCTAATAAATGGCCTTTCCTCGTCCAAAAAATTACGAAAATGTCATCCGAAAAGAAATTGGCCCAAATCGGTGCTTAATGGACTTATCATCCATGGATAATAGGATCTATAGACTTCATTATTGGTGGAGAATAGTCTCGTCCAGATTACGTGATCTGTACCCTCCAGAATTAAAAGAAAATGACATTTCGAAAAAAATCGCCCGAAATCTGTACCCCTTGGAATCTATCAAAAATTGACCCGGAATAAATCCGCCCAAATCGGTGCTCGACGGAGTTAATCATTATTGAAGAATAAACTCAGGTCGAATCCGTGATCTGTAGCCTTCAAAATCCAAATAAAATGGCCTCTCCTCACTCAAAAAATTACAAAAATGTCATCCGAAAAGAAATTGGCACAAATCGGTGCTTAATGGACTTATCATCTATGTATAATAGGATCTATAGACTTTATTATGGGTGGAGAATACCCTCGGCCTTATTTTGTAATCAGTATCCTCCCCAATCGAAAGAAACTGACATTTCAAAAAAATCGCCCGAAATCTGTGATGGTACCCCTTGGGAATCTGCCAAAAATTGACCCGGAATAAATTCGCCCAAATCGGTGCTTTACGGAATTAATCATTATTGAAGAATAACCTCAGGCCGAATCCGTGATCTGTAGCCTTCAATATCCAAATAAAATGGCCTCTCCTTGTCCAAAAAATTACGAAAATGTCATCCGAAAAGAAATTGGCACAAATCGGTACTTAATGGACTTATCATCCATGGAGAATAGGATCTATAGACTTCATTATTCGTGGAGAATAGTCTCGGCCTTATCACTTGATCTCTAGCCTCCAGAATCAAAAGAAAATGACATTTCAAAAAAATCTCCAGAAATCAGTGATGGTACCCCTTTGGAATCTGCAAAAAAGTGACCAGGAATAAAACCACCCAAATCACTTCCTGATGGACTTAATCATTGTTGAAGAATAATCTCAGGCCGAATCCGTGATATGTAGCCTTCAAAATCCTAAAAAAATGACCTCTCTTCGTCCAAATAATTACGAAAATGTCATCCGAATTTTTTTTGCCCAAATTGGTGCTTAATGGACTTAACATCCATGGAGAATAGGATCTATAGACTTCATTATTGGTGGAGAATAGTCTCGGCCTAATCACGTGATTTGTAGCCTCCAGAATCAAAAGAAAATGACATTTCAAAAAAACTCTAGAAATCTGTGATGGTACCCCTTTGGAATCTGCCAAAAATTGAGCCGGAATAAATCCGCCCAAATCAGGGCTTGATGGACTTAATCATTGTTTAAGAATAGCCTCAGGCCGAATCTGTGATCTGTAGCCTTCAAAATCCAAATAGAATGGCCTGTCCTTGTCCAAAAAATTATGAAAATGTCATTCGAAAAGAAATTTGCACAAATCGGAGCTTAATGGACTTATCATCTATGGATAATACGATCTATATACTTTATTATCGGTGGAGAATACCCTTGGCCTTATTTTGTAATCAGTATCCTCCAGAATCGAAAGAAACTGACATTTCAAAAAAATCGCCCGAAATCTATGATGGTACCCCTTCGGAATCTGCCAAAAATTGACCCGGAATAAATCCGCCCAAATCGGGGCTTGATGGACTTAATCATTGTTGAAGAATAGCCTCAGACAGAATCTGTGATCTGTAGCCTTCAATATCCAAATAAAATGGCCTCTCCTTGTCCAAAAAATTACGAATATGTCATCCGAAAATAAATTGGCCCAAATCGGTGCTTAATGGACCTATCATCCATGGAGAATAGGTTCTATGGACTTCATTATTGGTGGAGAATAGTCTTGGCCTGATTACGTGATCTCTAGCCTTCAGAATCAAAAGAAAATGACATTTCGAAAAAATCGCCCGAAATTCGTGATGGTACCCCATTGTAATCTGCCAAAAATTGACCCGGAATAAATCCGCCCAAATCAGGGCCTGATGGACTTAATCATTGTTGAAGAATAGCCTCAGGCCAAATCCGTGATCTGTAGCCATCAAAATCCTAATAAAATGGCCTCTCCTCGTCCAAAAAATTTCGAAAATGCCATTCTAAAAGAAATTTGCACAAATTGGTGCTTCATGGACTTATCATCTATGGAGAATAGAATCTATAGACTTCATTATTGGTGGAGAATAGTCTTGGCCTGATTACGTGATCTGTAGCCTTCACAATCAAAAGAAAATGACATTTCGAAAAAATCGCCCGAAATCTGTGATAGTACCCCTTTGGAATTTGCAAAAAATTGACCAGGAATAAATCCGCACAAATCAAGGCCTGATGGACTTAATCATTGTTGAAGAATAATCTCATGCCGAATCAGTGATCTGTAGCCTTCAAAATCCTAATAAAATGGCCTCTCCTCGTCCAAAAAATTTCGAAAATGCCATTCTAAAAGAAATTTGCACAAATTGGTGCTTAATGGACTTATCATCTATGGAGAATAGAATCTATAGATTTCATTATTGGTGGAGAATAATCTTGGCCTGATTACGTGATCTGTAGCCTTCAGAATCAAAAGAAAATGACATTTCGAAAAAATCCCCCGAAATCTGTGATGGTGTACCCCTTTGGATTCTGCAAAAAATTGACCCGGAATAAATCCGCCCAAATCAGGGCCTGATGGACTTAATCATTGTTGAAGAATAATCTCAGGCTGAATCCATGATCTGTAGCCTTCAAAACCCTAAAAAAATGGCCTCTCCTCGTCCAAAAATTTACTAAAATGTCATCCGAAAAGAAATTGGCCCAAATCGGTGCTTAAAGGACTTATCATCCATGGAGAATAGGATCTATAGATTTCATTATTGGTGGAGAATAGTCTTGGTCTGATTACGTGATCCGTAGCCTTCAGAATCAAAAGGAAATGACATTTCGAAAAAATCGTCCGAAATCTGTGATGGTAACCCTTTGGAATCTGCAAAAAATTGACCCGGAATAAATCCTCACAAATCAGGGCCTGATGGACTTAATCATTGTTAAAGAATAATATCAAGCCTAATCCGTCATCTGTAGCCTTCAAAATCCTAAAAAAATGGCCTCTCATAGTCCAAAAATTTACGAAAATGTCATCCGAAAAGAAATTGGCCCAAATCGGTGCTTAATGGCCTTATCATCCACGAGAATAGAATCTATAGACATCATTATTGGTGGAGAATAGTCTCGGCCTGATTACGTGATTTGTAGCTTCCAGAATCAAAAGAAAATGACATTTCGAAAAAATCTCCCGATATCGGTGATGGTACCCCCTTTGGAATCTGCCAAAAATTGACCCGGAATAAATCCGCCCAAATCGATGCTTGACGAACTTAATCATTGTTGAAGAATAACCTCAGGCCGAATCCGTGATCTGTAGCCTTCAAAATCCTAATAAAATGGCCTCTTTTCGTCAAAAAATTTACGAAAATGTCATCCGAAAAGAAATTGGCCCAAATCGGTGCTTAATGGACTTATCATCCACGAGAATAGAATCTATAGACTTCATTATTGGTGGAGAATAGTCTCGGCCTGATTACGTGATTTGTAGCCTCCAGAATCAAAAGAAAAAGACATTTCAAAAAAATCGCCCGAAATCTGTTATGGTACCCCTTTGGATTTTGGCAAAAATTGACCCGGAATAAATCCGCCTAAATCGGGACTTGATGGACTTAATCATAGTTGAAGAATAGCCTCGGGCTGAATCCGTGATCTGTAGCCTTCAAAATCCAAATAAAATGGACTCTCCTCTCCCAAAAAAATTACGAAAATTCCATTCGAAAAGAAATTTGCACAAACCGGTGCTTAATGGACTTATCATCTATGGAGAATAGAATCTATATACTTCATTATTGGTAGAGAATAGTCCTGGCCTGATTACGTGATCTGTAGCCTTCAGAATCAAAAGAAAATGACATTTCAAAAAAATCGCCCGAAATCTGTGATAGTACCCCTTTGGAATCTGCAAAAAATTGACCCGAAATAAATCCGCCCATATCAGGGCCTGATGGACTTAATCATTGTTGAAGAATAATCTCGGGCCGAATCCGTGATCTGTAGCCTTCAAAATCCTAAAAAAATGGCCTCTCCTCGTCCAAAAATTTACGAAAATGTCATCCGAAAAGAAGTTGGCCCAAATCGGTGCTTAATGGACTTATCATCCACGAGAATAGAATCTATAGACTTCATTATTGGTGGAAAATAGTCTCGGCCTGATTACGTGATTTGTAGCCTCCAGAATCAAAAGAAAATGACATTTCGAAAAAATCTCACGAAATCTGTGATGGTACCCCTTTGGAATCTGCAAAAAATTGTCCCGGAATAAATCCGCCCAAATCAGAGCCTGATGGACTTAACCATTGTTGAAGAATATTCTCAGGCCGAATCCGTGATCTGTAGCCTTCAAAATCCTAATAAAATGGCCTCTCCTCGACCAAAAAATTAATAAAAATGTCATCCGAAAAGAAATTGGCCCAAATCGGTGATTAATGGACTTATCATCCATGGAGAATAGGATCTATAGACTTCATTATTGGTGGAGAATAGTCTCGGCCTAATTACGTGATTTGTAGACTGCAGAATCAAAAGAAAATGACATTTCGAAAAAATCGCCCGAAATCTTTGATGGTACCCCTTTGGAATTTGCCAAATATTGAACCGGAATAAATCCGCCAAAATCGGTGCTTGACGGACTTAATCATTGTTGAAGAATAACCTCAGGCCGAATCCGTGATATGTAGCCATCAAAATCCTAATAAAATGGCCTATTTTCGTCCAAAAATTTATGAAAATGTCATCCGAAAAGAAATTGGCCCAAATCGGTGCTTAATGGACTTATCATCCACGAGAATAGAATCTATAGACTTCATTATTGGTAGAGAATAGTCTCGGCCTGATTACGTGATTTGTTGGCTCCAGAATCAAAAGAAAATGACATTTCGAAAAAATTGCCCGAAATCTGTGATGGTACCCCTTTGGAATATGCCAAAATTGACCCGAAATAAATCCGCCCAAATCGGTGCTTGAAGAACTTATTCATTGTTGAAGAATAACCTCAAGTCGAATCCGTGATCTGTAGCCTTCAAAATCCTAATAAAATGGCCTCTCCTTTGTCCAAAAAAATAATAAAAATGTCATCCGAAAAGAAATTGGCCCAAATCGGTGATTAATGGACTCATCATCCACGAGAATATAATCTATAGATATTATTATTGGTGGAGAATAGTCTCGGCCTGATTACGTGATTTGTAGCTTCCAGAATCAAAAGAAAATAACATTTCGGAAAAATCTCCCGATATCTGTGATGGTACCCCCTTTGGAATCTGCCAAAAATTGACTCGGAATAAATCCGCCCAAATCGGTGCTTGACGAACATAATCATTGTTGAAGGATAACCTTAGGCCGAATCTGTGATCTGTAGCCTTCAAAATCCTAATAAAATGGGCTCTCCTCGACCAAAATCCTAATAAAATGGCTTAATCCGTGATCTGTAGCCTTCAAAATCCAAATAAAATATCCTCTCCTCGTCCAAAAATTTACTAAAATGTCATCCAAAAAGAAATTGGCCCAAATCGGTGCTTAATGGACTTATCATCCATGGAGAATAGGATCTATAAACTTCATTATTGGTGGAGAATAGTCTCGGCTTAATTACGTGATTTGTAGCCTCCAGAATCAAAAGAAAATGACATTTTGAAAATATCGCCCGAAATCTGTGATGGTACCCCTTTGGAATCTGGCAAAAATTGACCCGGAATAAATTCTCCTAAATCGGGACTTGATGGACTTAATCATTGTTGAAGAATAGCCTCAGGCTCAATCCGTGATATGTAGCCTTCAAAATACAAATAAAATGGCCTCTCCTCTCCCAAAAACAATTACAAAAATGCCATTCGAAAAGAAATTTGCACAAATCGGTGCTTAATGGACTTATCATCTATGGAGAATAGGATCTATAGACTTCGTTATTGGTGGAGAATAGTCTTGGCCTGATTACGTGATCTGTAGCCTTCAGAATCAAAAAGAAATGACATTTCGAAAAAATCGCCCGAAATCTGTGATGGTACCCCTTTAGAATCTGCCAAAAATTGATCTGGAATAAATCCGCCTCAATCGGGACTTGATGGACTTAATCATTCTTGAAGAATAGCCTAAGGCTGAATCCTTGATCTGTAGCCTTCAAAATCCAAATAAAATGGCCTCTCCTCTCCCAAAAAAATTACGAAAAATGCGATTCGAAAAGAAATTTGCACAAATCGTTGCTTAATGGACTTATCATCTATGGAGAATAGAATCTATAGACTTCATTATTGGTGGAGAATAGTCTCCGCCTGATTACGTGATCTGTAGCCTCCAGAATCAAAAGAAAATGACATTTCGAAAAAATCTCTCGAAATCCGTGATGTTACCCCTTTGGAATCTGCGAAAAA